AGATTACATCCTTACAAACAATGCACAATATGCTACAACATAATCAAGATACAAAACAATGATGTCAAAGTCCTTTTGACCTTTAAAATCATAGGTCTAACTTATTTGGGACTTTGATTGTCCTGCTTGACCTTCTCAGTGGCTTTTGATTTGGTGACTCAAGATTCTGACCATCTGGATTCTCTATCTCAGGAGGTCTAGGATTTAAATCATTAACTCCAGAATTTACATTTTCTGACTCCAGACAACTTGGTTCACTCATATCAACAGAACTTGGTTGTGGAACAAACTGAGTTGGTGTGAACTGATCAGACTTGGTGGGATTGACAGATTCACACTTATTATCTGCACAAGTTATTTTTAACTTTATAAGACACAGGTCCTGTACATTGAACAATTTGACCTGGTATCCATTTTTCCTTTCTCCCATAATTTCTTAGATACACATTATCATTAACACCAAATTCTCTTTCAATGCATGAGTTGTCATGATTTAATGGAACTATTTTTGAATTGGCATCTGAAAGTATTATGCTATTATTCAGATCCTTGACTGACATAGATTTCTTTGATTGATCAATTTCCTCAGGTAATCTGATAGTGCTTTCCTGGTAACCAAAAATACTGTTTACAAGTAATATCCTGGACCATATCAATTTGCAACTGTGATCCAGTATTTGAAGTGGGTGTATTAATGGCAAAAATCTTTTTTCTTTTCTTTTGATGTTACCCTTTTTAGTTTCTGTAAGTGCTAATGATGTTAGCAAAGTTGTTTGATGATCACATTCCTTCTTACTAATGTATTCTCTTTAAAACATTTGAAATTGCCATATCACCATAATCATTTATCAAGTTACAAGTACTTTGCTTAGGTAACTCTGACTGATAATGGACTGTATCTTCTCCATCTTTTATATTATCTTCACAAAGGGTTTTAATTTCTTATTTTATATGGCCTTAAGTCATCATTCACAGACTCTTCAGGCCAACCATTCATACAGTGCTCATATACTTTTATTAAGCACTCATCTTTTTGTGTTTCTCTTTTAATATCATTCACATTTATATTGGAGTTATCCATGATAGTGAAGAGAACAAATACATCTTCTGGTACATGGTTCAGACTCTGGTTTTTTAAAGGTAATCTACTAAGACTATCTGCACTATTCTCAGATCCAGGTTTGTATTTCAATTCATAATTGTATGCAGTTAGTGTGATAGCCCATCTTTGAATTCTTGGTGAGGCATGCTCAGGTAGGGTTTTGTTTTCTCCAAATAAACCTAGCAATGGTTTATGATCTGTAAAGATGGTGAACTTCCTACCAAACAGAAACTTATGAAATTTCTTAACACCAAAAATGATGCCTAAGCCTTCCCTATCTAACTGAGAATAATTTTTCTCAGCCTGGTTCAAAGATCTACTGGCAAAAGCAATGGGTCTGTCACCCTTCTCATCCATGTGGGACAAGACTGCTACTACACCATCTGGTGAAGCATCACATGTTAATATAAGTCTTTTCCCTGGGTCATAGTGAGTTAGTAAGGTGTCAGCAGACAAAGCCTCTTTTGCTGTATTAAAAGCAGCTTCTTGTTGTTTACCCCAGTGCCAAGTTGCATTTTTCTGTAGCAGCTTGTACAGTGGTGATAGTTTACCAGACAGATTTCCTATGAACTTTGCATAGTAATTTATTAAGCCCAAAAAAGCTCTTAGTTGTTGGGTATTTTCAGGTTTGGGTGCTTCTTTAATGGCTTTTGTTTTCTCAGGTTGAGGTCTGATGCCTTGTTTGCTCAATATATAACCAAGAAAACTAATTTCTGTCAACATGAATTGACATTTATCTTTGTTTATCTTTAAACCTTTTTCACCAACAATTTTTAATACTTTATCAAGTGTTTTAAGATGTTCAGTGTCATTCTTACCAGTTATGTACACATTGTCAAAGTACACACAAACATTTGGAATGTCCTTAAAAATACTGTCCATGACAGCTTGGAAAATTCCAGGACTAGATGATATGCCAAAACATAGTCTTTCATATTGGTAGAGTCCTTTATGTGTGTTTATTGTCGTATAGACTTTTGAATCTGGATGCAGTTCTAGTTGAGTGTAAGCATGACTAAAGTCTAATTCAGTGAATTTGTCTCCTCCTGCCAAATTCAAAGAAATTTCCTCAATGTTAGGTATAGGGTACCTATTTAGCTCTATTTGCTTATTCAGTGTAGTTTTATAATCTCCACAAATTCTTATAGAACCATCCTTCTTTAACACTGGCACAATGGGTGTCGCCCAATCGGAATAGTCTACCTTCTTTATGATGCCATTAGATTCCAATCTACTTAGCTCATTTTCAATTTTATTCCTCATTGCATAAGGTGGAACTCTAGCTTTGCAGTATCTTGGATTTGTATCTTTAATGCTTAACTTCACTGTTCTATCATTTAGTAAACCTGAATTACCAAAAACACATTTATTTTCAGATATAACTTTATCTAGTGAAGTAAGACTAGATTCTTTTACATTCTTCAATGAACAAATACTCTCCCAATTTAACTTAAGATTACTTAACCAGTTCCTACCCAGTAATGGCGGTCCATTTCCTTCAACCACAAGAAGAGGAAGTTTAACACTTTGACCATTATAATTTACATGAACCATACACTCTCCTATTACCGGAACATTGTCACCAGTGTATGTTGTTAAACACTTGTGACATGGTTGTAGAGGCACTGATCCTCCTGTGACAGCGTCAAAATCTTTCTTTGTTATGACTGTTAGAGATGCTCCAGTGTCAAGTTGGAAGCTGATGCTCTTACCGTTGATATTAACTTGTACATTGATGGGAGCATGACTTATTGATTTCACAGAGAACAGGCTGAAATCCGGCTGCGAATCAGTTTGAGCATTTTCACAGGTAGAGTGGTTCATTGGTTGGGTTAGGTAGTCTTGGTGAGAGTTAACATAGTGCTGCTTTTGGTTGCGGTACTGTCTTGACTGGCTAGATTTAGCAACAGACGAAGACTTTGCAAAGCAGGCCTTGGCAATGTGACCTTGCTTACCGCACTTATAACAAGTTGCAGACTTGAACTTGCACCGATGAGATGCATGGGGACCTTTGCATCGATGACATTTTTGATAATTATTACTAGATTTAGATCTAGGCTTTGAACGAGCAGGCTGTTTAGCATAAGTTGGAATGCTCTGATGGGGTTGATGTTTATTGACTAACCTGCTGTTTACTGCATGGATCTCTGAAGGTGCTAAAGATCTCGCCGCATCAGATGACTGCTGGAATGAAGTTGCTAGTTGTATTGCTTTTTCTAATGTTAGATCTGACTCGAGCAGCAACTTTCTTTGAATATCAGGGCTGTTTACACCTGTCACAAACTTTTCACATAGTCTGTCAGACAGCGTGTCTCCGAATTCACAAAATTCACTTAAATGACGTAAAGCAGCAACATATTCTGATATTGACTCGTTTGGTTGACGAGTCCTACTGTCAAATCTAGCTCTACATAGAAACTTTGATGGGGTAGGCGCATGGTGGTCAATTAGCAATTTGCTCAGCTCGTTAAAGCTCTTGGTAGTTAGACTAGCTGGTGCGCATAAGTCCTTTAGTAGCCTAAATTGTTGAGGCCCTATGACTGTTAACAAAACAGCTCTCTTTTTGGCTTCTATCGTCACGTCGTTAGCTTCTAGGTAAAAGCTTAACCTCTCTAGGTAATCTTGAATGATTTCATCATTCGCATCAAATTCTTTTATTTGGCCATACAGCGCCATAATTCTAGAAATAATTAGCTAATAAGCTCTAGCAAACCTCTTTTTTGCGTAAGTAGGTGCTCTTTCTAGTAGATGTTTATCCTTCGTCGCCAAATGAGGTAGATTGACGAGGAGCCACATTGGTTGTTAACAGCCTTTATTTACAGACGCCATGATGCAAAGAGGGAGAGAAGTGGCGAGAGAGAACTATTTATAGATAACAACATGTAAGGGACATCACTCAAGATAACAACATAAATATAATACTAATACAGAGAGTGAGTTCCCTTGACCTCACAATTAACTCAATCTATTACAGATATTGCTTCGTTGAGGAGGAGATACGACTTAAAGCCCGGACACACATTCATACATCCATACATTCATCCATCCATTCCCAGAAATGACGAGTTAATAAACGCAATTCTCCAGAATGGAAATTGCGCTAAAAAATATGACGGAGGTTGGGGTTTAATTAAGGTAAAGAGAAGTAAAAAAAATGTCATAAGTTACGATAGAATCACTAAGGGGTCATCAATAAATGACGTCACGCTTTTTTGACGATTTTTACCTCCTTCTCCCCTCCGTCACACGTCGTCACAAAAAGTCAGACCCCCCCCCCCCCCCTAAATGATGTCCCACCTCAACCTACAACCCCCCTCAAAATTGCAGTTAAATTTTTTTTAAACATCGATATTTTTCGAAAATCTTGTCTATACTATTACAATTTATTAAAACAGTTATCTAAAACGCAAAATATCGTCTAAAATTCGTTTTCTAACATTGCTTTTTAATAATGCAAAGGTGTGTACTCATATTTAATGACATATTCATTAATTCACTCTCTCCCACATTACTAGTTTTGGCCGAATTTACGACGCTAGGCCTAAACTAAGATTTTACCATAACCTGGTCACGTGACCGGCAGCCACTCTGATAAAGATTAAAGGTCAAAAGCGAAAAACTTAGGCTACCATAGCATAGAGTTTTAGAGCCTTAGAGGCGAGGTAGATCTAGATCTAGATCTAGGCTTAGTTACTAGATCTAGACTAGATAGATCTAACTAGTACTTACTTAGAATCTAGATCTAGAAAATCTAGTAGCTAGGATTCAACTTTACAAAAAGTTATGTTATTATAACGATCTAGAGTCTAGATCTAGATCTAGAATCTAGATCTAGCTAGAAGATCTAGATCTAGATCTAGATTCTAGACCTCTCGACCTCGCCTCATTGTCATTTAACATTTTTCTGTTTCTAGTTTACTGAAGTTCACTCATCAGATGATCAATCAACATTGACAACATCACTCACAGATTTGATAATAAAAGTTGCCTGTAGCTCCAGCCATGATCAAAACAAGGTTGGTGAGTTAGGGAGTGTAAGAAAATTAGAAGGGTTACTAAAAACGAGAGTAGATATAAATTTTACTAAGTGACTACTCGGAAGATTTTTCTCCCCAACGTCTCCACTTAGTCGGCAAAAGATAGCTCTGCGCATGCGCAGTGACCCGTAGTTAGGGTTAGAATGAGGGTTAGGGATAGGATTAGGGTGTGTTAGGGTTCTGCGGTTGTAAACACACGCAAGGGCAGTACCATTGAAAACATCGCCGCGATGGCAAGTCGTAGTTTCTCTCCATTGCGCATGCGTATCTTTTTCCTGCTAGCATCGGCTTACATTTTATCTAGAACATATCTATAACATAGGATTTTGGGTGGGGGGGTGACACTGTGAGGTCCTGCAGCAAGAAACCACAGAACTTGCGATGTCACTGGATATAGGCCTAGATATCAATAAATATCATTATTAAATTAACACAATCCGTCCCATGAGCCGGAGATTCCGGCTCGCGCCAGCTTCACCGTAGGCCCGCGAGCCGGAGTCTCCGGCTTGGCAACCCTAGTGTTTGTTTCATGCGAAAATTCAGTCTAATATTTAAACTAACTTATTCAAATCCATGTTTTTAAATACACGACATCCGGATCTTTCTTTCGGTTCAAAAATTTTGCACTGGGAGTGTTTCACGTGTGTTTTATTCAAGTTTAAAGTTCGTGTTTACGTTTTAAAATTCATTATGGAATTAGGTCCCTCAGGCCAACGCCCACTCAAGCGATTTTGTGCTGAAAAAGCACGCGTTATGCTTGATGAGTGGATGAATAATTTAGATTCAGATGAAGAAACATTGGTTTTATCATCTGATGAAGATAATAATTATTCATCAAGCAGTGAGAGTGATAGATCTGGTAGTAGTGGTGATACTGATAGTGATTGTGATAACAACAAAAGTGGGTGTGGCAAACCTTCTGCAGGGAAGGGTAAGGGACCCATGCCTAAAAAAAGGAAAGCTGGTACTAATACTGCTAGTACTAATACTTTTGTAACAGGACAGGATGAGCCTGTAACTGTCAGTGGTACTGCTACTACCACTAGTAGTACTAATTTTATTTGGGCAGAAGTACATGAAGGTACAACGCAAAACAACTTTCGTTTTGTTCGCCACGAATCCCATGGCGTAAACTCGGATAAAATAACACCCGAGTCAACTGAGCTAGATTGCCTGCTCACTTTATTGAATGACCAGATCATTGAGCTATTATTAGCTAATATCAATGAGTATGCTAGGGGAAAATTAGTGTTTCCTCAGCTCAGGCATTCAGTGTACTACAAATTTCAACCAGTAACGAGACCAGAGTTGAAATTTTTGGCTATTTTGATAGCTATGGGCCTCAACCCTAGGCCTTCAATAAAAAGCTACTGGTCTGTAAAAGAAGCCCACCTTTTTACACCTTGGTATGGACAAACCATGGCCAGAAACAGATTTCAGGCCCTTTACCACACATTTTTACATGCGGCTGGTGACAAGGCAGAGGCGCAAGATAAAATTGAGCCCTTTCTCAATACATTGATGGCATCATTCCAAGATGCATTTTACCCCGGTCTTAATTTATCTGTCGATGAAATGGTCATTGAATATAAGGGAAGGTGGAAGAACAAACAGTTCAATGCCACAAAGCCTTCTAAATATCATATAAAAACATTTGGCTTGTGCGACAGTAAGACGGGGTATGACGTAAATTTATTTACGTACTACGGTTCTGCGACTACTTATCATCCAGACCTAGACAAAAATTGCACCATGGCTGAAAAGGTTTTTCAAAAATTGTTGACACCACTAACAAAAGGCCACCATATTTTTGCAGATAGGTTTTACACCTCTGTACCTCTGCTTGGGTTTCTCAGCCGTCAGAGTTATTATTATACTGGCACGGTCGACATAAGACGGAAAAATTTCCCTCCTGCACTCAAGTCTCTTGTCTTGAGCCATATGGAGATGAAGTGGTACATGCATGAAGAAAAGTACCTTACAGTGGCATTTAGGGATAAAAAGGCTAAAAGGTTTGTGTCAGTTGTGACCAGTCAAGGAAGTGTTAGCAAAACACTAATCAAAACCAAACGTGGTGACGTCGAAAAACCAACAGCCATAAATTTATATAATCAAAATATGAATGGTTGTGATAGAGCAGATCAGCTAGTTGGCTACTATGGCTGCCACAAAAGAAAAAGCCACAAGTGGTGGAAAAAAATATTCCACTGGCTGTTGGAAATCTGCCATGTCAACGCTGCGATTTTATTTCGTGAGTCTCACCCCAAGCAAGCGAAGATCAGTCTAGCTCAGTTCAAGTCCAACTTGATTGTTCAACTTATAGCTGAAGCTGGTAGATCACTTGTTGAGAAACCTGTGGATATTGCCCTAGCCCAGCAACCACAGCCAAGTGTGAATTTTGGTTACTGACAATCCAACCATTCGGCTAGCCGCTAAAATACATATCCCTATGTCGGCTAAAAAAGACCGTAATTGTCAGGTCTGTAGTAAACCAGGTGCTCGCAAAAGAACCAGCAATGTATGTGCAGATTGTCCTGGTCAACCATTTTTATGTAAGGAGCCCTGCTTTAGAATTTGGCATACTAAGAGTAACTATAAATCTTAGTATGCTGGTTGTAAAAAAAGATGTCCTGTTTTCAGCTTTTCAATCTTTTTAGTTTTTTGTGCATAACTTTTTTATTTTACAAGTGTTTTTTTTCATATTTGGATATGTTGTGTATATATGGATAACCAACAAAATGTGTAAGTTTCATAAAGTTTGGGTAAGTGGTTGGTGACTTGTGATTATGTAAGTAGGAAATATGTTTTTATTTTTTATGTGTTGTTACACTAACACCTCATTTTAACATGTAAAAAAACTACTTTCTTTAACATAACCCTCAATTATCTTCATTTATTACTATAGAAAATTCATTTCTGTTTATTTTGATGTATAATACATAATTCTGGTTAGAAAAACATAGGAGCTATAATTATTTAAGTAGGTAAGGGCTGTGTAAAAAAAATTGGGTCACGAACCAATGAGGTCAGGAGGTGGAAAACCCCCTGGTATAGAATGAGTTAATATGTTTTCTAGAGATAGATAGATATTACTAGAACTATTAGATAGGCTTATATTTATATTTTATATATAGCCCCATATATAATTTTATATAGGCCTAATATAGGGGCTAACAATATATATATATATTATAAGGTCTACATAGGCCTATATACACCTGTCGTTGATTGACTTATCTGTTATTCAAAATACTCAACGAGCCTTTATTCCTCTCAAAATTTTGCAGTAGTTTGTGAGCCCCTCCCATTGATATATAATTTTGCAAATATTGGTCTTGGTGTCAGCGCCCCCCCCCCCCCCCCCCCAAATGGTGTCACCTGGTGCAGTCCGCACCCCCTGCCTATATTATTTTAGTATTTACTATTACAAGAGACATATTCCTCATGCCTACTTTATATAGTACTAGCTTACCCGACCCCCGCGCGTTGCCACGAGGATAGAAGAAAGTTTGACGAAATATATTAGGATTTCACCAACGCGTTATCAATTATAATTATATGTTCTTAGACGCGTGACCTTCTTTTCTAAAAATGAGTTATTTAAATGTAAACAATGCCTGTTCTTGGATCATAAATATTAGGACACGGGTTTACCTACACTACCGCCTGAAAACATTGAGTGTACATTAATCACTCACCGAAATAATATGGTAGAACACACTTCAGTGACCGCCTCTGTGTCAGAGACGTAGAGGGGCGCTCTCAGGGCCCCCACCCCCCGATTACACTACCACATAGGCGCGGCGTACGACACCTGGTTCCTTAAAACTATCAGGCGCCATCGGCCTAATAGCATCCTGTTAATAATGATGCAGATTTCGTCATTCGCTAAAGTGACACAAATGAACAGGATTTTTTTCTTTAACACGTAAAAAAATTATTTGACATGTTTTAAATATCAGTGTGACTGATGCAATATGCTAGCGTTACTAATGGTCTATTATTAGATGCTTGATATCAATTTCTGACTGGATTGTCTAATAGTAGATGCAAAGTGACGAAACTCTACAGTAGGCTCCTCATATTCAAAAAGTTATTTTTTCATCTTTGGCAAGGTGACGAAACTGTACACAAGGATTTCCTCGCGTTACAAAGTTATTTTTAGAAGACTGTTGTAGTTTTACCGCTGAGTATAGTAGTACCCCTTACTCGCTATGCAGGACGCTCGATTAACGGGTGCCAAGTGCCAACATAGTCGCTCTAAAACTCTGGGCGCCAAACCGTGTATTGACGAAAGTTGTACCCTATATGGAGCCGCCCATACGAAGCTTTAGTTTTCTTTTTCGCAGAAATATTCTCGAGAGTATTCTTATCTACTTCCTAAAGTTTCATGGCACTCGGATGAACCGCATCCGAGTTTTATTTTTTATATACCATGTATAGAGAAAAAAAATCGCTCTCCCCTGGGGGCGCCGCCCTTGCAATATTAAACAATATTTTTTTGCAGAACCCTACCATTGAGTGATCTAATCATCTCCCCACAGTTTCATGGTACACGGATGAACGATGTGAAACCGAAATAGACTCTTATTTTTATAAACCGTATATAGAGAAAAATTGCAGCCTCCCGTGGCACCGCCCTTGCGAAATTAAAAAAGGATTTATTTTTTTTACAGAACCCTTCCCTGAATTGTTCTAATCAACTCCCCCAAAGTCTCATGGCTTTCGGATAACGGTGTCACACCAAAATCGCACCCTCCCGTGGCGCCGCCCTTGCGAAATTAAAAATGATTTTTTACAGAACCCTTCCCTAGAGTTTTATGATGAACTCCCCAAAGTTTCATGCCTATCGGATGAACGGTGTCACTGCAATTCACTTTTATTATTTTTATATACCATATGTAGAGAAAAATCGGACCCTCCCGTGGCGCCGCCCTTGCGAAATTAAAAATTATTTTTTTACAGAACCCTTCCTTAGAGTGTATTATGAACTCCCCAAAGTCTCATGGCTAGCAGATGAACGATGTCAAACCAAACTCGACTTTTTATTTTTATATACCGTATATAGAGAAAAACAAATCGCGCCCTACCGGGGCGCCACCCCTACGAATTTAAAAATGTTTTTTGCGCGAAAACCTCCCCAGGAGTATTCTCAACATCTTTCCAAAGTTTCATGGCGATCGTGTGAACGGTGTCACTGCAATTCACTTTTATTATTTTTATATACCGTATATAGAGAAAAACAAATCGCGCCCTGCCGGGACGCCACCCCTGCGAATTTGAAAAAAATTTTTTGCAGAAACCTCCCCAGGAATAGTCTCAACAACTTCCCAAAGTTTCACGGCGATGTGATGAGAGCTGTAGTAATGCATAAAGGACAGACACACAGACATACATTGCTTTTTATATATATAGATTATATTTAAATTATATTTACTTTTGTTTTGTATTATAATTTGCCTACTTAATTGGGTATTAATAATTACTATAATTACTAATTAGGTGCTAGTAATTTAGACAAATAATAATTTTACTAAACTGTTAATGTAAATACTAATAGTAACAAAACAATACTAATACAAAAGTAAAGTAGTTCTGTAGTCGTAGTACTTGGTAATAGAACTTGTAGTAGAACCCTTTCCCTTTTGTTGGCTTTTGAACCTGACAGTCCATAATCCATGGTGCATTTTAAGTGGAGTTCACTTGTTTCAGTTACCTCTTTCTCTTTAAACCTGTGTCAGTATAGCCACGTTATTTGGAGAGACACAGTTTGGTCTATAGTTAATTTTAGCTACGCATTGGGACATTACCTGTACTAAAATGTATGCATTTTATTTTGGGACTCTTCTGGTGGATTTGCTAATGCTAGTATTTGATATAGATCTAGCATCAGTAATTATTCCAGAACATTGTAGCTAGGGTCTGTGTGGTCTGGAGGGAAAATTCATGGTTGATAACTCATAATAAGTCTAAACCAGGGCAGATGAGGCTTGTTATCCGAAATCAAACAGAAGCTGATCCCCTTATGTTATACCAACTCTGGTTTCCTTTCTGCAGCTCCTGCAATACAGCTGGTGCCAAATAGTAATACCAATCCCTTAGGTACATTAGCTATGTGCAAATCAATCTTAATCTAACCACAGTAGACTAGCTTCAAATTTAAAGGTTACATTTTTTAGTCATATGTTACTTTTTTTTATTAAGACCGATATCTCCAAAATGCTAAGAATAAGTACAATTTTTCAAAAATATATTATCATTCATATCTTAGAGAGATAAATGGTCATATGACAGTGACATTCATGACTGATATAATTTTAGTAACTTTTCTATACTAATATAGTATATAGGATGATGGGACAGAGTGGTTGAGTAGTTTTAAAGCACATAGTTACTAGGCAGAGGGTCTTGAGTTTAAAGGGATTTCCCCCAAGGCTACCCAAATCAGATGGGTTCTTTATTTCAGTCAGGGAAAGAAAAAGCAGCTGAGCACAGTTCTGACCACAAATTTATACAAATGTTGAAGAAATAGATGAACATAACTTTATTGGTTGCCAGGTCTGAAAGGTACTTTACTTTTATCTGGAGGAAACTGCTTGGTAGCTCAATTAGCCTACTAGTGTAAGATTAGGGTTAGAGTTAAGTTAGCATTTTGCTGAGGGATTGATATGTTGGTACCCAACAGGAATAAAGTATCTAATATCTTTTTTTATTCAATATGACATAATATTATTGTACAAATAACATTGTTTCTTCCATAAAAATTTGTCACTGCCATTCATTCAAGATAATATTGATGTAGGGCCCATACCAATAACTCTTTAACCTCAGATGTCTGTTTAGGCCTTAACTTATTGCACTTTTATCTTTGTCCTTAAAACAGACAACAGATTATTTATTACTCTTACTACTTGCTGATAAAAAAAAACATTATAGATAACACATTAACAGGGATCATTTCATAATATTGCTATTATGGAAGTTGTAATTAAATCAAGTTGTAGGCCTAGCACTTGTTATAATTAATGTTTTTCAAAACAAAAACATAACCAGATTGTTTTCATTGAAATATTATTTTACTACATTATTAAAATGGAAGAAAAAAAGTTGTAAAAAATGTCTCATAAATTAAGTACTCAATATTTTATGCTGAATGCACTGCATCTGTATGTGACTTGGAACACTACACTCAGCATTTACTGGTTGTATTTTTAATGTTCTATACTTATGGCAACTATGGCACTGTATAATTATCTAATCTTATATTGTAGTTACTCATATGATGAAGTGGAACAGATTGCTAAGTTCATCTTGGATAAGGTGAAATGTCGTCCCAAACTTGGAATTATTTGTGGATCAGGTTTAGGCAAATTAGCTAATTCTGTAGAAAATCAAGAAGTTATAGCTTACAAAGATATTCCAGAGTTCCCAATCAGCACAGGTATGATACAATGTTTATATTTTTAGTTTTTTTTTATAATAAAAAATATCTTGAGTTTAAAATTCATGTTCTTTTGAAGGGGTAACTTTTTTAAAAACAATAATTGTGTAAATTTCAGTATAAATTATATCAATGTAATTTGTTGTTATATCTATTGCCAGTTCCTGGGCATGAAGGAAAACTTGTCTTTGGCACTTTAGGGGGTAAGAATGTTGTGCTTATGCAAGGTAGATCTCACTGCTATGAAGGATACCCACCCCAAAAGGTGAGTCAATCTAATTATTTTGCTTATGTGTTGTAATAGGTTCAATATGTTCACAATAATTTATTTTGAAAACTGTTTTAATAAAATTGCCTTTGAAAACTTATGTAGGGTGTTTATAGAATGACATTTAGATATTGTGACATACTTTCATTTAGTTGGTAATTTCACATTCTGTAATTCTTGTTTAGCTAACATGTAAACAATTTTCTCCCTATGTCAGACTACACTTCCTGTAAGAACCATGCATTTGATGGGAGTAAAAACTTTATTTGTAACCAATGCTGCTGGTGGAATCAACAGAAAATTTCACGTGGGAGACATTATGATCATCAAGGACCATTTAAACCTGGCTGGCTTTGCTGGTGTTAATCCTCTTGTTGGTCCTAATGACGAGAGGTAGGTAATGAGATCATCTGATAGTTTCTTACCGCTTTATATTCTTGCAATTTCTAGATTTTAATTTTGTGTTTCAATAAAAAAAATTCAAAGAAAAATCTATTTTAAAATAAGTTTTGAAGTTTACTGTGAACCTAAAATTTAACTCTTTTTTTTCTTTGTTTTGTGTAATTATCTTTTGAAAAACACCATAAAAACTTGTATATATTTGTTATAAACAAATGATACTTCCAATTAGTTCACTGTAGAGAAACAAATGTCAATGTGGAGGGGGTCCTGTTTTCAAATTGTCTATCACATTTTAGCCATAAAGAATCTCTTAATCTAATTTTTTTTGTTTGCACATATAGGCCTACCTACACAATTGTAGGAGAAACATGCTACGTTTGATCTAAAAATAAAGATGACATGTATTCTTTGTCTGCTAGGTTTGGTCCTCGTTTTCCCCCCGTGTCAAGAGCATATGATCTGGAAATAAGAAAACTTGCAATGAGCCTGGCCATTGAAATGGGGTTTAAAGATTTTATACAAGAAGGGGTATATAGCATGATGGTAGGACCTAACTTTGAAACTGTCACTGAATGCCGCTTCTTGGAAATAGTTGGAGTGGATGCTACAGGTAACTTTCTAGTATTTTTAAAAATGTTTTAATGACATGGGTAGGGAAGGGCAAAGGGAACATTTTTTTTAAATGTGTATAAAAGAACATGAATATGTAATCACTTTTTGTGCTTTCTCCTGCTACCAAGTACAGCTCACCAGAGTTCTCTGTCCAACACCACTTTTCTAGCTCCACAAGTGTCAATGCATCCCCTGTTCGGTACCATCACCTCTCCCCGTGGTCTTTTATTTAAGTTTATTAGTTTTCATTCAACACTATATGTAGTGGCATACCCACCCCTAAAAATGACTGCTGTCTTATGTAACTTCAGTTATCAGTGATGCTAGTTTCAGTTTCTATTTTAAGATTTTGAATGTCAGGGGTACTACTTGATTCAGCAGTTAAACTGCAGCAGGCTCACCCAGCAGTCAGTGACCCGGTGTGCCAGTTAGCACTATGGCGCCTATGTTTGTGTTTTGAAGTGGGCCATACACTAGGGATACAGTTGGCTACTATAAAAACTATAATCATTGACTAAATCAAACCAGGGCACATCCTCAGGCAGTCGGGTGACATGTAGCACCCAGGGCTACCCTTTGAGCACGCCTATATTTATTTTAAAAAGCACCCTTCAAATAAGATCACAGCGAACATGACAAATAGGCTACTACAAGAATAAATGTTAAAATTACATCAATCTGTAAAAAACGAGAATAAAATATATTTTGATATATTTTTAATTTTTAAATTGTAACATGAAAGTATGCAAATCATAAAATCAAACATGCATTAAATAATGATAGACTTTTTAAGTTAGCTTTTATAAACATCTTATAACATCGTCTTTTTGAAGAAAATATGCTCTGTACTATAAATACTAGTGAATAACTCACTAAAGCTAATACCCCTGTGAAATGGTATAACCCCAAAAATGAGTTAGTCGGATCTTTTAGAGCACCTGCAATGATGAGATCAATGGATTCCACAATGCCATTGATAAGAAATTCCCAGGCATGATGTGGCCTATGTGCTGTAGCCAAAAAATATGTCCACTGTGATCACTGCCAGCATTGTATAGAGGATGCTGTATGCAAGGTCAAGGATCACTTGTCAACAGTCAGCAGCAAAATACCCTGGAACATCCATAGTTAGGCTGAGGGTTAGCTGGGTAAAAAAAAGTTGCATTTGTTTTACAATTCTCCTGTCTGCAATAACACCTATGCCATATTTGGAACTGATATCTGCAACACTATTTATTGTGATTAGATGAGCTATATCCTCATCTTTTAGACCATTTTTTTCCCCGTTGAAGGCATTTAGGATAGAATAGTAGGAGTTGGAACCCCTATCCTAGATACTGTTAGAAGAGGACAGATATCTTTTAATTCTGTCCAAGAAAGTTGAAGAGCTGTTGCCTTTACCCCATGCAGACATGAGTTGCATGATGGTAGTCAATAACAATTGAGTGAGAACACTCACTAACCCTTTTACTTCTTTTCCCTGTACCAGCCTGATACGTCATCAGCAGACTAAGTTCTGTATTCTGGCAAGCTCACTTGCTTTATTTCTTTCTATGAAGGTAGGTCTTTTAGAATTGTTTAGTTGTCTACTGTTATTTCTGTTGGAAAGTTTTTTGTTGATCATACTGGGAGGCTGAACTTTGGAGCAGAGAAAAACCTATACAAGTGATGTTTAATCCACTAAGAATAAGCAGTGCCCCTTGCAAGTCATAGGTGTCTAACAGAAGTTAAATCTGTGGAGTCCCACCTTTTGTGGACATGCTGAAACCTAAACTGACAAAGGCAGTAGCAAAGGCTCGGTGTTTCTTGAAGTATAGGCCAACCAGTATGGTTTGGGACTCAACGATGAAGCCTAAAGATATACCCAAAACTGCAAACATGAAGTGGATGATGATGATGTTGGGAGCATAAGCTATCACAAGGATGCACAAGGTACACAGCCTAGCCCTGGTAACAACTAAGCTCTCCTCAAACAGCTGCAGATTCATGGAACTTGTCCAAGAATTCAATAAATAGTAGGCCCAGTATACAAATGAAGATGGAAGCAATGGAAATGTTCAGGAAGGCACCAACATAATAAGTCATGCCCAGCCTCTGTCCACAGGTAGAGGTGTTTTTTTTTTTGCTTGTCACTGTTGTCATCTCAAGTCCATCTGAATTGTCCATACTTCTGTACAAACACAAAAAGTTTATTCAGGAAAAAGAAAGTTAAAAGGTTGAGTTCATTTATTAAGAAATTCGGTTATTCTTCACACTGTTCAAATTCTGATTTTAAATGTCCTAAACCAGTAATTTGTTCATGAAATAATGATCGAAGTCCATGTGTCGATGTATGGTGTTTTCTTGTGACTTGCTTTTTCTGAATGAGAGTATGTTTACATTCGTTAGTTTTCTTCAAGAACTAGTTTACAAAACCCAGTGATATAGCCTAGTCCAATTCATTCTACATCGTTATGGGTTCCTTACCATTGACCAGGAAGCAATTATCTCAAAGAGACAATTGCGCCAGATATATCTAGATACCCTCTTACCCTTTTGTTTACACTACCAAACTGAAATCGACATTTTAAGTTTAGTTTCTACTCTCATTCTCAAGAAAGATTTATAAACTGTACTTGCTGTCTTAAACACATCTTCATGTACAATAAAAAAAATATTGTCGGCCCACTTGGGGTCGTAAATAATTTTTCCTCAAGTATACCTTCTTCTATGAACTGTCCTCGTTATTAACTACTTACATCCTCATTCAAATTAATCGCATTACCAATCAGCATAAACCTTCGTTTAACACCATCACCACATATGTTGCCCATCAGCATAAACTTTCGTTTAACAGCATCACCATCACCACACTGTGTTACCTATCATCATAAACCATAAAAAATTCATAAAAAAATAAGCTTATTCAAATGCAACATATTCATAGCTATAGTTTGTTAGATGCAGTAATGGCTTGTATTAAATTGTTTTGTTAAAAAAAAAAATACGTAAATTGTTTGAACTAGAGTTGTTAGTAACACTATTGAGCTTTACTATTGATAGGCCACACGGGTTTTTAAAAAGTGTTTTTATTTCTTCAAAACTTCGATGGCCTCAAAAATCCTTATTCATAACTTTTAAAAGTATAATATGGTTAATATGCGATGAGAGAATACAACGTTTAAGGCAGGACACGACTTAAGTGACCACAGGTGGAACACAATAGATTCCAACAACGTAAATTATAAACTTTAAGAATAGTAATCTAATAGTAATAGTCTAGACATCACTGCAATACGTTTACCACCACCCATACAACATCGCTACGCAGACATTCGTTGATGGTTTGCACACTTCTTCAGTGCAAAAAATAAATTCCTAAAGTATGACCCCACACAAGAAATCACTATACATTTACACGTGTTGTGGTTAAGCGATGTTTGATAATACATGTATTGTGACAGATGTGTAGTTATAGGGGACATGTGTTGTGGGCGGTGTTAAAAAAATATGACCTGTGTTATGAGCGATGTTTTCTCCGTAGTGGCCGGGTTTAATGCGACAGTGTGATGACACTACGGTCTTAATGTTTCGTTTGATGACATGCTTATATATCTATAAGGTTCTTTACAAAACGGTGCTGCATTGCAGTTATTACTTTTAAATTATTGAAATCGGTTGAAACAATCACAACTAGGCACTAGTAGACACGAGTCTCGTTGTTTTGTTGACAGTGTTTCTTCCAGACTTTTTTCTCGGGGGGGGGGGGGGGTAGACTTTCTTCGGGGGGGGGGGGGGGGGGGCGGGGCGGACACTGTTAAAAGTATATATTTTCTATATATAAATATATAAGGCGGCCCCCCCCCCCCCCCCCCCCCCCCAAGAGATGCCTGGAAGAAACTCTGTTTGTTGATCATTTTTCTAGAGAAACAAGCAGCAGGGGAAATAACTGCGATAAAAAGTTAATTGATACAAGGTTACTAAATAACAAACTCTTCAAAGGATCGTGGTCAGACTTTGTTCTCATTTGTATACTTTTTTTTTTTACAAGTATGAGAAATTTTGGTAACCAAACATTGTGGCATAGAGTCTTTGTCTTGTTTTTTTTTTTTTTCAACTTTTTTTTAAAAGCAAATTATTCTTTACTCCCCCCAAGTATGAGTTGTAATTACTAATAGTAGTAATAGCATGATTAGGACCTACTACGCCCGAGTTTTGGGTGGCCAACCATTGTGTCGTAATACATGTTTGACATGTTTTTTTTGTTTTTTTTAATTTAAAAAAAAAATCTTTTACTTCCAGGTATGAGTACTATCCCAGAAGTTTTGGTAGCCAAACATTGTGGCATGAGAGTATTTGGCATGTCGCTGATCACCAACATGGTCATTATGGAATATGATGCTGTGTCCACAGCTAACCATGAGGAAGTCTTAGAGACAGGAGAGAGGCGCAGCAAAGATTTGCAGAAGTTGATGACCGCCATTATAGAGAAAATTGAGGTGTAAACATTGGTGCGTTTGTAGCTCATTAAAATATTCAGATTGTTCATTACCATTGAACAAACAGAACATCACATTAAATTTGTATTTAACATTCAAGTGCAGCTAGTTGTGTGCAGAGTAGATCATTGCAGCTAGTTTAGAGAACTTGACTAATTTCATTTTTTAAATGCTGACTTAGCCTATATATAATTACTAGACTGCTGCTGTATAAAAGAATAACTATTGTTTTGAATATTTTTTTTTTTAATGCTACTCAGATCTATGTGATTAAACCTACTCAACAATGAAAATGAGATTCATTTAGCTTTTTATCTAATCAACTTATTAATTATAATAAAACTGTTGTCATAGTGGGTAATTTTAAAAAAAAAAATGATTTTTTTGTCATCTCACTAAAATATATAAGTGTGTTTACATTGATACTAACTTTTTTTCACTTAATTATTCCTGTTTGGGTAAAAGATTGTATGTGTCATTTTCTTGATATTTTTGTGTTATTAATTATATTAGAATTTGTATATTTTTTTCTGTACTTTTACAATATTTGAAATCTTGATTAAGGTTCTCCTTATTAAAAAAGACATACTGCACATAGTAGAAGAGTTCTGACATGTGATAATAAGCTATGTGGGGGTGGGGTTTTTAATACATGTAGCATGAACTATATTTTATTTTTTTAAATAGTAATTAAAACTATTTATTGTCCATTAGAAATATGGCAATGGGAGTGGAAAATGTGATGTTTGTGTCATTGTTTTTAGAAAAGGGGACTTGCCTTTTCTAAGTATATGTGATGATAGAAGGGAAAAAAAGGTTTGCTACAATATTGTGACATCATTTATGGGCAACCCCTTAGCCAATATAAGATTATTGTATTTTTAAATGCATTGTCTGGAAGTAAGATTTATATAATACCATTATCTTCATTTTCCTACTTTCAAACCATACAAGCTTAATACATTAGCGCAACTTGGCTTGAGTTTTCACTTCATACTTTATTAAACTTATAATGTCTAAATGCTATTAACTTCAATTGAATAAAAACATTCTTTTGAATTTATCCTCTAAGTTTTGTTGTAATATAAACCTAAATGTTGTGAGAATATTATTGTCAATTACAGTTTTTCAACCAAGTCCCTGTCTCAACTTTAAGCCTATGGGTGTTAGGTTAGCCTGTTGTCATAGACTGTTGATAAGAGCTAGGGCACTCTGTTCTGGGCTAGTCCCTCCAACTGTCTCCAAGTATCTACTCTTCTTGGTGTCAGGCCATTGTACTGGAAGGATCTTTCTGAGACGGGAGTTTATAAATTAAATTATTTTTTTTTATTTGTGTCATTCTCCATATCTCATCTCCATAGAGTAAAAAAACAGGTTTACTAGTGTATTGAATTCCAAGAGTTATCTCCACAACCCCAAACATTTTTAGTTGGTTGTAGCTACTCTGGCCGTGATAGTCCTTATTTGTATGCCTTCTTCTGCTTATAGTACAGCCTATGATAAGTCAAATAAAACTAATTTTTAAAATAAAGCTTTTGTTATCATGTTTAATTAAAATGTATCCAACAAGTGTTTTACTTTGATGTGCACATTCTCTATTGTTCCAGACTCATCCTTAACCACAATAGTGGAGTCAGAGAAAAATGTCCAGACTCTTGACTCCTTGATCGACTGACTCTAGACATGACTAATGAAGAGCTCCAGATTCAGAGAACTGATGAGGGCAGGTGCAGCCCCCCAGCAGTCTCTCCAGCTCATTTATACACAAACTTTCTAAACAATAGGGTACAAATAATGCATCACCAGTGTTACAATTAGAGGCAGAAAACTTCAACAGTGCAGCATAAAATCTGTGGAATAATGGAATAAGAAATTTTATTAACACCTTTCAATCGTAGAAATAGAGGAAATTTATAGAACTGTTCAAGGAACAGGATTTTCATCAACTCATTTTTTTTCACAGTGACCTGGAATATTATTAGAATATTTTGTGTGAATATATATATATATATATGCAATACATATATTTATGTATATCTAAGGGCGCCTAAGTGAATTTATATTTTTTCTCTCACATTTTTAATTTTTCAGGGCTTTCAGCTGAGCATGTGATCATGTCCTTACAGTTTTTTATTCCCCTTATACTACAGCTTGCCCCACTTGCACAGCACACTCTAATCTATTGTTGTATGGATGTCGGTAACCGGTAAGCTATTAGCTACCATACCTTAGCTTGTTTGCAGCAAACATGTTTATTTTATGCTAGTTAAATATTTCTCTACATTTTCTGGAGTTTGGAGTATAAACTTTGAAGTTCTACTGATGAGCGGACCAGGATTTAGATTTTAAATGTGAGAGAAAAAAAATGATTTTTTTAGAATAAGGAACAATTGTTTAAAAAAACAAAACAACGGGCTGGGAACCACTGGGCCACGCCTATAACACTATACTAGTATACTATAAGTTGTGTGTGATGCTTCTCATTTCTTCTTTTTTTTTTTATAATCGATAGTGCTGTAGGACACAGGGGAGATAAATGCTGTTGTGTAATAATATCTTGGTTGCATGTAGTTTTTGTTCTTCACTGTAAGAGTTATTGTTTTTCCGAGAATATTTTACCATCTGTCTACACAGTGACAGTGTGCTCTTACGAAGACATAATCTTAAAGATGGCGATGATAAAAAATAAATGTAGATCTATGTGACGCGTATGTTGAAAAATGTATTTTGTTTTATACTGCTAATTTTTAAGGAAGATAAGAAACACAAATCACGTGACCCTACAAATAGTGAAAAGCTTATTTCATTATAGGACCATTAGTGACAGCAAAGCCTGAGATTTCACTCGTGGCGGACCAACAAGGGGACGTAATTCATATATACTTTAGTTCAGTTATATTTAAGATGTAATTATATTGTTTGTGTGAAACTCACTTCCCCCCCCCCCCCCCGTCTGCTTTCTGAAATGTAGACAGCTAAGCTGCAATTGTGTACAGGGTTTCTTTTTTTTTTTTTGCTCAGAGGAGTGAACTTGAAACTTCCGATTGGGGGAAGTGGGGGAACAAATGTTAAAGAATATGTTTGTTTCGTCCTGGAGTGGAGTGAACGTGCTGGGGGGGGGGGGGGGGGTGTCTACAGGAGAGATGCCTGAAAGAAACAATGGGTTATCGGAGTTGTTATAAAGTCGTTGAAGGTATCACGTTAACAATGCTAGCCCTGCATTAACTATGATTACGTTAGGTTAGGCCTACGTAAAAACTCGGTTTCTTCGGGGGAGGCCATGTAAATATAACAGCCTAGCGTTATTGTTTGTCCATAAATGCAATTAAAATCCTAGGCATTGTGTAGGTAATGACACTATAGTGTGTGATTTATTGTAGCACGCTGCCGTCGAGCAGTTGGTGTGCACACATTGTGCCATCTGTTGGCGTGTTCGTCAAATGCGTGTGAAAACGGTGGGCGTGTTATTGTGTTGTGTCAGCGGCGCAGCTACTGCGTAACAAGTATCAGCAAGGCATAAGGTCCATGGAAATATATGAGCCATTTTTCCTGTTTGACCCATGTAAAATTTTACATAAGAAATTTGATATTTGTTTTGTATCCATTTATTTTAAAAAAGTAAATGGAAATCCTGTTTTTTTTCCTGCTGTAGAAATAATGTGTTAATTAAAGGCTCACAGTTCTTCAATAGTGTACAGGCATAGGCATGAAGGAACGGGGGTGGGGGGGGGGGGGGGGGGGAGACGACAAATAGGACCTGCTTGTATAAATAACAAAAGGCCTACAGCATTGTTGCGTTGTCGGGCAAGCAATTGAGAAAATTAGCATATAAATAAAGGTACAGCTCATCGACACTTGCCTGGCGCCTTAATTACAAACGGTGTTTTTTGTGTGATCCAGGTCCGATCATGTAATGGAAAGGTAACTTAAACATTAACTTTTTTTTTTTTTGATGGCATCCTTCACTTGTATATTTTTTTTGGATGGCATCCTTCACTTGTAAATTTAAATGCGCCCTTTGAAACCTGACCTGAACGGGAAATTCCCCCAACCCTACAGACGTACTACCCCCCCCCCCCCTCCCCGTAATGTCAAACAGCAGTGGAGACAGCGGCGTAGCTACAGTAAAGCTAGCATAAGTAAAACATAGGATAGGAGCCCAAGACGCCCTTTAAAATATTAAAACTTAAACAGTGAAATTTTAATATTTGTTTTTTTAGGGGAATAAAAAACTGTAAGGACATGATCACATGCTCAGCCCTGAAACATTAAAAATTTGAGAAGAAAAAAATATAAATTCACATAGGCGCCCTTAAATATACATACATATATATGTATTTTTATACATATATATACATATATTTATATTCACATATATACATATATATACATAAACAATTTTATATATATATATATATGTATATAAAAATATATACATACATATATATATATATATATATATATATATATATATATATATATATATATATATATATATATATATATATATATATATATATATATATATATATATACTTATTTCTTAAAACTTAAACATTGAAATTTTAATATTTGTTTTATATAGATAATTCTAAAAAGAAAATAAAAAAGAAATCAACTTTCTTTTCAGCTGTAGAATTTTTTTTTTAAACCCGTAAAAGTCCCCAAGTTATTCCATAGTGTACATGCAATGGCATGCAGAAGTGGATGGGGGCGGACGAGGCCAGGTTCGCTAAACAACCTCACGATTAATAAATCTACAGGAGTTCTCGGGCTAGCAATTGATGGAATTACATTATATATAAAGGCGTGGTTGGGTGCCACTTGACTGACACAAAACGTGTTTTTTGTGTGATTGCAGTAATGTTATGTAATTTTCAACTTGAGCTTTGACGTTATTGGGAATCCGGCACCCGTAGATGTACATGCATCGTTACAAACCTCAACTGGGCAACGCGAGTTTCCCAGCGCGCGGCTATCTTAGCACCTAGGGTCCGTTGATTGGACGTCCTGCACGGTGGGTCAGGGGTACTACTTGATGCTATGGTCAAACTTCAACAGGCGCAACAAAGGGCGCCCCGGCGGTCGTTTGATCCTGTATACCCCGGACTCCCCTATGAGCACTATGAAATTGCACTTACATTTTTCATTAAAACATCATTATTTTTCCTAAGTCTTTTCTAAATTCTGTCAACATAGAGTATGTTAATCAATTTAGATTACAATTTATTCCTTTTTTCTAACATTGTTTTTTTTTATTAAAAAAAAAAACCAGTGTGAAAGCGGTGGGTCGTTCATGGAAGACTCCCTCCCCCCCCCCCTCATTCCCCATTTAAAATGTAATCTAAAACTTCTTATTCTTTATTATTATTTTATTTTATAATCAATTAAAAAGGATATAGGCAAAAATCTAGATATAAATGAATAGGGAAGAAATAGGCATAACGTAACCAGGGGCGGATTAAGCTTCTGCGGGGCCCCTGGCTGAAACTTTTTCCGGGGCCCCCTAAACTATATATATATATATATATATATATATATATATATATATATATATATATATATATATATATATATATATATATAATGACATCACAAAACAGAGGCCTTTCCAAAAAATAAATAAAAATTGTCTATCTGAAAAGTCTGAAGCCTGGATAATGGTGGAGGGTTGGAAATCAAGAAAAATTTTGAACTAACTCCGTGCGAATAAATCGAAAAGAATGACTGACTCAACAAATGTAATTCCGAATGGGATTTCGGGGAGGAAGATATAGTTTGGGGGCATACCGGAAGTGGGGGGGGGGGGGGGTGATATGCCAAGCTCAACACAAGAGGTTCCAGTTTCCATTACCCTAACGGGTCGGACAGAGTTCACAGTTTAATTAAATTAGAAAAATACTTAAAGGTCAAAGTTCGCCATTGTTTATTGTTACAACTGAGGCCACGGTTGATGTTAGGCCTAGTGAGTTACCCCCCCCCCCCCTTCCTTCCCCATCTCAACTTGAACAATGCTGTATTTTATAGGAAGACATTAGTGTCGCACCTAGTTGTTATGTGCAGGGAAGAGAACTACGGTCGCCTGGAGATTGTTTTACCTGAGGTGGATGGCGATGGGTCGATTAAGTGAGCCTTCCCCCCCCCCCCCCCTCCCTCCGCCTCCACCCCCTTGTACCTGGTATGTAAATTTGGGAAAAAAACGTAATATGATATCCTATTGTATTCTGACCAATGTAGATGGGGTTTTTTTTTTGTTTTTTTTTTTATGTCTTTACTAGTTACAATTAGGTGGTAAATTTGGGGGCCCCTAAAAATCGGGGGCCCGTAGCTGCAGCCCTTTCAGCACCCCCCTTAATCCGCCACTGAACGTAACAACATCACGGAAAATATAATAATTAATATGTACCAAAAAATATGCATCTACATTTCAGAAGCTCCTTTGTTTTAAGAGTGATTTTCCCTTTCGGAAGTGACATCATTTAACACTTGTCATGGTACTATATTTTAGATGAAAATTTATTCGCAACATAATTTTGTTTGAAAATTATTCCTTATTTTAAAAACGGATAATTGTAGGTTTCGCCGTTAAAATGCGCCTACTATTATTTTAAAAATTCATATAACATATTTTATTATCAAATACGTATTTTGATTGTACTATTATTCGTCGCGGAACATTATTTTTTTCTGCGAGTAAGACGCCATTTTCGGGCTCAGTACCGATACAATACGGGATTTTTAGCAATCTCAGTACTAGACACCCCTTAAAATTGTGCTATAAACTAAAGATTGAGGTATATTCATATCGTTTGACTAGATATGCATTAAAACATAAACATACTTTTAGTTAAAGTAGTTTAACTGCTTGTAGTAGGCCTATTCTTATTATTTTAGTCATTTCTTTTTGACAAAAAGTTTTAGTGGAGGAGTGTGTACCCCGACTGTACTGTGTACTTTACCGACTGAAGACAAAAACAGAATCTAGATTCTAGACTCGAATTTTATAATGTAGACTATATCTGCAAGATCTCTAATTTACTGTAGGAGTACGAAAAAAATCTAGATCTAGAGAGTGACAATTAATTAGGTATTGTTTTAGGCCCCCCTACTCTGTTTTAGTTTTAATTAGGTACTAGGATAAATTTTCAAAATTGGGTTTTTGGGGAAACAACTACTACAGTTAAAAGGAGCAGAAAATTACAATAACAGAACCGTTTTCATTTTTGATGTAGCTCAAACGGTTAAAAAGTTATGATTTTTTTTCGTATTAAAAAAAGCGTTTTTTTTAACATAGGATTTTTTTCAATTTCTGTGTTAGAATTTTTTAAAACATTTACTAAAATTGTCATAGCCTGTAAACCGTGTGATCAAATTTGTTATAACTTTGTAGTAACTTAAGTTATCATATATGTTAACATAATAAAAAATAAAAAGAGAACTTCATAGGTAGAATTCTAAAAAAAACTGGAGGTGAGGAGGGGACCCCCTTGTTTTTGCATTCACAGTGCTTTCATACAATCACAGTTTAAAGTTAAACTATTTGAAATATCAAGCTGAAAATTGCTCAGAATGTGTGGCTATGGATGAGATCATTAATACCATCAAAATATTGATCATAATTTGAAAGTTTTTTGTTCAAAGAGCAAATGAGCTGATAAATTATGCATTTGTACAAAAACCGAAATCTGGTTAGTGTAAAATGGAAAATGATGCCAAATTTGAACTTTTAAGTATTTATGTCTCAAAATTGGCCTGATTGTAGTTAACCCTAAACCTAAATAGATACAATCAAATTGTATGTTTTAGTTATATATGTCTGCCTAAAATAGGGGGTGGAAGAATGTACCCCTCTATATTTTTAACACCGAAACTTTTCACACAACTCAAAATTAACTCAAACTATTTAAAATATCAAGCTGAAAACTGATCAGAATGAAGTTCTGTAAGTGTGTCTGTTAATATTATATAAATATTGATATTGGTAAGTTTTATTAATGGTTATATGTGAATTCTAATTTTTTTTAATATATGAAACCATATTTTAAACTATTGTAATTTGTTTTAGAAAATTTAGGATGAACAAGTTATTTATTTCCATCAAAGAAATTTAATTTTCATCACTGTTTAATATTACATTATTCTTCCTTTGCCTGTGCTGTAGAATTGCAGTTTCTATCTGAAATAATGAACATTACTTTAGTAACATGTCATTAAAATAAATGAAACATAACTAATTAGTAAACTGACCAACCACTGTAGACATACGGTCATTAAGATCGACTTATTAAAATTCCCGACAAACCCCTTGACATCATTAATGACTTATTGTGCGTGACAATAATTCCCGTCATTAATGCTCACGTCAATATGTGCTTGACAATAACTCCCGTCATTAATGCTCACGGCAAACTGTGCGTGACAATAACTCCCGCCATTAATGCTCACGGCAAACTGTGCGTGACAATAACTCCCGCCATTAATGCTCACGGCAATCTGTGCGTGACAATGACTCCCGTCATTAATGCTCACGGCAATCTGTGCGTGACAATGACTCCCGTCATTAATGCTCACGGCAATCTGTGCGTGACAATGACTCCCGTCATTAATGCTCACGGCAATCTGTGCGTGACAATGACTCCCGTCATTAATGCTCACGGCAATCTGTGCGTGACAATGACTCCCGTCATTAATGCTCACGGCAATCTGTGCGTGACAATGACTCCCGTCATTAATGCTCACGGCAATCTGTGCGTGACAATGACTCCCGTCATTAATGCTCACGGCTATACAGTTCTAGAATCTAGCTCTCGTCAAAATGGCTCAAAATAAACGCCGTAGATAAAAAAAAAACTAATTTTGTTAGTATTCAAGATCTAAAAAGTCCACAACATTAAAGAAGAATTCAAATAAACAGGACTACTGCGTTTACAATCAGAACAGAGCGTTGAAAACTTGGAATACTGTTTTAAATCCTTCATTATAAACTACGGTAAACGATCTTCCATAAGTGACGTCATTAACCCTCCCCCTATCCTCATTGGTACACTACGTCACCTTTCTTAACCCCAACCCTCGATGCTCACGTAGAACAATGTCAACCTCGGGTCAACGCGTCGTTCAGTGACGTCAGAGGACTGAGGACAGATTCCCGGTGAACGCAGTTAATTGGGGGGGGGGGGCATAACCAACAATAATAATGTCAGTTTCGCGTGTTGGTTTAGTAATTAGTAGTGGGCCATCCATACAATAGATCTACATGACGTCACGGAACTGGAGTCCACCGTACTTACTCAACCCCCCCCCCCCTCCCAACACCCATCTCCTATGTGCAACACATCATCCAAAACGTTATGCCCTCTCGGTCTCAACCTTAAACCGACCGCTAAATGTATGCGTACATGACAGCATTTCAAATAATAAAGTATATAGGCCTAAATAAAGAGTCAATGGGGAATGTGCTATTATTTTCTAGAACTGTCAATTCAAACGATATAGTGATATTAATTAAACAAAGTCTATACTAAATAATAAAAAAATAACTGAATACAGTGTAAATTGAAAGTCATATTTAATAAGTCGGTAGTGTTGTTAGCGTGATCGGGCTAGGCCTCTCACGGTACTTCCGGCTTTCCTTTCGTTTTGAGCCGTAACCATCAGAAATGGCGAAGTACATACCTTCTTGGGGAGTGAACCATTAACAATGGGAGCAACTTAGAACTCTAAATTAATAAAGATAATACGTAGAAATGGTCCCTATGTTTGAGTCTCTACATAAAGTGGACGTGTCTTCAATAGTTATTTTGTAATGAATAAAATAAACTTACCTTATTTTCAAAGAATAACTCCTCTTTTTTGGGTCCAGTAGAAAAAACAAAAAAAAACAAACAAGCTTGATATCCATTTATCTCCTTAAAACAATCATCACAAGAAAAATGATCACACGGAAGCGGCGAATTAAGCAAATTTTCGAACATCGTCACTCGCGCGATCGCCGAAAACGCAACAGCCTGGTAACGGGAGAAAAATCACGCCTCGGACGCCGCGGCGCGAGCGCAATCCTAGTACCTAGTTTTAATAAAAATACTAAAATACTTAAAAATAGTCAAATAAGATAAAATTAAGAAATCTAGATCTAGAATCCCTTGATTAAATCCCGGTTAGGACGATTATAGATACCGGTGTCCGATAATAGACGCTTCCATAAATGATAAAATAGGTGTATTAGGTTGTTAGTAGTATTATAATCTCGACTAATTTTATGGTTAGAAATTAGGGTTAGGCGTATGTATGGTAGGACCAGGGTTGGGGTTAGGGACAGGGTTAGCATTGACATTAGCCAGCCATGTGTTTATTTAGTTAACTACCAGTAAGCTAACACCTCTTTTTTAAAGAAGATTCCATTTTCGGACACCGGTGTAAAAATTCTCCCAAAGATTAGATCCTAGGACCTAGACTAGGCCGAATTTTAAATTTTTTGGCATAGGGGCCCTAATGATTATGATTAGGCCTAGTGAATTAGGCTACTAATTAATTAGGTAATTACTAAATTAGTCCTAAAGGCCTTAAAGTAATTTATGTAGGCCTAATTGCAATTAGATTCTATATTGAATTGTAAGTACTAAACATTTTAGAGGAGAGCTCAATAGAAGTAGAAGAGGCTGTAGGGGTCTAATGACTATGCAGGTGATACTACTTTGTAATTTTAGTACACTGCCACTCATCATAGGCCTAGCTAGTATCAGCTGACCTAGAGACTTTTTTTAAAGAGATAGATCGCTTCGGCTATAAGCTCATAACAAATTATAGTTTGATCAACTATAGAATCCTTTGGAGAACGAACCTCTGCATGACCTCATCCAACTTGTGGGCTTGTTTCATTGCATTAAATATAAACTCAAAACAATAACATAAACAATCTCATTTAAATGGGTCAGGCCACATACCACGCATGCATAGTGTTGTGTGTCATGCCTTAATGACACTGTTTGCATCATTAAAAATTTCCAAAATACATCATCTATCATTCTCATAAAATAGTTTATTTTAATTTGAATAGCATACCAGGTTTTAGAAAACTGAAATTGTGATAACTGAAAATTGTTTTGATCACTTACTTTATAGGCCTAAAGTTGCATAAGGTTAATAGCCTTTCACTTTTACCCCTTCTGGGACATAGCCTATCAACAGGCATTTTCTAAGCATCTCCATTCTGGGCTGGTATCTTTCACAGTCCCTATCTTCTTCCAGGATAGGTCTTCCTCTGTCTGCCTGTATTTCTTCTACCCTGTGCATTCTTGGTGAAGGCTTATCTTGTTATGCCAAATGCAGGCTTACTGAGTTTTCTCTATTTTCTCTGAAGAATATTATCGTCAGTTGGCTTGTGTGCTGTCGTTTTATTTGTAATGGTGTTAGGCCATTAGATTAAAGAATCTTTCTCAGAGAAAAAAATACTCCTAGTTTGTGTACACTCATATCAAAATAATATAAAAAATCAAGTCATGGATAGTCCTTATTTCTTGAGACTTAAACTACAAAGGTTTAATGTAGTTCATCTAGGCTAAACATAGAGTGGTGGGCAGTATTCAAAATATCCAACTAATACATAGAATGGCACATTCTTATTTTGTTCATTACAATATCATATTTTGCAACATAGGCCTACTTAATCACAAATATCAAGATGTGGTTAAAATTTAAATTTTACAATAGCATTTACTCTTTGAGTGTATATTTAAGTTATCTTTCAATCCAAATATCAGACTTTTGTGTTCACTTTATAAGAAATCAATCTTTTAGATTCAACCTTATTTTAATGGTAGATAGATTTATTTGCTGAAGATTTTCAAATCAAGTAGTTTTTGCACTAATACATTACTGGGCCTAAGTTGAGTTTTAAAGACTTGTTGGTGTAAATAATTTTAGAACTTATAAAAACATACATTTCAGATAATGTGTACTCATTATTTTTCACATTAAAACTAATTATTTCTTATAAATCAAATTGTTTTTTAAAATAGTACTTTTAGGTTCATGATGAATGTTGTTTTCATTTCAGAGCTTGCAGTAACGAGATAAGATAAAGGATTTCATGATAATAATCTTTAGAGAAAAATAAAATGAATGTTTTAAAGGTTTGTGGTTTTCATTAAGCTACATAAGCTATAATTTTTAAAATATGATTATCATACAATGAAACATTCTTTTTGGTTAAAACTCAGCTGTTTAAGCCTAACAATTTTTTTTTTAAAATTTTCTTTTTTTTTCCAGCAGCAAATTAAGTCTTTAACTTAATTTATTGTGCTTTTTCCTAACAGGCGGTGAGTACACCGGTTCCCAAGCGACTACGAGATCTAATAAGAGAAATTCGTTCTTCACGAACAGCAGCAGATGAGAGAGCTGTAGTTAATAAAGAATGTGCAACAATTCGAGATTCATTTAGAGATCAGGATAATACATATCGCTGTCGCAATGTTGCCAAGCTTCTTTACATACACATGCTTGGTTACCCAGCACATTTTGGTCAGGTAATAACTAAATAATGTAATGCTTGGTAATGTTAGTTAGAAAATAAGTAGTTTGTTTTGTGTGTTTTAAGCTTGATTATGCTATTTTTCTTGTTCTTTTTGTTTTCTGGTTTTTGCATTACAAATATATATTGTTTTATTCCTTTTTTTTTCACTACAACCCAGTTCTTTTTTTTTTCCTTAGCTTGAATGTATGAAACTTATTGCTTCACCAAGATTTACTGATAAAAGGATCGGGTATTTAGGTGCTATGTTGCTACTAGATGAAAGACAAGATGTTCATCTCCTAATTACTAATTCTCTGAAAAAGTAAATATTTACATTAATTTATTATGTATGGACTTTTTAAAATGAACTGCTGATCATTAAAATGGAAATGCATTGTGGATTGTTGGCTATTTAATTACGTTTGAATTATTTTTCCAGTGATCTTGGTCACCAGACACAGTACATTCAGAGCTTGGCATTATGCACTCTTGGTGCAATCTGCTCTACAGAAATGAGCAGAGATTTAGCTGGAGAGGTTGAGAAGATGATCAAATCTTCAAATGCATATATAAAGAAAAAGGTTTGATAATTTTGACTACTTTCATTTGCTGTTCATTCTTTATTATTTACTTTTCTTTCTTTTTGCACCTTGCTATTTATTTTTGAAAAAAAATTGTTAATTTTATTATTGCAATATTTTAGGCTATTTTGTGTGCTTTCGGTATCATCCGGAAAGTACCAGATCTTATGGAGATGTATATCCCAGCAACCCGGTCACTTTTAAATGAAAAAAATCATGGTAGGATTTTATTGTCTGAAATATTAATTTGCTTTTTGAACCCTCTCAAAGCCATGTTCAGTTGGGTATACTTAACATTTTAAATTATCATTTTTAAAATAATAACAAAATTTAGTAAAATAATTTGTCTTTTATGGCATCATTTAGAGTACCAAGGTAAAATATAATAATGTGCTAAATAAAGTTTGACATGATTTAATGACAAAATTTTATTTTTAGGTGTCTTGTTGACAGCTGTCTGTTTGATAACAGAAATGAGTGAAAAAAGCCCTGATACTTTACATCACTTTAGAAAGGTTTGAGATGTACTATATTACAAGTTTATAGTGTGAATCATGAAATATAATGATTATTACTATACACTGATACCTTACCATTCTTTAAAATTATTAACTAACATCTATTACATTTCAGTTAGTTCCACAGTTGGTCAGAATCCTTAAAAACCTTATTATGGCAGGTTACTCACCTGAACATGATGTTTCTGGTGTGAGTGATCCATTTTTGCAGGTGAGCCAAAATTTTACCAGTAAATTGCTGTGTATCATTGATGATCAAAACTATCTTTATTTCCTAAGAATTTCTTAAGATAGTCAATGCATTGTTTTTATTGGAGGTTAAATTTGTCACACATTATCCCCTTATCATATAGGTCAAAATATTGAGGCTGTTGAGAATACTGGGACACAATGATGCAGAAGCTAGTGAAACTATGAATGATATATTAGCTCAGGTAGTTTTTAATTAGCTCAAAAATATGTATTTATGAAAACTGAAAAAAAAACCATTAATACATAGTATCATATATTATTTAAAAAAAAATTTCTTTCCTTAGGTTGCAACCAATACTGATACTAGTAAAAATGTTGGACATGCAATATTGTATGAAATAGTATTAACTATTATGGGAATCCAGTCAGAAGCTGGTCTAAGAGTATGTAGTCTCTTTATATTTACAAACTTTCTACAGTTAATTAGGCCAAAACATTTTAAAAAGAGTTGTTGAAAACTATTAATCTTTGAAATCAAACAGCATGATATTTTACTAATAATTGTATCCATTTTCATTTTTCAGGTTCTTGCTGTCAACATTCTAGGCAGATTTCTACTTAACAATGATAAAAACATCAGGTACATAACTTAAATGATTTTAATTTGCCTGACAGTCAAATTTAGTTTTTTTACTTATTAAGTTATGATTTATTTAAATATTTGATAACTGATCAATACTTGTATGTATCAATGTTCCAGATATGTTGCTCTAAACACCTTGTTGCGTGTTGTCAGTGCAGATTATAATGCCGTTCAAAGGCATAGAACAACTATTGTGGATTGTTTGAAAGATCCTGACATATCTATTAGAAGGTAATTTAATTGTGTTTGGCTCTTTGCAAAATAGCAAGCTTGTTGTGCAATTAGTTAACCTTTTTATGGTCGTCCTTGCTTCTCAAGATTTAAATATGTACGTTTCTTAAAATTGTTTACAGGCGAGCCATTGAGCTATCCTTTGCTTTGATCAACCACAACAATGTCAGGGGAATGATGAAAGAGCTGTTGTTGTTTCTTGAAACCTGTGATCCAGAATTCAAATCTGATTGCTGTTCAAATATAGTCATGGCTTCAGCAAAGTAAAATAGCTTTTCTATGGCATACCTTTGTAATTTTCTTTTGCTCCCTTTCTACTTGTATATTTTAAAATGTTTTTTTCTTTTAATAGATATTCCCCTAATAAAAGATGGCATATTGACACAGTTTTGAAAGTGTTAACAACAGTAAGACTTTTTGAAATTAAAAACATAACCTAACAAAATAAATTGAATAAATACTTAAAATTATTAAAGTGTAACAAATACAAATAATTTACATTTATACATTGGTTACCAACAGTTGATCTAGTTAACATAGAAAATAACTTCTTTCACCTATTATAGATCACATGTGCTAAAGTGCTCTTTTAATTTAAATATGTATTAAAATTATCTAATGCCTTGTATCTCAGGCTGGCAATTACATCAAAGGCGATGTGGTGACTATAGCCATTCAACTAGTATCTGAAACATCAACTCTTCATGCATATTCTGTGCAGCAGTTATTCAGAGCACTACGCAGTGATATTACTCAGCAACCTTTGGCCCAAGTAGCAGCATGGTGTATTGGAGAGTATGGGGAGTTAATTAATTCCAGTAGTGTAGAAGAGGAAGAACCCCTGCATGTAAGAATTCGAATTGAATAATATTGAGAAAAATATTTGAATGAACTTAGTTTTAATGTAGCTCACATGAGGGATATTATAATTTGGCCATTTTCTCCACCTTGTTCAAGGTGCAAGTTTTAAAAAAAAATGTATTTCTTTTTTAGGTAACTGAAGATGAGGTGATAACTTTGCTTGAAAGAGTATTGGCAAACAATAACTCAGCTGTTGTAACTAAAGAGTATGTTATCACAGCACTAATGAAGCTTTCCTCAAGATTTATAAACAGTTCTTTGTAAGTAATTAGTATATATTGCTTAGACAATTTAATTAAAAAATTATAATTTTACCATCATTCTTAACATACACATCACCCATTAGATGACACGATTGATTTGCAAGTCTTAATCTTGGCCAATCAAATTGTGTTATTTTTGCTAATTCCAGGTTATCTACTACTGATTTTCATGATTGGTTGGTTGTTACTTTTTTTGTGTGTGTGTGTTAATAGTACATTTTTTATTAATTCCACTAAAACTGTGCCTACAGAGGGTCAATCAATAACAGCTTTATTTAGTAAAGTGATTGAATCTTATTTGTACATGACGTTCAATATTTGGCCAAGGCATATGAAGAGATAGTGTGCTCAGTAATATGCCCAGCTACCATAGTTTCCTTTATGTGAATCAGGTACTTATCAGACCTAAATGCACTGAGGGGTGTCCTACAGACTCGAGTCTGAATTCCTTAGGGTTTGTAGTTAAGTGCTCTATCACCCAGATGTGCTGTCCCCTAAATGTAATAAGCAGTCTTGAAAAAAATCTACAATTTCAGGCGACTAAGGCAGATAATTGCACAGTATGGTTCAAGTACAAATGTTGAGCTCCAGCAACGTAGTGTCGAATACTCAAACCTGTTCACAAAATTTGATCATATGAGGTAAATCTACAGAATCTGTTTATTTTTGTTAATAAGGATTTTAAATTGTATGCATAAATTTTCTATTATAATTTTTTTATAAAAAATGTTTATTTCAGACCAGCATTACTTGAACATATGCCTTTAATAGAGGCTCATCCACACAGCATAGAAGTGGGATTCCAAGAAAAGCAGGATGAGCTGCACCTTCTGACAGATTCATTTTCAAGGACTGTTGCACACAATGCAGCTCCTGGATTACCTGCAGAAGTAAGTAAAGTAACTGCCCCTAAATGTAAAAAGTACCCATTTTTACCCATAATTATGAAAACATCAACAATAATTTCAGGGCATAAACAAATAAGGCTTGAAAATTTTAAGACAAATGTTAACACTACAACATATTTAAACAACTTTGTATTTTCCAGAATGGTGATATTTTAGATATTTTATCCAATGGTTCAGTTCCATCATCACATGTGGATTCAATGAAAAATGGTGGAGGGGCTTCAGATCTTCTTGACTTACTTGGAGATTTAGGGACAGATGTGTCACCTATACCAGTACATAATAATACAGGTGATTTTTTTCCTGATTTTAAAATCTGTGCTTTTCTTTGTAGGATAATCAAACCAGGCTATAAAAAAAAATTATAATCATTTAGATACACAGATTTATCAATTACCATTTTTATAGAGATGTACTGAAACAAAACATTTTAAACATTTCTCTCCTGACGTTTTAGTTTTATCACCAGTCAGCAACAATCTTTTGGATGGTTTCATGCAGCCAGCAACACAACCAAATGCTCTTGTAAATGGGACATCAGGTATGATACTGTTTGGATTAATGAAATACATTATTGTTATAAAGTAAGGAACTAACAATTCTAAACTAGTATGTACTACATTTTTAAAGTAAAGTTCTGAATTTTTGTTGGGTTTTTCACTTTTTCCACACTCTGATGACCCAAATCTCTTCAATTACCTATGCTTTTTTTAACAAATCAAAACTGAAATGACAACGAACTAGGCCCAATTTTTATTCACAATATTAAACTAGTTAAAAAATATAAATCCTTTTATCATTAACAGACTTAAACTATTTACAAAAAAAGACAACTTTTTATAAATCGCTAAAACCTGCTTATCTGCTGTTTGTCGTTATTAATTTGATGTTCAAGCACTTTCAAACTCATATAAACTGATTATTTTTAAATGAAGTTGACCATTTGCTTTGGTTCTAGCTCTGCCGGTTGTAACAGCTTTTAACAAAGATGGACTTCTAATAGAATTCAATTGTCAGAAAGCTAACAATGATGCCACCAAAACTGTGATTAATATGAAGGCAACTAATTCCTCTCCATTCCCAATGCTAGACTTTGTCTTTCAGGCCGCAGTGCCGAAGGTAATTTTTATCATTTGTTTTTTAACCATTGACTTGCATTTGGTGTTCCAATGAATACATTTAAATTGCTAGCTTATATGTAGAAAACTATTTTCACATATGAATCTAGTTTTATTCTCTAAATGCTAATACTCAAAGATACACTATTAAATGTTAAATGTCTTCATTTAAATACTTGTACTCATTTATGGTATAAAGAGTAAGTGAACAGTTATTGGCTCTAAATGTTTTTGCATAACATTTCTGTAAAAATATTAATAATCTTATGTTTCAGTCATTCCAGTTAAACCTTCAGTCCCCCTCAGGTAACAGGCTCCCTCCAGTTAATTCAGGGCATGTAACACAAGTTATACAGCTCAGTAATCCACAGAAGGTTGGTTACAGCTTTCTTTTTAGATTAAAATTGACTAATAACTCATCAGCTTCCACAGTTTTCTACTTCTTTTCAAAATGTTATTTAAATGCATTTATTGAATGTACAATTTACACATGATTAAAGAAAATAATTACTGATTTTTTAAAATGTCTTTGCAGCAACCCATACGAATGCGTTTAAGAATAACCTACACACAGAACGGAAAGACAGTTAATGAGATGGGTGAAGTCAGTACATTCCCACCAGAGCTTTGGCAATAACATCTTGTAACATTTTATGTTTCTTTTTTTTTTGGCTGTGAGAATGGCTGAATGTCAGAAAATGTGTTAATGTGAGAAAGTTTGTTGGGTTTATGAGTCGTCATTGTAAGTAAATACTTATAGTAACAAGAGGAAAATATTGTAATTGATTAACTAAGGAATAAATGAACAAATAATTAAGCGAGTCCCTCAAAACTATAGTATGTACATTTTAAAAAATATCTTGGTTCATTATATATTTTTAAAGCATGCAATTTTCTTTTTAACTTAGCATTCAATCAGAAAACATTATAACCTGCTGTAGTTAAATATCACAGACTCTTGTATTTTCTTACGCAAAATATTTATTCAAAACTTGGTTTAGAGGGTTTAAAGCAGTGATTTTATGGTATTTCTATGTCTGTTAAAGCAAACACATAACCAGTCTATGATGAAAAATTTTGAAATATTTAAAGCAGTAAACTTCTAAGTGCATTTTTGATTACCTTTAAATGCACAACATAAGTATATAATATTTGCATAGATCATTTAATTACTCATTTATTAAATTGTTCTTACCTCTCTATTTTAAATTTATTTTAGTGGATTTTCTTGTCTTTGCTATTTTTTTTAAGTTGCTGTATTTATATATTTATTTTCAAATTAATTGCCCACTATAAACAAAATTGAAGTAACCCTTTATAGTACTATTATTTTCCCACCTGTTAGCAGATATCAATTTTATAATACAATTTAATCTTTATGTCTGCCAGTAACATTGAACTTGAAGTGAATGTTGCTTGATTCTTGAGCATTTGGATGGGCATTACAGCTGTTTAGGTTTTGGACTAGCAAATACTATAAATGTACTGAAATTATATTTACATTTAAGTGAAACTTTTTTCATCTTCTATTTAACTATAATAAAATTAGCCACACTTTAATCACTAAGATATTTCTTATAATCACATTAAGTAATATTAGATTATAGATATTTAACTGCAAAAACCTCTGCTCTTAAAAGGCCAGTCAAAATATCAATCATGAAAATTGACATAACATTCCAAAGATTGTGTTAGTGATATAACAAAAGAAATGAATGCTTACACTGATTTCATCTTGTTAAGCATTGGATATTTTTTTTTAGCACATATTTTGTGAAATTCCATTTTACTGTGGCCATTTTAGTACATTTCACTTGTTTTGGAATGTAAAACTTGTTAATTTCTTTTGAGGTTGTGATTGATGCAGTACTGATTCTCTTGGGTTTTTTTTGTGTGTGTAGTTGTGTTGATTGAAGGTAATGGAAGTATAGAAATCTGTGGTAATTAATTTAAAATACTATGCATTTGTCATTTAATAATAATTACATTATTTGAACTTTCATGGCTCATCAACCTTAATTAACCAAAATATCCAAGTTTGTCATATTTACTGTAGGTCAATTTTATTTATGAAATAGCTTTACCCATTACATTTTTGCATAACACCTGCAGTTAATAAATTATGCTCAATATTAGTATTTCTGAAGTCATTTAGAAATTGCTGGGAAATTTTAATAGAAATGTTAAGTCATTTGTATTTAGTTTTAATGGTAAATTATAATTTTCATAACAATTGCATAAAAAATGAATCATGTTTTATCACTGTGAGGTTGCCTTTTTGATGCTGTGATGAAAGTATGAAATATGTTTTTGTGATCTATTTCATGATTGTACATAATTTACTTTAAAAAAATGATTGAGCACTATTTTCTGTGTCTTATACTTATAAATATGTTTGCTTACAATAATTTAAAACATGTAGCAAAAAAAATTAAATTAGTATCTATGCTATTGAGAAGAAACAATTTAGTTGTACATTGCTAGAAAGTAATGTGTGGGTTTTATAAATCTAATGGTTTTATTTTAATATGACAGTATTTTTGTTTCACTATATGCTGCATGTTAGGAAATCAAATTTCAACCAATTTTCAAATAGCTTTAAAATATTGAATCTTTCCACATTTTAGATTGATAAAATGAATCAAGTAGTTGGCTAAAGTTATTTTTTAAAAATACTTGTAGATCACATTGAATTAAAAGATATGTATTTAAAATTTGTATTTTATGCATTTATAGTTTTCTTTGGATTAAAAATTGTATAAACCAATCTGTAAAATTTGTGTGGGCTACAGTTCAATCTTACATAATCCAAAGTTGTACCTACATGAAGATTTGTAAAATTTTTAGGGTCTGATAGTGTGTGATTTAAAATAGACTAATTGTGTAAAACTTTCTTTTTAAACATGCCCTTATTTTAATCAAAGACCCAAGGTTAAGCTAGATAGGGCCCACTTATTTATTTTTATTCTGTCATTGACTTTCTTTTTTCTAGGTCTGTAAAAGATATTCTTAGATTTCATTATCACTTTTGTTTTACACAATTAAGAGATTTAAGCAAGAGAAAAAAATTTACATTTCCATACATATATACATGGTTTGAGAAAAAGTGTTTTGAATGATACTTCACTACTAATAGTTAACTGATTAGTATCTTGTTCAAATAATAATATAACTTGCTCTGTTTAAATTTGGGAGTGATTGTGAATTTTTTTTCTATTACACCATGTATTTAAAGTATTTTTTACTTCTAGAAATTGTTTGCTTGTACAGTATATGTTATGGCTTAGTTAATTTTGTTTCCAGTTGTCAATTAACTGAGCTGTTTTGTCTGTGGATTGAAGTCACAAAAAAGCTGAATGAACCAAAGCATGTAATTAGCATGGATGATGTTCCACAAGGTTTCTTGGGAATCTTTTGAACTTAGAACATAATTATTTAAACTGTGCACTGAATAAAAGCAGTGTAAGAGAACTAATTTACAGTGCAGCTAAAGTTTGGTGATGGCTTATAGTTTGTGATTTAGTTGTGTGGTGTGTAAACCACATTATTTTTAAATGATGGTTTAAGTTATTAAACTTCAATTGTTTCTCTGTTGTTTTTGTGTGTGTGTGTTTGTATTTACAGTGGATTAACTATAAAAAAAAGACAAAAATGTTTTAGTTCATCTTTGTTAAATTGTGTACATATATCATGTTCTTGCATTGAAAGATGTATTTTTTTTCTCTTGTCTGTTTTATTGTCATACTTGATGCCATGTACATTGTCTTCACTGCGTAATTTAAGATAAACATACAATGGAATAAATAAATAAATAAGTTTGTCATGTATTCTATTGTATCTACCAGAAATAAAATAGTTCTCTTAGGTTAAGTATGCTACTAAAGAACTTTTTAAGAACTAATAAATATGAATCAAAATTTCTGCAGTATCTTATAAAATACACAAATATCAATGGATGCTGTACACCCTTGTGCTAAATTGACAAATTGTCAATACCATGTAAGTATAGTTTGGTCTTTAGATATAGGCATTATATTCTATATATATATATATATATATATATATATATATATATATATATATATATATAAGCTTAGATATCTAAATCATATTATATGATTCCACTCTAAGCTTAGTCGGGTCTATTAATTTTATCACTTCACTAAAGTTGTGTATGTAGTCAGTGGGGTAGCGAGGTCGGGTGTCACCCGGTGCGGCACTTAATGGTGTCACACCCCCCCCCCCCCAGAGGCTTAGCGACTCTTCCCGGGGACAAACTTTCAATTTTTTCGAGTTGCACCCCCCCCCCCTCAATTTTTCTCTATTTTTTACTATTTTATGCCTTGGTGTCACCCCCCTAAATGGTGTCACCCGGTGCGGTCCGCACCCCCTCCCTCGCTACGCCTCTGTATGTAGTAATACTAAGTATGGATAAAGTAAACCACGCTTGCCCTTCATTTAGAAACTAAATACTATGAGTGTCTGGATTAGCTTTTTAATTTTCTCCAGCGCGTCTTTTGGTTGTAGCCTAGATCTAAGTAGCCTACTAAAGTAAGAATACCTGAGGGAGCATTTTTACCTTTAGTCACATGACTGAACCACCAACCGGAACCTACAAACGACTGGAACGCCATCTAACACACTTTTAGGAGTCGGACGTAAATTAAAGATTCGCAGGATTATACTACACACTGGGGATTAAAAAACGCCGTGCAGTGCTTGTTTATAACATCAGTAAGCAATTGGTAATAAAATGACACAATACTAAATTGTGTTCAGAGGACTATTATTGGTATAGTGTTCTAGACTAGAATCTGGATCTTCTTGTCTTGGCGACCGGAGTTGACACTGCTGAGATGACGATGACCTATTTTTCATGTGTCACAGACTGAACTGAGATATTTTACTTAACAATAACAAAAACTTTCAGCAAAAACAATTCACAACTCTGTAAAATGTCAAAGTGAAATCGCAATTATTGTGTGTGATTTGTAGATCTAGTCTAGATCTAGATAGAACTAGTCTAGATATAGATCTAGATAGGGCCTATAAAATAATATATTTTATTTAAGACATGATGATGAGCTGAAGAGTGCTAGACTCACTCAGATCTAGATCTAGAGAATAATCTAGATTAGAATCTAGCTAGATCTAGATCTAGAACCTAGATTCTAGATCTAATGTAGATCTAGACTCTGTGTTAGAGCTAGACTCTGCTAGATCTATATTATATAGTATATAGGCCTACTATATTATTAATTCTATACTAATCTATACATATAGAATCTATTCTAGTCGTGTAGTAGACCTAGGCCACTCTATTTTATCTAAGATAGACTAGGACTCTGGTCCTAGTCAATCCTCTAAACTAGAGAACTCAGGAGTCACTCTAGACACTCTAGTCTAGTGTGACTCTAGACTAGATCTAGTCTAGATTCTAAATCAAGTAGATCTACCCTACCACTGTACTAGAATTCTAGTAGATCTATCAGTGATCAGATCTAACACTCGTAGTGTAGTCACCTTCTAGATCTAGATTCTAGTTCTAGAATCTTTTTACCAAAACATCACTAAATCCAAATTTCTAAATTTGTCTTGAGTATTAAATTTAAACTCTTAAGCTAAGGCTAGAACTTAATCTAATACTACTAGATCCTCTCTATCTAGATTAGTGATTAGAATCTAGAGATCTAGCTCAAAAGTTTGTCCCCCAGCGCCGAGAAGGGTCGAAAAAAAATGCGGGGAGTGGGGGGGGGGGGCTAAATAACCTGGTGCCAGCACTGCCTCCACTTCACACACCAGCCCCAGCAATACAAGTCTACATTTGCCACTGAGCAATATAGTCTTATATCATTTTTTAAAATTTCCCTAACAGTTAGGGTTAGGTTAGTAAAAAAATGCATTTCCTATTGTCCTAAAAACATAACATAAAAGTACCCACTACAATAATTACTATACATATTTTTCTGTTAATTATGAGACAAACTATTGAAGAATGAATAGTAGTTTTGACTAGGCTTGTAAACTATTATATTGTAACAGTCTAGTACCAGCAACATTGATCCACAGAAGTTACTTGTTATGAGAAATAAATATAATTACCAATGTTACTGTTGATCCAATAATTAATTTTCACCTGTCCCCATCAAACAAATCACATCTTTTGAAGTGTTAGAGCAACTTACAGAAGCATCTTCCCTTTTGATAAAATATGTGGCTACTTTTTATTTATATATAAATTCATCCTCATTTTGGTACATATAGATTAGCTTTACCCAGAAACAGCTAGTACTGCTGATATTTTTTATAACACACTGTAACTTTAGGGAAAACTCATATTTATAATTATAATTTTTAACTCAGTAGAGTGGGGTGGTAAAGTACCAGATCCAGGCTTTTTACTTTCTCGTATATATGGAATATAGAGAAAGTCTTGTAATCTTGAAAAAAAATCGTGATTTTTGTAAATCTCGACGTTTTACGCCTCCCTGAGTCTGAAAAACATAGTTTTGCAATCTTGTCTGTATTTATGTGTGTGTGTGTCTGTCTGTAAACACGATAACTTTAGATAACTTTAGTACCGTTACAACTAGGTTGATGAAATTTCATATATAAGTATTAAATCAAAATCGTAGATCCGTATTAACTTTTGAGCAATTTCCGATAACCGGAAGTGAAACTTTTTCTACTTTCAATATTTTAGAAGCCTATAACTTGAGTACTATTTCAGATAGATAAATGAAATTACACATGTAAGTAACAGACCTAGATCTCTGCCTTCTTTCAAATTTTGAGTAATTTCCGTTGACCGGAAGTAGTAATTTTCTCTATTTCCTATTTCTCAAAAAATGCATGTGAATTGATAAAGTACTAATAATATTCCGCACTATTATACACATTTTGTTTTGCATTCACTTGGTGTGCAATCCTTTTTCCTTCAAGATTCTTCTCTATTTTAAAAAGTTTAAGTAATTAAAAATCATGTTTATATCCCGAGTTGCCATCCCGTTATTTTATATAAGAATATTCGAGAAAGCTGAGAGGAGATCACTCCCTATTTATTTTTTAATTAGTTTTTTAACCTCTTCACATAACATGTACAAAAAATTGCAGCGAATGGATATGTACAAGCGAAAATTATGGAATTGTATTAGTAACAATGTTTATGTCATAGATAATAATGTTGAAACTGGTGATGTAACCATGTCATGTTTTTATTTAGCTGTGCTCTTAATACTAGTTATATATGTAATCTGAATGAAGGCTTGTGTGTTTTGTTTGGTCATGACCTTTGGATGACTAAGGTTGTTTGTTTGGTTTTTTAAAAATGTAATAACTTATTGTTTTAACAAACTTAATCATACTGCTCTTCATACTATGCTGGTTAATGATTTTTTAAACAATTCACGTTTTTTTCCAGGCATAGAGCTCTATTTAATCTACCATCCAGTATGGCTTCAGATGAATTAGAAGCATCTTATTCTTTACTCATTCTGCATCAAACTATGGATATGTGGTCATTGCAAAACTATTTCCAGATCATCTGTTAAAGGTGGAAACATTTTCTGCTTTAAATATTACAGGATAGACAAACTGGCCTTCATGATAATAATTTAAAACAAACATGGAACATTTTAAAGTAAATTAAGTCATCCTGTAATAAGTATTACACAAAAGTTGTGTTGTTTATTTGTGTGGACTTGGTTTTTAGTTTTTGAGCATAAGACAGGCAATTTACTCCTGTTTTTGTTACTCATACAAAAAAACCTCAGTGTTGTGATTTTGCTGTTGCATTAACAAAACATGGCCATGGAACACTACGAACTTGTCCAAGAGATGCCATCCATAGAGCGGATGACAACTCAGGACAGGTTGAAGCATGCCCGTAAAAGAAGATCCCAGCAGTTAAAAAAATGGGCCCAGTATGAGAAGCAGTTAGAAAAGGAGAGCACAAAAAAGAAGAAAAAGGAACCACAACAAGACTCTATGAAAAGAAACAAAAGACGGAAAACAGACAGAGTACAATTTGTAGCTAACATTGCCCTCCTAGAGTCTGCTGCCAGAAATGACTTGGAAGAAGGTAGGAAATGTTTGTTTTCTTTTTAAACCTAACATCTCCTTTTAAAAAATGTATTTATATGTTTTAAGGTAGATTCTAATTTTATAGAGTAAACTATCAATCATACTTTGCCACCTTTTTTGGGGACTTCATATAATTATATTTCATTAGCTCTTGGTTTGCATTCTCCATGCATTTTCATCCTGTGTCTGTCTTTGTACTTTTTGAAAGATTCTCAATAGGTTTTCTGTGGCTTTTGATAGCATTCAAGTTTTAATGACATACATTGTAACTTCTCTTATTGTTGTTTTATATATTGTTTGCTTAGTGCTCCTACTGATGTTCTTGCCATCATGTTTTGGCTACTGAAAAATGCCTTGTTGCTTGTAGAAATTCTATATTTTATTTATACTACATTTATATACATAGTACATCAGTTTGCTTTAAAACCAACTTGTGGGATCCCTTTACACAGTATTGTTGATTGTTGAAAAAAACTTTTGCACCCGTTTTTCTGTTTAGAAAATAATATAATTGAACAAGATATTGCAGACCAAGTAATTAAATAACACATGTAAGAACTGTTAGAACTACTCTTTAAAAAACAAACCAGGTATACTCTATTCTATTGACAACCCCCTTCATATCCTTTGATTCTGGTTTTTTTTTTTTGTATTGTTATCTTAATGACACATTGTCAGCTTTATGTTTATCAACATGACAAGTATTGCATGCCAGTCAGCCTAGAAAGCTGATTATAGAGAAATGTCAATAGAATAGTTTTAATGACTGCCTCCTTACTAGCATTTTGATAAAAATGATACTTTATAGCCGTATAGGCCTACCTTGTGTATTTGTAAATAACGTGTTTCCCAAGTGGGCGTGTCCAACATTCCGATAATATTTTGCTCAAGAGAGGAGGTATGAATGATGTGTTTGTTAAATTGGAATTGTACCAGTTAAGTCCGCCATAGCGGACATCTCCGTACTTCACTTCCCTCCCCTTGTCCTTCAGCGTTACCTTAGACTCGAAGGCTTAGTCTGAGTATGAAACGTTCTTACAAGGCGTATGAATAGACGAGTTTCACGCATAAAACATGAAATAGGACAAGCCCCCCTAGACGACAGACATTATAAATGGCACACAAAGTCCGACCTGTTCTTACAGCAGAGCTACACAATCTGGTGTCACACAAGGTTAATTCATTGGCTCAACACTCGCAGTTTATGTAGCGGCTCATTACACTAACTAGATCTAGAGCACACATGTTTAATTAGGACCAGGCCTAATTGATTGGTGGTTCACGTCGAGCCGAGAGTTTTGTCATTACAATTGGGTGTGTTGTGTTTGTCTTTACGAGAGAAAAACGAGTGCATTGACACACTTAAAAAAAAAAAAATTGAGCTTGCGGCGTTTATATGTATATAAAAAATTCCGCGTGCTTGATTTTATTTTCCTCGTGAAACAACTTTCTACTTCCTAAATATCACAATAGAATTGGTCTACTAAGTGTTAGATTAGTGATTCTTAACCCAGGGGCTCGGCGGGTCAAGAAACACTCATGACTCTATGATTCACGTTCGGATTTTGTCAGTTCGGACGATAGAAGTAGAAGGGTTCAGTGAATGCGCATATGAAACTGGTGGGGTTTGGTATTTCCAAAAAGTTTAATTAAGAACCACTGTGCTAGATGAAACAACCGTGCGTTACTGTGAAAATAGTGATATGAATCAGTCTAGTGCCATATAGTGTTATAGATAATTTTCTATTGTTTAAGCTACACGACATAGTCCGTGCACTAGTATAATTGAATGTCAGTACTCTCAAATTGTGTGCTTAGTCAGGTTCGGGGCCTATAATGCCGAGACAACTGACCTGCATCATAGGCTATTATTAGAATACGTGGGCGGGTGGCCTGTTGGGGTTACTGCGCTCCCGCCTGTAGCCTAGTAAATATTAATGCGAACTAATAACAGACGGGCGAAAATTGACACTATAATCCATCTTAGACTATCAGTGATGTTCCTGCTCATTAGTTTTGTTCTGTTGCTTTATACCTCAAATCCTCAACAAATTATTTTGCTATTTCTACTCATTGAACAAATAATACTGTGATTTTTTTTAATATGTACTATCGTGAATTGCTTTATTTTAAAATAACGCAGAACCCTTTGTGTAGTAAAATGTTAAATAATTGATTATGCAACATTCTATTTCAAGCTGAGAGGGTACTTATAGTAACTTAGATTATTTATAGAGAGCAGTCTCGTGTTAAGCCTGTATGTATATAGTTCTCTTATCTCGCCGATCTCTGCTGGGTAGATAAGCGGATTACAACGTGTAGTGTCATTCACTTCATTTAGCAACATGTTTAGTTGGTGCATCCCTGGCACTTCTAGTCTTGTTTATCTATGCTCCAACACTACCATCTATGGTCCATAGTTTAGTCAATCAATAACTGCAACAGTTTTAAACAACGTAAATCGAATCGATTGTCTTTTTTTGCAAATGCGTTTATTTATGCTTGCGTCAGTTTGAACCTAATTATTGGTTTATCTTAAGACCGACTTTGCTCCTACATAACAATAATTTACAGTAAATCAATGGTATCTTTAAAAATGTTTTATGCTGGCGTCAGATTGAACCCAATGAGCGGTTTATCTTGAGCAATGTACTGACACCAATAATTAGATCTTGGTGTCGGCAAACGTCAATCGGCGTTCAGTTGTATGTTTCTTTATCACATCTTGGTTTTCATGAACACACGGGCGTGCCTACAACTATACTTAGGCAAGTCTTAGTCAACTCATTAACCGCTTCATTTATGTTATTAATATAACACACTTTCAGTTTAATTTTTACTCAGCTAACACCCATCTCCCGCCCATCAGCACATATAGACATAAATCTGTTATAGAAGTTAATACGTTTTATTACATGTAATAGGGAAACACAGGTTGTGCATGCCCTGATAAAATGCGAGTTAATCGACGTGTGCACATACAACTGCCGTCAACACGCGCGGAAAAGGCCGGCTATTATCTCCGGCCTTTTGATGAACCTTAAACAAACACCCCTATTCCCCCCCCCCCCTAAAAGACCCGCCAACACTGCGGTGAACGCAAATAAACAAAAAGTTGACGATACAACCGCCAGTAAAAGCTGACTTGAAAGTGTTTTTTTGGCACAGGTAATGACCCACCGTAATGCGTGACGTAAGCCCTACAAAAACAAGGGTCATTAACCATATTTTTGGCAGGATACCTGCCTAAAGAACAAGATGGATGCCGCGTAGATGATACCATCCTCTAAAGTTACGTCACAACAGTTGTGTGTTTTGGACATGCTGAGTGGTGACCGCAGTTAAACAATAGTGTATGTAAAACTTGCTAAGTGTGGGTTGGTGCCAGTTTCACGTTGAACTGAATGCACTTGATAAGTGCTGTGTATCATGAAACAAATGTGTGTTGTTCGCTGATGGCGAGGTCGAAAGAATGCCATTTGTTAGGCCGGTGTCTGGTGGCACTTGTTATGCATGTACTCAACTTTACACCGCGGCACAGTATGGTTGTATGGCTATATGAAGTCAACTTTATAGGCCTACTACGCAACAATACGTCACATTGCAAGCAAATAGGGGTGCTAAAATTGGGACCCCACTTGGCTCTGTTTACTTGTATTGGAAATAAATTATTATGTTTGTCCACCTAATAAATGTAAACAAGGTCATGATTAGATGTTGAGATATTCAGGTTAGGGTCAATGTTACAACGTTTAATGGTTGTAGCATTGTATATTAACCTGTGAAGTTTGGAACCATTTGTCCAGCCCGGCTTATGGTCAGATACAAAAGAGCGACAAAAGACACTTTTAAAAAAATCTTAATCATTATGGCAGCCAATTAACGCTGTATGCTTATTTAGGAGGAGGGGTGAATTGAGGTGGTTTTTTTTTTTTTTTTTTTTTTTTTTTTTTTTTTTTTTTTTTACTATTGAACGTGGAATCGTAAAAAAAAAAACCCCGCGGTTGGATATCGGCAACCAATTTGTCTATAACCTCGGCTCCTCTCCCCAATAAATAATGCCTGATGTAGATATATGTCGGCTGGTTTGCCTGTGCTCTTTCCCCCGCAGAGGCCACGGTTAAGCTGGAATAATTGTCTATGTGGATGTTGTATTGCACAAGACCGGCGGGGATGAAGATCAGATAACATGATGAGACGGGGCGGTACAAAGGCAGGCTCCTGTGGACACGTGACATCGAACCTGAGTATCGCATACACACATCAAATTAGTTCCGGATTTTATGGGGAACTTTGACTCCACCTGCTTTAAATGTGGATTGTAGCCTATCTACTTTGTTGGCTGCAATCAACATGATTAGGGGGGGGGTAACTACAAATCAACAGACATGTAGCCTAAATACTGCGTAGTGGTAATTGTATCCGTATTACTAGTGCGTGCAAACGACGCTTGTAGTGTAGGCCACGGCTTGAGACAGGGCTGGCTTGTGGAGGAAATTATTCGCATCGCTGGTCCCGCCCGTAGAATGAAGCTTCCGTGGTTTAATTTTTTTATCGATTCAAGTCGTCCGTTTGTAGAATCTACACGGGAAGTGGGCGGAGGATGTTTCTCCCTACCCCCCTCTTAAATATTGTAGCAATGTTTACTGTTGTACATATTTTGTAGCCGGCTAGTAAATGTGACGGCCACACTAGTGCCAATAGACTCAGTTCACACGTATCTGAGGGAGGGAGGTGGGGGGGGGGGGGGTTGGAGAGCGAAGATAAAAATGAAGTAACAAAAATACAAAATGTCTATTTCTCCCACTTCTAGTTCGCCGTCTGTTGGAGAACAAAGTCAGCCCAGACGTGACGAATGAAGATGGCCTTACTGCATTGCATCAGGTAAAACAACACAAAATATCAAGCCCCCTTCACACTCAAGGCTTATCTATGCCACTAATATTTTGTTTGCTTAAAGGAACCAGTTTAAAATCTTCATAAATCTTGCTAAGTTTATCAGAGCCTTATTGCCATAATACTGTATATGTTTATCCAACTACATATAGTAAATATTCCTTAGTTGCCATAATTTGTTAAATGGGATTTTGCACATTTTTATCCACCACTCCTTACTTAGGCCATCTATATTATGACTTTTAACAAAACACACTTTTGTTTGTCAAAATAAATTATTGTAATCTCATCATTTTAGAGAAAAAATTAACATTGTGTTAAAAGAAGAGAAAAAAATATTAAATAGTAGAAGTGTTACAAAAATAAGAATAAACAAAGACTAAGGCTGTTATGTGACAGATCTAAATCACTAACCTATCCCATAAAACATTAAAGTGTTGAACCACCCCTATTATTTCTGATGTTAATAAGTTATTGTGATTCTTATATAGGAATACATCTTTTCACTAGTGTAAGCAGGACTGTGTTGTTGGGGAGGGGAGAAATGTTTTTTCCAAATATATTTATATGTATATATGGTGCCTACATAAATATCAGCATGTGCATGCATGCATGTTTTATATATTCTATAAAATTAGGAAAATGTAAAATTGTGGTTTTATAAAAATTTGAAAATTAATTTAATGCATTGTAATGTAAGCAAAGTAAGCATCCCTAGTAATTTTTTGGGTTCATGGGGGAGCTTTGACACTTTCAGACACACTCACATACACACCCCTTCTGTTTATGCCACTTTCTCTTTTATAAACCTAACTAAAAATGCGCATTATGTTTTCTTTGGGTTTACCATTCTGCTTTTTTTAACAGTGCTGTATTGATGACAATGAAGAAATGTTGAAACTCCTGCTAGAATTCGGTGCTAATGTAAATGCCTGTGATAGTGAAATGTGGACACCACTTCATGCAGCGGCCACTTGTGGCCATGTAACCTTATGTAAACACCTTATAGAGAGGTAGGGCTGACATCAGTTTTTAAAAAAAAATTTTAACATTTTATAGAGAGGTAGAGTTCATACAACATAGACGAAACTGGAACTCACCAATACTAACATTTTGGTGTATAGAATTGATTTAGGGTAAAACACTGTGACCTTTACTTAAGCACTGTCAATTGTTCTCTTTCCCCAGAGGAGCTGAGCTGTTGGCAGTTAATGCAGATGGAAACATGCCCTATGATATTTGTGAAGATGAAATCACTTTAGACTATATAGAAACAGAAATGGCTAAAAGAGGTTTGTACAAAAGCTATTTTTGCTCTAACTGAATACAACTATTTTGGCTCTTGCTGATACAAATTTTATGTAATAAAATTTCTTTTTTTTTATTATTCCAACACAATTTGGTGTTTTTATAATACTGAAACTAGCTTACTAGAAAAGCTGTGAACTCATATTCTTGAAGTTACAATTTTTTTCAAAACATTAGTTCTCTTTTTTTTATCTAACTTTTGTTTTGAATGACTAACCAGGAATCACACAAGAACAAATCGACACAACAAGGTTAACCACTGAAAGACAAATGTTAAATGACCTGAAGGAACTTGTGGCAAGTGGAGGGGATCTAGAATTTAAGGATGCTGTGGGAGCCACTATGGTAAAACTTTTTGTTGTTCTTTTTTTTATTATTGTAAAGGGTGATTTGTTAAGGTCGCAAAGTATTTGCAATATATCAAATAAAAATATAAATAAAAATATGCATATGATAGTATTCAAATAGTAAAGCATTTTTTACAATCTTTCTTAAGCTTGATAATTATCTAAAACATACTTTCTAGCTTAAAATAAATTAACCTAAAACTAATACATAACATTATTTCAGCTTCACATAGCAGCTGCCAATGGATTCTTAGATGCCGTAGAGTTTTTGTTGGACCATCATGTCAGTGTAGATGCCAGAGATAATGAATCGTGGCAGCCTATACATGCTGCAGCATACTGGGGGCAGGTAGGCAGAAACATTTTTTTAGTATCTTGGACAGACAGATTGAACATTTAATACAGGGTGCAAGTGGAATAGAACAGTTAATCAAAACCTTGGATAAATACTGGGCACCATAATGAAAGACAAGATTATCTATGTAAATTTTACAAAGTAAAATTCAATGTTTTTCTCAAACAGCTGGACATACTGGAATTGCTTGTTCAGAATGGTGCAGACTTAGATGCAAAAACTAAAACTGGGGAAACTCCATTTGGTAAGTTTATAAACAGTATTATTGTTTTCATTTTTAATATATCTTAAATATTATAAAACTTGATAAAACATAATGTAACCATCATATTTTTTTTCTCTCTGTAGATTTAAGTGAAGATCCAGATATTAAACAAAGGATATTGGATTTAAAAGATGAAATTGAAACCAACAAAGCCAGCAGATTGCGCCCAGGATCCTCCAGAAAGCACAAACATAACTCTAGAAAGTAAGTTCTTTAGATAGTTTTTTGCTACAGTTTATAATAAGAAATTTTTTCTCTCAATATTTCATTAAAAATTGAATATTTGGCAACTTTTATTTTTAAAGCCAAACAAAAAGTTTTCTGTAAAATTCCAATTTTTATCAAATTTCTTTGTTGGTAAAGATTCTCTTTACAATAGTTATTGTGAAGTAGTTTTTTAATGCTAGATTATTTTAATTCATTAGTTTTATGTACTAGTTATTATTGTGGAGAAGTTAATATAGTCAATAGTAACTAACACTAATAATAATAATAATATACGGCTGAGTTTTTATTTACTTTAATAAAAGTTATCAAGAAGCTTTGATTTAACAGTTCTTTCAACACTGTTGATGGACATAACTTGCACAGCCTGTATACATTCATCTGACTTGCCATTTTCTAAGATATTACTAATAATAATTGTCTTGTTCACTTTGGCATTTCATTAAAACTTAATGCTCACACCAACCTTATAATGTATATCATCCCACTTAAATCTGCATGAGTTGTGAAGTCTTGGTATATAAAAAATCAGTTGTTCAATTTCCATTTTATCACTAGCAAAAATGATTGGTGTATTTCTAATTTAACAAAGCAAGAATAATAAATGAATACTTATGCTTTGTTTTAAAACTATTATTAGTGCTAAAAAGACTAGAAAATAAAAGGTTTTAAATTTTTTATGTTATGTATATATTTTGTATAAAAATATCATTCCCTAGCTTTTGTATGTGTCTGCATATTTACAGTGGTTGCATTGTCTAAACATTTTTTCATCTCATTTAGCATATGATTTAGTGTCTGTATTTTAAAACCGTGCGGCGTCAATTCGGCCAATGACGAAACGGCCCCGTCAAAACGACCCCGACAAAACGACCCCGTCAAAACGACCCCGTCAAATCGGCCCCGTCAAAAGGGCCAGCGACATATGGACCCCGTCATATAGGCTCCCGACAAATAGGCTCCCGTCATTTAGGCTACCGACAAATAGGCTCCCGTTATATAGGCTCCCGACAAAAGGGCTCCAGTCAATAAGGCTCCTGACAAATAGGCTCCCGTCATTTTGGCTCCCGACATATAGTCTCCCGTCATTTAGTTTTTTCCACAAAACGGCCCCCGTCATTACGACTCCCGACAAATAGGCTCCCGCCATTTAGTTTCTCCACAAAACGGCCCCCGTCATTACGACTCCCGACAAATAGGCTAGCGTCATTTTGGCTCCCGACAAAAAGGCTCCTGTCAATTTGGCTCCAGACAAAAGGACCACTGACACAGTGGCGTAGCTGCCGTAAAGCTAGCATAAGCAAGGCATGGGGGCCCAAGGCACATAGGGGCCCTTTTCCCTCATAAAAAATTAAAACTTTTACAATGGAATTTTAATATTTGTTACATTTAAATAATTTTAAAAAAGAAAAAGGTTAAAAGTTCCAAAAAGCCCCCCAAAGGTTAAAAGTTCCAAAAAGCCCCCCCCCCCCCCCCCACCGTTTCGGCAGTGGGATTCAGTGTTTGTGGGTCAAACAGAGCCCAATCGTTATAATAACACTACAGGCTATATCACTTTGTCGTGCAAGACATTGAGAGAATCAGCCTATAAATAAACTTTTTAGCAGTAGTAGGCAAGCATAATAATATAGTATAAATACAAAATCAGGACATATAAAATACAAAATGTTGCCTTCAGAATATTTATATATTAAAAAATATCCATCGTAAGTAGAAGTTGATATCTTCGTTTAACTCCTCTGTAGCCTAACGCAGAGGCGTAGCGAAGGCGAGGCGGGGGGTGCGGACCGCAAAGGGTGACACCATTTAGGGGGGGTGACACCAAAGGCAAAAAATTGTAAAATTTATAGAATGAAATGCCATTTTCCAGATCCATTAGTTAAAGTTAAATAGTCTTCTAAGTACAAATCGAAAATTATATCAAGAGGGGGAGGGGGGTGTGACACCACGACGTAAACGTAAACTATAAAGAAAACAATGCTACATCCAACTGTATTATAAACAGACTAGTAGATAAACATCGTTACTATTAAGTCAGCAGTGATTAAAGCTTAAACATGTACGTGTACCAGTATGTGGCATATATATAAATTTTAGGCCTATGTAGGCCGACACACACACACACACACACACACACACACACACACACACACACACACACACACACACACACACACACACACACACACACACACACACACACACACACACACACACACACACACACACACACACACACACACACACACACACACACACAGACAGACACACAGACACACAGACACACAGACACACAGACACACAGACACACAGACACACAGACACACAGACACACACACACACACACACACACACACACACACACACACACACACACACACACACACACACACACACACACACACACACACACACACACACACACACACACACACACACACACACACACACACACACACACACACACACACACACACACACACACACACACACACACACACACACACACACACACACACACACACACACACACACACACACACACACACACACACACACACACACACACACACACACACACACACACACACACACACACACACACACACACACACACACACACACACACACACACACACACACACACACACACACACACACACACACACACACACACACACACACACACACACACACACACACACACACACACACACACACACACACACACACACACACACACACACACACACACACACACACACACACACACACACACACACACACACACACACACACACACACACACACACACACACACACACACACACACACACACACACACACACACACACACACACACACACACACACACACACACACACACACACACACACACACACACACACACACACACACACACACACACACACACACACACACACACACACACACACACACACACACACACACACACACACACACACACACACACACACACACACACACACACACACACACACACACACACACACACACACACACACACACACACACACACACACACACACACACACACACACACACACACACACACACACACACACACACACACACACACACACACACACACACACACACACACACACACACACACACACACACACACACACACACACACACACACACACACACACACACACACACACACACACACACACACACACACACACACACACACACACACACACACACACACACACACACACACACACACACACACACACACACACACACACACACACACACACACACACACACACACACACACACACACACACACACACACACACACACACACACACACACACACACACACACACACACACACACACACACACACACACACACACATATATATGCTTTGTTTCCTGGGAGGGGGTGACATTACGAAGTGCCGCACCGGGTGAGACCCGACCTAGCGACGCCACTGGCCTAACGGCTGACGAAGGGGCCCACTGATAATTTTTGCATAGGTGCCCGAAAATCCTAGCTACGCCACTGCACTGACAATACCGTTTCTGTAGCGACTAAGTCTCCCGGCAAAGCGGTCTCATTGAATATGACATCTGCCAGTGGGACCCCTTCATCAATATTCTTTAGAGTTAGCTTATCCAACACTCTTATGTAATACAACGTATGCATCTCTTGTTCGGCAGGCCTTATTTTTATATTAGTTTATCTATTATAAAATATAGTATGTTTTAATTTAAAGGTCATCTATCTATGACATCCATAATTGAGTCGGTCATAGGCTGTTCCAACTCATTGTGTGGGGAGAAGGGTCCACGCTGTACCTTCCTAACTGCAATATGCTTGTACAGGGGCGTAGCGAGGGGGGGCGGGGGGTGCGGACCGCACCGGGTGACACCATTTAGGGGGGTGACACCAAGGCAAAAAATAGCAAAATATATAGAGAAAAAGTTGAGGGGGTGGGGGTGCAAATCGAAAGTTTGGGGGGGGGGGGTGCAAATCGAAAACTTGAAAGTTTGTCCCAGGGAAACGCCTCTGGGGGGGGGGTGACACCATTAAGTGCCGCACCGGGTGACACCCGACCTCGCTACGCCACTGTGCTTGTAGGTTATCAAAACAAAATGCTGTTATGTTAACATCATGTATATCATACATTTACACTTCTGTGCTCGCTTTTAAGCAACAGATCTTTTCTGTTGTAAATTAAACATTATCAAAACTTTAGAATTGGTGGAATTTAGCTGTTAAGGGCTCGATTTGTTTGTGAATTAATGTTGGTTAATGAAAAAAATAATTTCATTCGGGCATTAAAAAGAGGTTATGGTGGTATTGGAGGTAGGACACAATGGTTACTTTTATGCCAATAGTGGTCATATCATTCATTTTTCTGGAGCCAATATGTCGGGAGTCATTTTGTCAAAAGCCAATATGTCGGGAGCCCAATTGCCGGGAGCCAATATGTCGGGAGCCCATTTGTCGGGAGCCCATTTGTCTTTAGCCCTTATGTCGGGAGCCAATATGACGGGAGCTGCTTTGTCGGGAGCCAATATGTCCTGAGCCTATTTGTCAGGGGTTAATATGTCGGGAGTCCATTTGTCGGGAGCCTAAATATCGGGAGCCCATTTGTCGGGAGCCTATATGTCGCAAGTCAATATGACGGGAGCCCATTTGACGGGAGCCAATAAGTCGGGGCCCTTTTGACGGGGCTATTTTGACGGGGTCGGTTTGTCGGGAGTCGATTTGACGGGGTCGTATTAACGGGGCCGTTTTGACGGGGCCGATTTGTCCCGGGCCGTTTTGACAGGGCACCTTTAAAACAGGCAGCTTATTGTTAACATGTAGAAATGCTAATTCCCCTTTCTGCTATGGGAAAAAGAACCAACCATATACACTAAAAGTTATGTCTCCCATAAGCTGTACTTTAAGACACAAAAATTGTAAAGCTAGATCTCTAGTGGCTTCACCAAACTCCATCCCATCCACACTTACAGATTTGTTTTGTACATACAGGGGCTGTTCACCGGAAATGTGCTACCATATCCAAAGGTTAACATTAACAAATGGTACCAGTTTATTTTTTTAAGCTCTGCTCCCTTTATTTTACACATTTTTATTTCAGCTCAACTGCTCACCATCATCAGGACTCTGTGTATAGTTCAAATACATCTCTCAACTCCAAATCTACCAGGTCTGACAATAAGTCCCTTGTCACTTCACCTAACCTTGTATATCTATTTACGTACTGGGTCACAAACACATTAAACTCAATAAAAAAAATGTCATCACAATACAAGGGATCAGTTTTATACAAAGTTCAAATTCATACTGTATATTTATTTTAATTAATGGTTTTATATTGTTTTTTGTTATCATATTGTTCAAACCTCCATTCACATTCCCTTAAATTCCTACTTTAAGAAGTAAGATCCAAAGCTTAGCAAAAAGTGACATCAAGGCCTGCTACGTAATCACTAACACTTATATCTCAAGGTGGCGGATATTTCCAAAGGCTTGTTTCAAAGCTGCATGACCAGGACAATTTTGCATTCATTAAAAATTCTAATTAAGCTTTACTTTCCCATTTGTAATGGTGCCTCAATTATGCTTTGTATAGCTAATTGATAAAACCAAAGCATGCATGTTTAAAAGAAAACTAATTTTAAAGATAATAAACAACTAGGATACAGAACATAGTATAAAACTAGTAAAATACTTATCTTTAAATGGCATCACTCTGTACAAAACCTGTTTTCTTTAAGGGATCACTTAATTATCAGTGGTGCTAGGCGGTGTTAACAAGCTAATGGTTATAGTCTACTACCTTTTTATTATTGTCATTCTCTTACTAAAACATCATTTTCATAACTCATTTAAGCTGCATTTATTCATTCTTTTTCTTACAGAGATGTAACTATTCCTTTTTTTAAGGAAATCTTATTTCCACCAAACTAATCTTCCACCTGAAAAAGGAATCTAAAAGTATCTTTGATTTGTTATCAGAAACATGGTTATGAATCCAGTTTCAGGCACGGAAAGGTTTATGTTTTTAGGTAGTCTGTTACATCTCTGTCCATATTTTCCAATACTGTGTGTAATCAAGTACAAATAAATGTGTGATACGCTTTCAGTATTTATTAGAACATTTCATGTATTCATTTCTGTGCAGTATAGCTAAAAGCAGTTGAATAATAAAAGCAGCTTTATCTGACTGTATTTCTTACTGCAGATTTTTCCAGACAAGTCTACTGTGTCAGTAAACAGTCTACTGTTGATTTTTTTCATTCAATAAATGCTGCTGCTTAATACATCCTTGGATCATTTTTACAAAAGTGATGTAAAGCAGTTGGTGGGATAGGTTTAAAACACATTTAAAATGACAATCAAATTTTATAGAAGATATTCTTGTTTTACCACTTGTTTGTTTATTACAAATTTTAAATTGTTGATTTAGATTCTCTTCAGCTATCAGTTATTTTGAATTCATGCATTTTCGTAATATTTTATAACTGGTTGATTGCATTATTCATTCTTTTCCAGAAATATAAACACATAGCTTGTTATTTGCCAGTTAATAAAATATGAATATTAACTTTCATAATTAATCTAATACAAGAGAATCAATTAGGTACTTAACATTTTTTGGTTGTAAATACAGCCAAGGAGAGAGACTGAAGTGACTGAGGGGTTTGGCTATCCTCAGTACCGGTGGATGACCAGTTTCAACATCAGTGTTTTCCTTGACACCATTGTTTAACAGTCACTTTCTAATGATTGCATTACCTATTCATTTGCAATCAGTGTAAGAGGAATTAACTTTTCTTTGCATGCCTAAACTGAGATTGAATAGAAGACTTGTTACCTCTATTGACCTTTAACCTTCTGATATATTCCTGCCATTGGGCACAGTAGGACTATTGTTTGATCATTTGTTGATACAGTAAAGGTTTGAAGATAGCTTGTTGTAGAGTGAGATCTGCATGGTGGCAGAATTATGAGAAATGTTCAACTTCTAGATAGTCTTTTTACTTGCTGGAGTTGTTTTGTGTTTAAAGTATTTGATGACCTGCTAGACACTTGTATGTCTGCAGTAGATTATGCCAGGACAGATTTAACATTAAAATTAACATCTGCGTTTTACTGCCATTTATTGCTTTAAGATTTTTATTAATTTTATTTTGGGAAATTATTTTTTAAATGTTTGATATATTTAAGGCAGGTTAAGCCCCATATTCCTATGCCATTTTTTTTTAAGTTTAAAAGAATACAGCTGAACTGACTGAACCATGTCAGGACATTTTTACAAATAAAAAATTATTGCTCTAGTCAAATTTAATCAATTTGGGGTTTCAATAAAATCTAATTGATTAACAGCATGTCATTTTTTTATGCATGACCAACAAACTTCTTTTTGCAGCTTTAAACAATGCATACAGCTAAATTTTTAAACTTTAAGTGTTAAGTAAAGAAAAATGTTTTTTTAAATCCCTAAAACAGTAAGCTAGAATCTGAGCAGCAAACCTGTATTTATAATGTCTATAATGTAGCGTTACTAATAGAAGAGACAGCCATTACCTTCATGTAACTGATGAAATTTTTTTCTTCTTCTTAAAATCCTCGCATTGCTTCAGCTTGTTTCTGGTTCCCAGGTATAGATAAGATATTCACAACCCTTTCTAAGTGTTTATACCCTTACTCAACCAGTATGTTTTCCTTATAAAACACTCACTTATTTATTCTACATATGAATCTGCACCTTCCTTTTGTTTAAATAAGGTGGGGAATTTCTTTGATGGGCATTATCAAATAAATAAATCTTTATAGAAAATACAGCACTTTGATTAGTACAAGTTATAAAATGTTCACTGATCTCACACCAGTCCTGTGTATTAGAACACTTTTCTTGTTGGTAGTTACCCTCTTGGTAGCATGAACTTTGACATGTAGGGTTAGGATATTTGTTATAACCTCTGTATTAGCTAGGCCCTGTGTTGTTTTTGTTTTTATTATTTTGTTATTTTAGTAAATAAGATCAGTGCATTAACACTTCTTAAACCAGTAAGTCTGTTGGCTCACTTCTAAAAGTTTTAGGATCTTAATCAGGTGTGAAGAAATTTTAAACTAGTGCAAAGAAAGCAATACAAAACTTGAACAAATGTGCTTTGAAAAGCAGTGTTGTTTACTTTCAGTTTCAATGTTCATTAAAAAAAATAAGCAGTTCAGAAATGAGTTAATAGTTTTGCAAGAATTATAACCAGTTTATATAAGCGATTTATTTTTCATGTTTGTCAGCATGAGTAAACTTCTATTTATTGCTTGCTTTTTTTATTTAATTAAAAACTCTTTTCATGGCTGCAGCAATATTTAAAAACTATAACGCTGGTCATATTTTTTTAGTTTTTAACAAAAAATGTCAAATTATATTCATACAAAGCTTTGATATATAATTTTTTTTTAATGATTTGAGTTTAATATTTTTTTATTATTTTAACATGTTTTTTAATTGGGTTTTTATTTAATCAGGAATACAATTTTCTTTGGTGTATGAGTGATCATACCTTTATTCCTTAATACATTAAACGCTTTAAATCTTTTCTCAGCAACCTTGTATACAAAGTTTGAAGTAAATTGCATTATCTGCATGTGTAGAGCATTCTCTAAAATAATGTATACTATTAATGCATAATTATAATGTCTAAAACGTGTTCAGTTATAAAAGTAATTTTTATACTATATATTACTAACTAAAATTGCCAGTACTTTTTTCTTTTTTGCTGGCTGATTATATTTCTTTCAAAATTTAAAATTAAGTGAATCTTCATCAGCCAAAAAGGATGCAATAAATGCATGAAAATTATAATGTTAACATATATGAGTGATCCAATCAGCACTTAAGCAACAAAACATTACATGGTTGTTTTGTGCCATGAATCAACTGATTAGTATTAATAATCTAATGTGGGATTCATTTTTGTCTTTATTGCATGGGCTGCTTCAGTTCAAACTGTTTATTGTACCAAATTAATTTCCTCTGTAGAATATCAGTCATCATTTAACACAAAAAAATGTATTATTGTTTTTATTTGTTTTAGTGCATCAATGAGACGTAGCTCTCTGCGTGGAGAGAAAAGTAATTTATTCAAAAAGGAGGCTCAGGAAGAAGCTTTGCATTTTGGGCTTCGTCTTATGCAAGATGAAGAAGAGTTGCCAGTAAGTTGTGTCCATAAAATAATCCAGTCCCTTAAAACAAAACAAAAAGCTATTTATAATCAGTGGTTTTGGAAACTTTATTGAATTAGTTAAGGTCATTGTTAGTGCTAAGGTTTAAGCAGCGAAACTAGAAAAAATATAGCCACAACCTGCCAAAGTTTAAATCATTACCACTTGATCTTAAACTGTTACAAATATTTTTTAAAAATGTCACTGTTTTCAGGTTTTAACTGAAGAGAGAGAAACTTTACCAGCATCAAACATTGATGATATTGCTGTGTCTATTGATGACCATGACAACATTGAGCAACCTTCTCCAGCACCCCGTCACAGATCTGACCCTAGAATGAATCCAGGCAACAGCTTAGGTCGCACCTCTGCTGACAAACTTCCTGGTGGTAACAATGCTGCCAAACCAACTGCAGCAGGGAGATCACCACCATCTGTTTCATATTCTAACGACATGAGGAGACAATATAGTGACGTACGAGAACCTGTTCAAATGGACCCTCAGAAAGAGGCGCTTGAAGCCCAACTTCAGAGTATGTTTTTAGCTAGTGTTCCCAATCGTCAAGCTCGAAGTACATCTGTGACATCTGTTACACCACCCCAACTTCAGTTCTACCCACCTCCTATGATGGAAAAAGCCAAAAATGGTCACAACAATAACAACAATACTGCTCTAAGCACTGCCTCTACCAACAGTACACCACAGTCCAGTTTTAGAGATGGCCAGTTGCGTAGATTTGTTGCACCAACCAATGCCCCTATAGTGGGGGGTGATGAGGATGAGAAACAAAAGTGCTGTGTTATTTTATGATACAACTGTTTGCATCAGTTCATTGCTTCCAATTTGAAGCAATTTTTTTTCAAGTATACAAATCTTTACCAGAAGGAAAATCTTTAATGAATAATTAAGATTTTCTATACTTAATTATTTTCTTTCTGGGCTTATCCCTTTGTCAGTTATTTTAATTTAATTTAATGCTAAGTTTGAAATTCTTCTGATAAGACATTTACAAAAGCTCTCTTGCATCAGAAAAATATCTATATATATAATTCTCTTCTGGGATCAGTTAGAAAACAAGCTGCAAGCGCCTCCTTGCAGTCCCCTCTCTTTCTCTCTATCACTATCACTACCACCCCCACCCCACCCCCACATGATCTGGTGAGCGGTGTTCACTCTGTTTACATTTTACAATCATAGAGACGGGTTTGGTGACGGCTATTAGGGGCAGATAATTTAGTTTGAAACGATTTTAAACTTCGAGGAGGTAACTAAGAGGAGGCTGCTTTCACGTGGGGGGGGGGGGGGGTTAGTGTTTTTAAGCAAATATTTTCAATGGCAGCATTGGTACTGTCGAATTCACAAATTATAAATTACTGAAAAGTAGAAAAAAACAACTAAATAGCGGCGTATGATACGCAGCGGGTCGGCTCGTGTGTTTTATTTGAATACATTTAGTGTAAAAAAAAAAAGGTAATTTTATCCAGTGAAAACAAATGTGATGATTATTTCATCCGATGCAGATATCAAAATAATTATGCTTTATTCAACTTTTTGTTAAGTTCACTATGTAAAAACAGCTATTGACAGATATAAACTATATTTTGTTGTTATTGTTGATGTGTATTCATAAATATGTACATACACGTTAATATTATTTTGGAGATTGTACTTTTATATCCTGTGTTTATATATAATTGATCAAATGTACATATGTCATTATAACATTTCCTTTCACTAAAAACCATGTGCCACTGTCAATGATGAGATGCACTTTTGTGTTTTAAAGTAAGCATTCCATGTGTAAGTTATAGTACATTTTACTGAGTTTGAAAAGTTTTATTTGTCCACTAATTAAGCAATATAATATATGCACGATTCATTTAGCACCAAGTAATCATCTCAGTTTGGCTGAAGCAAACACACCTAAATTTTCAACTGCAAGAAAAAAAAATTAAGCAATATTATATTAACATTAGTATTTAGTATATAAAATATTATTCATTCATTATTTCATGCTATTCATCAAGTTTAATTTAAAACCTATCACTTTTGTGTAATTATTTCTAAGTTTTTTTTAGCATCCAGTGATATTGCTATAACTTAATAAGATTAAGATAGTGTCTTTGTAATCCATATTAATAGCAAATATATATAATTTATATATAGTTTATATAGGCCTAATTAAAATTATTTGAGAAAAATTAAGCAGATAAGTAAACACATAACATTATACAATTCAACACTCACGATTAATTTATTCTTTTAAATTTTAGTAACATTCATTGATTATATTTAGCTTTTATTAGTTAGCTGAGTTTTCTTTGTGAAATTCTTAACTTTTAACAATACAGTACATCATGAAATAATATCTTGACTTCAACAACTATGTAACATTAACATGTATTTGACAGCTTAATAATTATACCGCATTTAAAAGAGATTGACATTTTTGTTATGCTAAAATGGAAAGCTGCATTATTTTTACTTTTATACAGTGAGTGGATACACTCTTTATTTATTTGGCAGTTGTTAATTTTGTCTATTTTAAATAAAAAAAAATTTTAATTTAGGCTGCAGCATTATGAACTTTGCTTGTGGACACAACACACTTTATTTAAAAAATAAATCCTTTATAGATCTAGAACAATTCTATGAACTTTGCACATTAATTTCAACTTTGATTTATAAAAATCAGTTTAGTCTATACCTTAAGATGTTCAAATTATCTAGTTACAATTAGGTAAACTGCTAAATTTTAATAAGTGATAATTTATCATACAAAAATTTATTTGCTAACAGGTCAGGAGTCAAGAAGTTCTACTTTCCAGTAAAATCTGTATATCTTGTGATAAGATACTTGTTACAAAATTTGAACAAATTTAATTAGAACAATCATTTTAAGATTTACAGTTAATAGTAAACAAATAATTCTGCTGTATTTAGCATACAATCTTTGTTGAAGGACACAACAACTGCAACTAGCTAGTATTGATGTACTATCTTTGTTAATATTTGCATGTGTTCTACCTAATTTTATTTTGTAGTCTAACAAATAATGTAAGCTTGGTTAAATCTTATGTTTTTTGAATCAGATAATTATATGCGTAATAGTAGCAGTTTTTGTTATTGTGATTTGGTTCTAAAGAAAGCTTGGCAACTTAACTTGTACTATATAATTGGAGGACTAACCAAGACATATGTAAACTTTGAGATCTTACTGTTGCCATGTGCAATAATATCAGAATTTTAAGTTCCATTAAAGTAATAAACATTAAATTCTATGCTGTAACCATGTATATAAATTACATAGATCTGGGTTTTTCTTAAATGACCTATATTTATTGTAATTTTTATGTTCATATTTAAATTGTTACCTAACACCTATTTTCTACTTTCATTAATACATTGAAGTCTATCCTATGCTCTGAATTTAATTAGGATTGCATGAAGGTCAGTAGTGTGTAGATTTTGCATGCAGTGCTGTTTACTGTATTAACATTTTATAAACTATTTATTCCAATTTAACAAAGAAAAAAAAAACACTGTTTTTATAAGTGTACATGTTTTCTTATAATTGTGTAATTTATAATGAATTATTTACCTGTACTTAAATTATATTATTTATTTACCTTTTTGGGAATAGGGTAATTGAGTTAAAATTAGACTAACAAGATTGTAGAATTTTATCAAATGTCAGATAATTAAAATTACTACTCAATTTTTTTTATAGTAATTAAAGTAGCTTCAATATTTTATTTCTAGTAACTGTTGACTCAATTTATATGATTGTACATTTTTAAAATGAAATTTATTTACTCTAGATAACACAGAGGCTCTACATTTTATTTCAGTTGTAGATGTAAATTTTACCAGACTTTGAAACTATAATATTAATACATGTTGACATTAATTCATTTTGGTTATAAATTTTACCTTCCCAGAGCTTGATCTTTCTTTAGGTTCACTGAGCTGGTTAATTAACAACTCAGCATAATATGTTGAAACATAGATTGGAAGTGAGCTTTTGCTATGATGAATCAAGGGAAGCCACTCTCATTCATTTTAACTGTGCCTTGTCACCACTTGATTCTTCTGAGATTATTTGTTCTACAAATCAAACGGGCATTTACTAAATTTGGTCTACTTATAATACTTATATTACCTTGCTTATTAAAGATAAGCATGTGAGAAACTATAGATTTGTAACGTGAGCATGATCTTTTAAAATAACTTTCATTCAGTTAGAAAGTAGACTTTACTGAAATGCAGGTCAGTGGGCTATTTAAATAAGGTTATCATTGCAATCTCTTATGTACACCATATGCTTATTATCTCAGCATTTTGGGCCGAACATATTGATACTTCATACACAAATTAGCTGTATGGTTTGTTTTTTAAATTTCAAGTTACATTCCACAAAGTATTTTATCTGTTGCTATAATTGTGTATGTACATACTATATTTTAACACAAAATGTCACCCATGCAAATACATGTACAATATTTTTGTGAATTTTAATCTATAGAGCACATTTATATTGTGCTATTCCCGTGTCAGCAAATAAAAGATTATTAACATTCTGCTCTGTATTTTATTACAATTGTTTTATTTCAGTGTTTTAAGTTAGAAGGTCAACATAAATTAACATAAAAACCAATTTAAATAAATATGAATAGCAAATAAACTTTTCCATTTTTTTTTATTCATATATATTTTTTAAATGTTTAAATTTGCATCTTGATTAAACGTTTGTAACAAAAACCACAAAATACTTTAATTGGTTACCTTTGAAAATAACTTTCTCAATCATACTTTCAATTTTCTTTCTCTTATGTGATCTGATTACTCTATAAGTTACCTTTCATCTCTGAATATATTTAATTTTTCTTAAGAGTAAAATATACCACTTCTCAACAGCTTTATAAGTGTTTTTGCTAATATAACAACAGTTACATCATCTGTAAATACAGAACCAATGAAGGATACACAGATTTTAATTATTATTTATTATATTGCTTACAAAATATATTCTCTAAATATAAAATAAATATAATAGGAGAATATACTTTATGTAAAACACCAATTTTAAACTGAAAGTAATTCTAGTTGACTTGTAGTGATACATCATAGCCTTGACCTAGAAGACTGACAGACATCTTTGATGGCTTTAGCAGCGCCAACACCAGCTCCCCACCCTAATGTTATTCCATGGCCTCCATGACCATAATTGTGAAAGATCTATGAGCAAAAATCAGAAGAAAACAGTGTAATATCACTTTTTAATTTCCTTAAAAGTCAGTATTATCCTTTTGGCATTAATAAATTTTTAGAAATACTTTAACTAGCTATTCATGAATTACTATAAAACTATTTATTTCCATAAAGATTGTATTCATCTTACTGGTAGTTTCACTTTGTTACTGCAGTCCATTATTTCCATTTCAAAACGAATTTTGTCACGTTTAGGACGCAGACCAACCCATTCTCGTAAAACTTTTACTCCCTGAAAGAATTTTCGCCTTGTTTATTTGGATGAACATGATTATGTTAATGTGTTATTTTTTTAATTATTTAATAAAAGCAATAAAAGAAACAACAAAAGTATTATCCTCACTTTGAGCTGTGGAAACAGAGCCTGTGCTCTACTTAAAATGTGTTCACGAGTTGCAGGATCAGGCACTGTGTTGAATTTGCCAGGCTCTCTGGTTCCTCCAATTATCAATTTATCAACACTTAAATAAAGAAGTTGGTTGTTTTTTATATTTCTCATATACGAAGCATATAGAAAGTATTGTAATTGTGTAAAAAACAAATTGAGATTTTTACAAATCTCAACGTTTCACACCTCCCTGAGTTGGAAAAACATAGTTTTGTAATTTTGAGCGTATGTCTGTGTGTGTGTGTATGTGTGTGTGTCTGTAAACACGATAACTTGAACACCGTTACAGCTAGGTTGATGAAATTTCATATATAAGTATTATATCAAATTTGTAGTTTTGTATCAACTTTTCAGCAATTTCTGTTAACAGGAAGTATAACTTATTCTACTTTCAATTTTTCAAAAGCCTATAACTTGAGTACTGTTTCAGATAGATGAACGAAATTTCACATATAAGTAAAATATCTACTTTTCTGCCTGCTATCAAATTTTGAGTAATTTCCGTTTACCAGAAGTAGTAATTTACGCTATTTCCAATTTCTCAAAAAACGCATGTGAATTTATAAAGTACTAATAATATTCCGCACTATTATACACATATTATTTAGCATTCACTTGGTGCGCAATTCTTTTTTTCTACAAGATTCTATTCTATTTTAAAAATGTATAAGTAATTAAAAATGGTGTCTATTTCCGAGTTGCCATTCCTCGTAGTGATATAAAATATTCGAGAAAGTTTAAGGGAGATCACTACCAGTTTATTTTAATTCTACTCACAATTTTTTTCTCTTTAATAACTGCTGTTAACTCTCTTGACTAAAAACATTTTAAGGAAATGCATATGCTCTCTCAGTGAAAATATTATTGTTACTATTTAAATTGGTCAGTTATAGTATGGAACAGAATAAACAAGCTTTGCATACAAAATTAAGCACCAAAAGCTGCTTGTCATTTTAAGTGATTTTTTTCCTGGCTTATTTATCATACAAAATTAAAGTGCTTACTGTGGTATCAAATAAACATCATCCTCAGACAAAAAGAAAGTTTTCATCCAAGGGGCATCAACCTAAAAAACAATTTCAGTTCAACTTGTTAAAATAAAAATATAAGAAGATAAGACAGTTTCTTAATGAGTTATGTGATAATATGGTATACAATTATTAAAATAGAACAGAAGAAAATGCTTCAGCAGTGATACTTAACAAGAAATTGAACAAAATATATTTTTATTTCTATCTTTGGTTACAAATCTTTTTTATTTATTGTTGTAGCCGTGGAGAAGAGACTTCACACACCATTACTAGATGCCCTCTGACTGGATAAACCTTTTCATCATGCACCAATTCCCTGGCTCCAAGTCCACAACAGTTGACAACAATATCAAACTCACCAGCTAACTGAAAAATTCATTCATCATTTAGCTAATATGCTCAGAAATACTTATTTACAGGCATGCAGAACAACGAGTTAGGGATAAGATTTAAAGATATAAATACCATTTCTAATGATGCTTTTAGCTACTTGGTGTTTTTTATTTTAGGTAATTCAAAATAAATTACAAAGAGTAATTTAAAATTCTAAAGGAGCACATAAACATAACTAGGGGAAGAATGGGCATGCAGTTATACAGCAAAAATATCTTTGGACTTACTTCTTTTATATCATTTATTTTTCTTTTCTGGATAACACCACCAGCAGCTTGAAACCTAAGAAATGTAATGACCATTTGTTTAATGTTTATCTGTTAAAATTTAACATGATATCTGCGTACTTCTAGCGTTAGACTGCTAACCCGATAGTTTCGAATCTGGGTTCAAGTTAGTGGAACGTCCCTGAGTCCACCCAACTCTGATGGGTACCTAACTCAAGTTAGGGAAATTAAGGGCAGCTGGGCATAGTGCTGACCACATTATCCCTTTATATGCTGAGGTCAAGAAACAATAGCATTTTTTAAAAATAGGATATAGTTAAATATAGCAGTTGAAGATCTTTCTTAATGATATGAAGATGCTATGTTTAGCCTCCTTACCTAGGACAAAACATTGTCAACTACCTACCTCTCTGTAAGCCACTTACAAAACTTTTCTGTATGTGTAATAACAGTAGTAAAACTGTAACCATATCTGAGGAGGTCATGAATAGGTCAATTAAGTACATACAAAATTTAACATATTTTAGTTAACATACTCTATCATTTTTTTTTTAAGTTAACAAGCATTATAAATTCTAAAACTACTGTGGATTATTAGAGAGAATGTAAATTAAAATTAACAACTTACTTATAATTTAAATTCAACCTTCTCAGCTGATCTTCTGACACTTGATGAAAATCATAGGACAGAGTTGCTAGTAAAGAATAAGCACTCTCCTAATGATGGATTATAATATAAAAGATGTTACTCATTTTTTTTAAATCTGTCTTTTCAAAGGTATTTTCAATATTAAGTTTAAACTGATTTTACAGACTAAGCGATTATAATCATTGTAATTCTAGTACAAAGTATGATTAAGAGCTTGTAACACAAATATATATATATATATATATATATATATATATATATATATATATATATATATATATATATATATATATATATATATATATATATATATATATATATATATATATATATATATATATATATATATATATATATATATATATATATATATATATGTATGAAATATGTATGAAATATATATGAAATATGAAACATTAAAAGAACTTATCTAATCTTCACCTGGGGTTTGTTATATACAACTGTACCAGACACCAAAGTTTGACCACTCTCATTGGCTGAAGGTGACTGGGCAAGTTCACTATAAAACTCCCATGAATCTTTCACCCATTGGCTAAAGAGTGTAAATACATTTTGTTGTTTAATATTAGCCTAGGCAGGATTTCTGACCTGTTGTGGTGATTTTATTTTGCATGTTGAAAATAGTTATTTACAAGACAGTAATTAGACCTATTCAAAATGTGTATAGGAAATTTAAAACATTTTAACACTTTAAAATAACTATTAAAACTTTAAACTTACGTCACCATTTCCTTGTCTTCAACATGAAAATCATCCATGTTTGGTCTAAAGTAGCCTCCTGCTCCAGTGCTGGTTGTATCAGTTCCAAACTTGTCGGCTATGATAGTGACTTTAGCATCAGGTATCAGCTTTTGGAGATTTACAGCAGTAGACAAACCCATGACACCAGCACCAATAACTGCTATTTTAACCATTTTTTTAGAATCAGTTCTATTAAACTTGGGGCTGAATTATAAAAGAAAATATTAAATAATTAAAACACATCAGTGGAAAAACTTTTAAAATGACATTTGTTATTACTTAGTATATCTAACGATAAAAAAGGCTTCAAAGATAATCATTGTTTCATGCCATTCATAACAGTAAAGTAACCTATAACAGTTAAAATCACTACATTATCAATATACCTAATATAGGCTACATATTTTGACAACATATAACTGACAAAAACATTAAGTACCTTTAGTTTAATCACAATAGATGGCAACCCTTGCTCTCTCAACCACAATCTACGTGCCACTTAAAACTAAACCAGTTATTTATCTTTCTTTTTAGAATGGCCAAATCTGTTAGGGCAGTACTGAGACAAATCTCTTATCTGTATTCTCAAAAGGAAAAGGAAAATGCAAGTCATTAAAGAGATAGTTGTAACTAGTTCAACACAGTACAGTAGGACTACTTGACCTACATTATTTGCAACTATGTATGTTTTTGCATCATGTTTAGGCTGAAGGGCATACTATTATTAATCACACACCAGCATTAGTCAAGAGTTAAGACAAAATACAATGATGTAATTAATGTCTAAAAGAAAAATTAGTGCAGGCTTGCTATAAAATACTATAAATTGTTGTATTGTATTAAGTGATTCTGGCTACAAGAATAAATCTATTACTATGTTTCTTTTTAAAGTTTTAATACATTAATTTTTATTTAATTAGTTCAGTTTACTATTAATTTGTGTTGGATTTTGAACAAATCTTACTTTTGAATTATCAACACAAAAGAACAGTTGTTACAGTTATGTTTGGTAAAATTACTGGAAGTAAATTATCTGTCTAACATGAGTTTATTATCATGCCTCATCCTTTTGACCATGTCAATGTATGATTTTTTTTGCAGCTTATATATGCTAACATGTTTGCTTAAACTGCAGGGGCATTATTATAATGATTATATAGGCCTACAATGCTGTGTACAATCAAAAGGGGAAGTGTGCAGTGTTTCTTCCAGACTTTTTTCTCTGGGGGGGGGGGGGGGGGGACACTGGTCAAAGTATATAAGTATATGTTTTCTATATAAATTCCATTTAGATCTTGGGGGGGGGGGGCTGGAAGAAACTCTGAAAGTGTGTGGGGGGGGGGGTCACTCACATGAATGAGGGTGGTGTGGGTTACATTCATAAGGGAAGGATTGCAAGCTTGACAGAACAGACAAAGGCAGATTAAAGCTGGTTTCAATTTCATAACCAAATGTACTAGATCTAAAAGATGAGCAAGCTGATGGCCAAGTAAAAGCAGTTGGACACAGGGGCGTAGCGAGGGGGGGGCGGGGGGTGCGGACCGCACCGGGTGACACCATTTAGGGGGGTGACACCAAGGCAAAAAATAGCAAAATATATAGAGAAAAACTCGAGGGGGGGGGTGCAAATCGAAAGTTTGAGGGGGGGGTGCAAATCGAAAATTTGAAAGTTTGTCCCTGGGAAGGGTCTCTATGCCTCTGGGGGGGTGACACCATTAAGTGCCGCACCGGGTGACACCCGACCTCGCTACGCCACTGGTTGGACATAAGATTTAAATCTAGAATAGATCAACAGTACTTCATTTGCGCTATCACCATGCCTGAAATGTAGGCTACTTCTTAAACTTGTTACCATGGCATTAGATGTTTATTTTACAAAGGTTTTAATTAAGAAATTCTTTAAAGAAAATATGAATAGATTAAATTATTTTGCAGTCATCTAATTTTTCTGTTGATCAACAACAATCCGTCTGCTGTCATAGACGACGTCACATTATTTTAAGAAATGTTTACCCAACCCAAACTTTTCTCAACACTCTCATTTTAAATAGAGCACATAAATTTAACACAAACGGGTTTTTCATAAATAAATAAAATTTCTTTAAAATTTAACTATACAAAATAAATTGTGTCACATGTCTTACCCCCTCCCCACCTGCCACCCACTTCCTTAACCACATCATCACATTTAATTTCATCCCCTTTCCCTCTCTTGGTCTTTGATACGTAAGATAGAGTCATTACAGTTAGATTTCTTGTCCAGAGTTACAATATTAATAACTTGTAGGATTGTTTATATATATATATATATATATATATATATATATATATATATATATATATATATATATATATATATATATATATATATATATATATATATATATAAAATAATTATAATTGTCTATAAAACATCTCATGATTTTTTTTTACTCTTCTTAATAATTCCCTTCCCTCCCCTTACGAATCCTCATTAGAAGTTAGAAGTCATCCCCCTTCCCTCGGTCAATTCAGTCAATTGCAATTTTTTAAAGTAGAACTAGAGTCTAGATCTAGAATCTAGATCAAGGCCTAAACAGGATTTCAAAAAGAAAAGTAACTGAACTGGGCCAAAAACTCTCCCATGCGAATATAAATTAAAAGTGCCATTCCTATCACCTCCCAATAATTCGTTTTAATCCATTTTATTCATTACAGCGTTCTTTTTTGGAAAATATATTGTTGATAGGTTTTAATGCGTTTAAAATAACGACATCAAATGTTGTAATCGTATTTTTCTGAAAAGGAAAGACTACCATGGTTTTAAATAGGACACACATTTTAATGAACATGTCATGCTATGCAAGGTTTCCACATTGGCAACTTAAATTGCTTTGAAATAATTAAACATATTTTACATCTTCACATATTCATCATACTCTTAATCTACAAATTTACATTAAGTTCGGTTAAAAAAATTTTTTGTTTTAACGTGTATAATACATTTTAAATAATAAAAACAAAATACTAAAGGTAAAAAGAATTTTGTAAATTTTTGTCTGACATTTAAAAACACATTTTTATCTGGCAGTGCATCTTTGACGTCAGTATCCCGCCATTGATTCATTGATGCTGTTCTAATAAGAGTAGCAACGATGAGTATCAAAGTCGATAAGGATGCCTTTTATAGGCGAATGAAAAAGATTTATTCATCATGGGCTGTAAGCAACTAGATTCTATTTGATGTTGAACCATTCACTTTTTAAAAAGTTTGCTTTATGTTACTTCAATCTTAGATCTCGTGCAATGTTTGTTCCTTAGAATCAACATACCCTGTTATCGATAGTGATACCATTTTGGCTGATTTTGGGCATTTGCCTTTCATTTACTGTCATTTAGCCGTGAATTAGACATATACTTTATTCATATTGCTTTAAGAAACTTTTATAACACTTACAAGCAATGAATCTAAATTCTAATTGCACAAAAAAAAGGGTAAAATCTTAGTTTAGCGTCGTAAATTCCAACGTAGCTAGTAATGTGCGATGAAGGTAACTAATGAATATTTCTTTCATTTGGCCAAATTTATGTCATATTTTACCTAATATAACAGATAATTGAATAACAAATCACAATCCAAGACCAAACCAGTCATAAATATCCTGGAATAAACTTTAAACTACTCCGTTCGAGACAAAAATGAGTAAATACAAGCAGCGGCCATGTTTTAAAAACAATAAATTGTCTATTCGCATGTCTTTTGTGTTGATTTTGTGGTTTAATATGATTGTTTTGTATTGCTGTAATATATGCCGGGGGTCGTCCATAAATGACGTCACACTCGTAGGGGGGAGGGGGGTCCGTAATTTTGTGACGTTGTGTGATGAGGGGGAGGGGGGGGGGGTTTCAGATGGTGCGACGTCACACTTTTGCATTTTAAAAAAGCAATGTTAGAAAACGAATTTTAGACGTTATTTTGCGTTTTAAAAAACTGTTTTAATACATTTTAATAACAATTGATTAAAATACTCTATTTTGACAGAGTTCAGACAAGATTTTGGAAAAATATAGCTGTTTAAAAACAATTCACCTGCAATTTTGAGGGGGGTTGTAGGCTGAGGTGTGACGTCATTTTAGGGGGGGGGTCTGGCTTTTCGTGACGACGTGTGACGGAGGGGAGGAGGGGGAGGTAAACATCGTCAAAAAAAAGTGACATCATTTATGGATGACCCCCTGTATAGTAATTTTTCTTTTTTTTAATATAGTTGACATGAATGACTAATAGACCTTATCAGACTTAATAGTGTGCATCCAAGACCACAACAATTGTTGGGAGGTCGAACTTTTGAACACTTTATTTGCAGTAAGCAAATCAATATTAGATCGCTCATAAATGACGTCGCTCTTAAGATAGTAATGACAGCGTGCATTATTACAGAGCAAACATATGAACATATTGTTTCAGATAGAAATTGTGATTTGTGGTGGGGAGAGGTTGAATAGAACTCAGCGATGTGATTTTGGAGACGGGTCAGGTTTTTTTTTTCTCGTGAAAACGGGATGGTTGTGGGAGAAAGACCAGTTGTAGAAGTATGACGCGTCATTCATTGGTGATCCATTTTCTCAGTGGGGACGAAAGAACTGTAAAAAGCTTGCCGAGTCGTATTTCTTGAACCCCACCTTTTTCATTCCCCCACTTAGCACATCGTCACCGAGTTAACGCTCGCATGTGACGTCATGTAGCGGTACTGCCGACCGTTAGGCTAATTTTATAGAGAAAAAAAAACAAGCACTGCCTTTTTGACGCTTTTGCGACGTTTAATTTGATTACATAAGTTGGTGTTCATTAAACGGCCCCTAACACATCTATCACTCGTCCATTTAAACGTACGTAGTTATTTCTGCAAGCTTGCTGTCTTGAAACTTTCGGCCCTTTAAAAATGTATTAAGCTCTCACCGTATAGAACTAGACTACCCATATTAAGCTCCAAAATAAGCTTGGTGAAAACAGGATGGCCGTCCGATTTTGAAGCTGCTCTGCGCTTTATAAAAACCACAATAAACGATAAGATGACACTTATATTGAAGTAAATTATAGTTCTGAATATTGATACATTAAAAGTGATATTCGGAAATTAAGAGCCAGACAGTCAACATGATATTTCAATTTAAGTCCAAGAAAATAAATTTCCTCAAACGATGGAACATTACTAAATTTTCGCGCAGTTTAGCGAAATTGAATTTAAGTATTTACGTCATCTTACAAAGCGCGATAGCCTACTGGTGCTCTAACGCGGCCCATGCTAATGGCCGTATTCCTAACGCCCCGCATTAGACGCGGCTTATTCGTCGGCAGGCATTTGGTGGCAAGCCTTTTTGACGGGGATAATGTGTTGCGGCCGTTTTGCCGAATGTCTTAAACTAGCAGGCTTGCAACATTTGTGATGATTCGTTTTAAGCAAGGTATACGTATACTAATGCTTATTTATCGTTATTTTGATTGAACAAAGCATTATAGAGGTTCTCCATTAACCACCTAGGTATTTTTACCCGTTCACCTCCTTCCATGAGACCGACACATCATAAATTGCGGAGCCGCCTGAGTTGACGTCACAAATCTTCACTCACTCCCGTAGCAAATCATATGTGACATCATTTACGGACAACCCCATATCACTCACTTGGGTACTTGATGTTGACATTTTGACAACAAAAGGATAACCAAATTGTGTCTGGCAGGTGGAGACTTGCGATCGACCATAATGACAACACGCACTTAAGGGGTGGAGTGGCTGATTGTTTTAGATTATGTTTTAGAGGGAAGCTGGTGAATAATACATTTTGTCTCTCTGCATATATAAATGATGACAAACATTTAATGTTGTCAAAATTATGGCTAGAAATCTTAGATAAGGCAGAGCGAAGCGTATTTTTTTACATTATGACATGTTGTGACATTGACAACAAAAATATGACGGAGGTTGGGGTTTAATTAAGGTAAAGAGAAGTAAAAAAAATGTCATAAGTTACGATAGAATCACTAATTGATGAAAAGAAAAACCTGAAATGAAAATAGTGAACATTCAAACAATAAGAAAAAACTCAAACTATATAGTAAGGGGTCATCCATAAATGACGTCACGCTTTTTTTGACGATTTTTACCTCTCCCCCTCCCCTACGTCACACGTCGTCACAAAAAGCCAGACCCCCCCCCCCTAAAATGACGTCACACCTCAACCTACAACCCCCCTCAAAATTGCAGTTGAATTTTTTTAAAACATTGATATTTTTCCAAAATCTTGTCTAAACTTTTACAATTTATTAAAACAGTTATCTTAAACGCGAAATAACGTCTATAATTCGTTTTCTAACATTGCTTATTTATAATGCAAAAATGTGACGTCGCAACAGCTGACCCCCCCCTCCCCCACATCACACATCGTCACAAAATGACGGACCCCCCCTCCCCCCTACGAGTGTGACGTCATTTATGGATGACCCCTAATAGTAAGATCAAATAAACATTAGTAAAAAAAAAAACGTGATTTACTACATGGATACAAGTTGCATCTCACAATGCTTCTAGAACTAATAAAGTTGTTTGTTAGAAAATTCAGTTTTTAAAGAGCAGAATTTAAAAAAAAATGCTTTGTAATACGGACTATACAACGAGACAATCATATTTAAATACATTTTCATACGAATAGAAATGAAAGGGAAGCTACTCTAAATAACATTTTCTTAAGATGGCTGCTGTTTTTAATAGCAAATTTACTATCTCGAAAAGGGTTGATAAAAATTAATTTCAGGATATTTAAATTGATTTAACCATAAATGGTGATCTATTATTCAATTATCTACAATATTTTATCAAAATATACGAAAATATACTCATATTTAATGACATATTCATTAATTCACTCTCTCCTACATTACTAGTTTTGGCCGAATTTACGACGCTAAACTAAGATTTTACCAAAAAAAGGTTACATGGCTTAAAATAAAGTAGTAGGGAGGCTCACTAACTTAAAAGTAGGTACTAGGATTGGCCTCCCGATTCTCGCTGAACGGCGTATTTTTTCTCCCGTTACCGAGCGGTTTGCGTGTGCGGCTACGCGAATTCGACGGTTTAGTAAATTTTTTTCCTCTCCGTTATTGAACGGTCAAATTTAATGTGGAAATTGTTTTTCTACTTAAAAATGGACTTTGCCTGGCTTTTTGTCTTTTGTTTTTATTTTCATGGATTATTCAAAATGGAGTTTTTCATTGAAAATAAGGTAAGTTTGATTTATTTTTTTAAATTAACTACTGGACGCATGTCTTTTTTTATTGATTGCTAGAGTCCCTACACCATTTTCCTCTATCATACTGAAATTTGAAAGTGTTTGGATGCAGCTCATAGAAGTTATATGCTGCCCCGTGGGGTGTATGGTTTAGCGCTGTCTTGTGCTTACTTAGAAAGCGAAAGTAAAAAACCGGAAGGAGTCGGGTCTCTTTATTTCTTAATACTTTACGCTTACACGAGAGGGGTATGATTATGTGATGTGTAGGGTCTACTGTGTTGTGGATGGGGAGAGAGTGGGGGGGGGGGGGCTTGACTAATTGTATGACGTCATACGGTGTTAAGCTTAATCATGTTTAAAGACGGCCATTAACTAGGAAATTATTTATTAGATTGTGGGCGTATCAACTTTGACTGTTTTTTTTAATTTAATATTTGGAACATCGTAATTTGTTAACTTATTATTGTAGGTTTTTTTTAAATATAGAATCTATATACAAATCGTATAGGCCCTAGCGTGTTTTATTTTTTTAACTGTGTTCACCGGGAAACGGTCAATGACCGTCCTATTTGACGTCACAGAATTACGGGTGAAAGTGAGGTCAAGTTTTGGCTTTTTCTGATGTGCTACGTGCGTGAGGGTTGAGAAAATGTAACTTAGTAAACATCGGTGGGTTATACAACTTGGTGACGTCATTTATGGACAATTTTTTTTTCGCCCGCTGATAGGTACAAAGACTTTACTGCATTTTTAAGTTTCTCATCGCATGTGTTTGAATGTAAACTTTGTAGCGCCGTGCATTTTTGGTGTTATCACTGTAGCCTGGGCGGCAAAGCTGTTTTATCGTGAGCATTAATGACGCGAGCGCTTAGCCACGTGCCTTATTGATGAGCGGTTTTGTCGGGGATTTCAGTGTCGGTTTTGTCGGGGATTTCAATGTCGGTTTTGTCGGGGATATCAATGTCGGTTTTGTCGGGGATATCAATGTCGGATTTGTCGGGGATATCATTGATCAATGTCGGTTTTGTCGGGGATTTCACTGTCGGTTTTGTCGGGGATTTCAGTGTCGGTTTTGTCGGGGATTTCAGTGTCGGTTTTGTCGGGGATTTCAATGTCGGGAGTTTTGTCACATGGCATATGGACAGTAGCATTTTGTGGTGGGATATTTTAAGGGAGCCTTATATTACAAGGCCATTTATTTTTAACGGGATCGATTTTTCAGGACCCTTAATATTGCCCTGTCGGGGTATTTTTTTTATGTATGAGGATAATTTTAGCAAACAATTTTTGTACTTACCTACATTTTTATTTTGCTTTACATATGTGTTTTTATTTGCTAGTTATATTTTATTTATTGTCATGCTAATGAAGTATGTTTTATATTCCAGACAGAATATGCACTTCTAAAGCAGAGCAGAAACCATATGTAGAACTATATATTATAAATTATAATAAAGAATAAAGTTCTTTGGTGTACTCCTATATATAAATTGTTCATCATTATTTTTTTACTCTAATAAAACTGCAGTTTATTTTTACTACAAGCATATTCATTGAGATTAAAATTAAAATAAATGAGGCCCAGCAAGGGACAGCATTTGAGCCAGCAGTGAAGAAAAAAAATATTTCTTTTCAAAATGACAACTGTTCCTTAGAAATGCAAAATATCTTGGTATAAATCAGAAACATTATCATAAACAAAATTAAACTAAATCCTCATTTAAAAGTAGAGTGGTTATGACTTTGCCCAGCTGTCTTCAATTTCCATAGAATATCAGGTACTCATTACAGCTGGGTGGACTCGGGGATGTCCTATCAACCTCAGTCCGGGATCCGAACTTGAGGCTTAAGGTTAACATTTGGGCGTTCTTTCATCTGACCATGTCATCCCTTCATTTAATTACAATCACTGAATCAGACTAAGGGTCTTAAACAAAGTTAAAGGATTTGCCATCAATGTAACATCAACATATTTATTTTCACTTTTGGAACAATGATAATCATTTACATAATTACAATGTGAGTTGTATCAATTCTTCAGCTCAATGAAAAGAAAAACATACCTTGATGCTAATTATTTAGTTAGTATTAATAGTTAATAGACACACTTTTAGAACTTCATTCAAGCAAGCTCCATGCTTGATAGTTTTAATAAATAGATAGAACTCACACTCAGATTGTGCTAAAAGTTTTGGTTTTTTAAAAGGGGGGTACCTTCTTCAACCATATATTTCTGGAAAACAAATGGAGTCACAACCAGTATTTTGATTATTTCTTTTGTAGTATAGAGTTATCTTAAGTTAAGCAAATTTTGAAACTTAAATGCTCAGTAGTTTAAATTTGCCATAATTTTGTATTTCACATAAACCAGACTTCGGTTTTGTAGAATCGCATGATTTATCAGCTTTGCATCATGATATACACAAATCTTTCATGCTATGATCAATATTTTGATATTATTCATTGACACACCCATAGTTACTCATTCTGAGTTATTTTGAGCTTAATATTTCTAATAGTTAAAATTTAAACTGTGTTTGTATGAAAGCACTGCGTGTTCAAAAATAGGGGGGTACCATGTTTAACTTTTGTTGTTCAATAATCCTACCCATAAATATCTTATTTTTTGGTTTATTATGCTTCCATATATGATAAAAAAAGATACTGGAAAGTTTAAACAAATTCTACCATGTAGTTTACAGGCTATGATCATTTTAGTGCACTCTAAAAAAATCTTTATCACAGAAATTTAAAAAATCCTATGTTAAAAAATGCACCTTTTTTAATAGGAAAAAAAATCATAACTTTTTAACCGTTAGAGCTACATAAAAAAGGAAAACTGTTCTGTGATTCTAATTTTTTGCTCCTTCTACCTGCAGTCATTGTTTTGCAATCAAACCATTTTTGAAATTATATCCTAGTACCTACTTAAAAGCGTCCTTGGTTGCTAACCAGAACATGGCGTAAGGATCGGACCATGACTTCCGGCGAGTTTTTCGACTTAGTTCCAGAGACCTTCTTAGAATTACTTTTAAAAATGTTTATCACGAGTAAAATGGCGGGTTTTCACGTTATAAAAACATGCTATAGGTGGCAAGGCTAAATATGCCAGAAAAGCATTTTCAAAAATTGCTTTGGGGAATGTAGGCTAAATTTAAAGTCGGTGTCATTCAAAATAATATAACTTTTTAAATATAGATCTCCCTATCACAAAATTGATTTCCAAAGTAAAGCATTATTAGTTTTATCATTCTATGAAAAAATAAATCAAATATCTTCAACACTTTTTTTTATATGATGTGTCCAAAAAATGACAACCAATTTTTTTTATTTTTTTTGACCACGTGACCGCTATTTGAATGGATACGTTTACCTGGCATGGTTTTTTATTTTGCTCTTTTGTACAATAAAAATTGTTATAAAATTAAAGAAATAAAAGAATTCAAACATCACTTCTGTCTTGTCTTTTTTAAAATTTATTTCTGATGACATTCTCTTAATTTTTTTTCCTCTATAAATATATCCCGACGATAGACGGGCCAATTCTACTTTTAGGAACTCTCTTGTGAAAAAAAATTAGATCTATTTCACGGTCACTTAAAAAGTTAAACCCTTCAACTTTTAACCAGGTTGTCATGGATGATCAGTCATATCATAGCTGTGAGTGACAAAACATTTTAAAATTCAATAATTTAGTCTAAACTCGCTACAACCCCTAATTAGTGCCTAGAGGATAAAGTATGGACGTTTTTTATTCAGTTGTCATGTTTAAATTGAGAATTGAGTAGATTTCACATATAGTAAGAAAAACTATAAAGTAGGTCTAGATCTAGAATCTAGTCAGTAACTTGTTAATAAGACTGTACTGTGTGTCATCTGGCTGCAAGTGGGAAGTGAACTCTAACCCGAGAAAATGGTTTGGGCTCAACAGGGTTCGCACGCAGTCAAAAAAACGTGAATTTCGAAATTTTATTTCCTGGCTGGGTGAACCGGAAATTTCTATGAATAGCCGGGAAATATCTTTAAAAAACGGGAAATCTTGCTTCCCATGGTTTTTTTCCTTTCGGGTGTTGCGATATTTGGACAGAGTATAGGCCAATCCAATTGCTAGTCTCGCTGTGTCTCATGATCTAGTTTTGGCTAGTCTTGCCAGTTCTCGTGGTGCCTCTTTACTGTTGATCTGTTTTCCGCCCATCACGCAAGCATACACGGTACATCTACTGACTGCTATGCTAGCTTCGGGTTACCCAACATTGACGTGACGTCATTTTTTTTTCAGGATTGGTTTAAAATTTAGTTAAGGCCACACATGATTTTTTTTATTTTTGGTAATTTCAACTCTCTGTTGTCTAGAGATTGCCCTAAATAAACTGTATTACTAGGATCGCGCACGAGTACAGTCTTGTTTAATATTAATACCTATTTTAAGGATAACCGCTGTAGCAGACCTCACGGTTAGCCACAAATTAAAAAAATGAAATTTGCGAAAGCCAGCTTTTCTAGCATTCATGACAAAAAATTAAAGGCTAGTGTATTAGTACAATAGTAACAGTGAGGGATATTATTCAAACTTCCTGTCTTAAAGCAAATTATTTGCTGTTTACATTTTGTTGGTTGGGTGAATAACTATTAGGTACACATTTTTGGCTGACTTCATACTTCATGGATAAATGTTAATTTGTTGATAAATTAAATGTTCTATTTAGAAATCAACTGGAGACGAAGGCATTGCCAAAATGGATGCCTTAATTACAGCTGTTGGTGTTGATGAAGAGGTCATTTACTCAAAGTCCACAGCTTTACAGGTCAGTTTGTTTTGAACAAATATTTGTATGGCTTTTAATGCATTATTTTTTTTAGAGTAAGTCTTATAGCTTTTACTTCTTAGCTTTTTATAGACATTATGTTACCATTATATCGACCTTATTAACATAAATTTTATTTTGACTTCAATATGGAAAAATTAATTTATTGCAGACATGGCTGTTCGGTTATGAACTTACAGATACCATTATGGTAATGTGTCAGCAAGTCATTTGTCTAATGGCCAGCAAGAAAAAAATTGAATTCCTGAAACAATTGGACAGCTCAAAGGAAAATGATCAGGGAATTCCTTCTCTTAAACTCATAACAAGAGAAAAGGTAAGTAATATTATTACTTGATCTAAAACTCACCTATGTATTTGCTATCGTCTTTTTAATGCATTTTTTTTTTCTTGATGAAAGTTATTTTGTTACTGTTATTAATTGTTTATTTACTGAATCTGACTTACAGGGTGATAAAGAAAAAGACAAGGCCAACTTTCAGAAATTGATTGAATATATTAAGAAAAGTAAAAAAGTAAGCAAGTATTCCCCTTTGTAGATTTTTTTCCTCATCTTATTCCATCTATTGTTATATGAATGTTGAAGGAAAATGATTATGTGAAAAACTGTAGGGTTTTTCCCCCACTATTTTAATCATTCATAGTTTTTGTATAAATAATTCCTTTTTTCATAGGGAAAAACAGTTGGTGAGTTCAGCAAAGACAAATATCCTGGTGAATTGATGGATGGATGGAGAAATGCTATCAAAGAGGCTGGTTTTGAAAAGGTAGTGGATTATTTCAAGTAAATAGTATTTTGCATTAGTCTTATGTTTTCACTTTGAAAACAGTTTACTAAAGTTGTGCTTTTTAGTCAGCTGTTGTCCAATAATGCTGTTTTAAATACTTTTGTAGGTAGATGTTTCATCTCAGTTTGCCTACATTATGGCTCCTAAAGAAGAATCTGAAATTAAAACAATCCAGAGAGCCAGTCAGGTTACCTGTGATGTTTTCAACAAATATCTCAAAGAGCAAATAATGGAAATCATTGATGCTGACAAAGTAAATTATTTTTTAAATAGTTCTTTAGGCTTCGGCTTTACTTTATCTTTTTCTGCTCAATCAAACTGAATATCAGTACATGTTAACTAGCATTTCCCTTTATTTTAAATATGTACAGAAAGTAAAACATGCAAAGCTGTCAGATGGTGTTGAGCAAGCCTTACAGAACAAAAAGTATGTGTCGGGAGTGGATACCAGTCAGCTTGATGTCTGTTATCCAGCAATCATCCAGAGTGGTGGGAAATATAGTCTGAAATTCAGTACTACAAGGTGGGTTTTTCATTCTGTAAAATGTTTTTATTATTGTGATTGTTGGGATGTGAAAGTAAAATGATTATTTGGGATTGTGATGCATAAGATTTTGGATTAAAAATTACTTTTTACATAAAGGAGGATAAGTGAAGTTTTTGTGCTGAGTTTAGACAGTTCCATTTGGTTGAGTTATATTTTTATAGTCTTAATGTCTACACCTCAACTTTATTTTTATCCTTATCAATGTCCCTTACATTCCTGCTGTCTGATGACGTTGGTCTATGTGCTATTATGAACAGTAAAATAAACAAATTATAGTTAACAAAATATGGTTTTGTTTTAAACAGCGATGAAAACAACCTTCAGTTTGATGCTATTGTATGTGCAATGGGTGTACGGTACAAATCATACTGTTCAAATATTGTTCGTACATTGTTGGTTAATCCTGAAGAACCTATCCAGAAGGTGTATGAATTTCTTGTGCAGGTGGAAGAGGAGGTTATTAACAAACTTCAACATGGTATAGTTTTTATTTTATTGTTTATAACCTAAATTTTCAAGTACCAAATCTTATTTTATTTCATATAGTTTTTTCTTCATGCATAAGTACTAAAATAATGAGAGAGCTTTCAATCAAACAAAATGAAGACTAATCTTACAAGTAAATTTAAGACTAGAGGGTCACAAACTTGTTTCATACATGGGGCTAAGATTGGATGGACAACTACCAATATTAAAATGCAAATGCATGAAACATGTTAATAACCAGACCAGACAAGTTTCTTCTACATTAAGCATCTAATTTGCTCTTTGTTGTTTTAGACACAAAACGGTTATTTTTTTAAAAATTATCTTAATTCCATATAAAATTCCATTTAAATATGTGGTATTTTGTCTTCCAGGAGTGAAACTGAGTGATGTTTATGAAACAGGTCTTGCACTGGTAAAAAAAGAACACCCTGAGCTAGAAGACAAAATGATCAAAAGCTTTGGCTTTGGAATGGGAATTGAATTCAGAGAAGCTTCTCTTCTTATTGCCCCTAAAACAAGAGCCCCTGCTAAAAAAGGTTTTTATTTCTTCTCTGATATCAAGTAAATATATAAAAAAAAAGAGAGCACTCATCTGTAAATCATCTGTTGTTTACTTAGGTCTGCTGGACTGGTAATTGAGGCGTTGTATTTATTTTTTATCAGGAATGGTGTTTAACATAAGCATTGGCTTTGCTGACTTGGTAAATAGTGAGAAAAATGGGAATAAAAAGGCAGCGCTATTCCTTGGCGATACAGTACTTGTAAATGAGGTTGGTTTTTTTTTTTTTTTTTGTTAATATAATCCTTTGCACATAATGCATTGGGGTTAATGTCTTAAAGCATTAGCCTTTTTTTCATCCACAAATTATAATTTTAACAAATTAGCGCCTTTTGATATAAGTATTTAACTCAGCATGCATGAAGTAATATGGTAGACTTACATTGCATTAAAATTAAGTTTTTGTGTAAATATGTATTGTATAAATACTACTAAATTGTACTGGCTGACTCAAACTTTCTCCTTAATACTACTGTAACCCTGGGATACGCAAAAAATTACACTTTACTGTCTTTTTTAACTGTATATTATTTTCTAATAGGGAGCACCGGCAAGTGTCCTTACAACTACAAAGAAGCTTCTAAAACACATTGGTATATTTTTAAAAGATGATGATGAGGAGGAAGAGGAGGAAGAAGAAGAACTTGAGAAGGAAGCAGAACAGTTTTTAGGGAGGGGAGGTAGAAGAACGGCTATGGTGGAGAGTAGAACCAGAGTGAGAATTTTTTTTTACTATACAAACAAATCTTTATGTAAATAATTTTTCTAAAATTATGTAAATATTGATATCTTATTTTTCCAGACAGAAGCACCTTCAGAAGAAAAGAGACAACAACATCAGAAAGAATTAGCTCAAAGATTAAATGAAGAAGCCAGGGAGAGGTTGCGTGGTATCAAGTCAGGAGGTGAAGACAAAAAGTAAGTTAATATGTGTTGTTAGTCATACCCTTTTTAGATATACATTAAAAGTAATATTATCTTTTTGCAAATGGCCTTGTCCACTCTTTTTATAATCCACTAAAACTGTTAATAATGAAAACTAGTGCCAAGAGCTAATGAAGTATTTTTTGTTATTTTAGAGCACGAAAGTCAAACGTTTCTTACAAAAATCCAAACAATTTTCCTGAAGAGGCTGAATGTAGAGATCTCAAACTGTTTGTGGGTAAGATAGTTTAGAAACCACTTTTAAAAAAAAAATGATCCAGATTTGATATATTAAATAACTTAATACCTTAATACCTTTTTTTTAGACAAGAAATACGAGACCATTGTTCTGCCAATTTTTGGCACTGCCACACCATTTCACATTTCAACAATTAAGGTACGAACTTTTATACATTCTAGCTTTAGTCTAGCAACTTGTGGCATAAGATTACTATTTGCTGCTCTTCCAATTACTTCTAAATTTCTGTTGTTGTTTTTTTTTCAAATAAATGGTGCACATAATTTTAATAAGCCTTTTTAATGTAACTTCTCTGGTGTAAAATATGAGTTAAACACTTCATATAGTGTCTACATGAAGTTCCCTTTATCCTCAAAGGATTGCTGACACTCACTTAATAAACAGAAACTATGTTTAAAAACTAGGTCCACTGTCTTTTGACAGTATTCTTTATGTGTATCCTTTAGTTGTTGATGTCAAACACCTGTTAAAGCTTTGTGACATCAAATAACCTCCCAGAGCTGTCTTTTCCCAGTTTCACCAAGGTACTACTACACACCCCATCCCCTCATGATGGTTCTAGAAAATGTAACTTCATCCTTTATTTATATACAGAACATCAGCCAGTCCGTGGAGGGAGAATACACATACTTAAGAATTAATTTTTTCCACCCCGGCGCTACACTAGGAAGAAATGAAGGCAGCTTTCCTAACCCTGACTTAACCTTTTTAAAAGAAATGTAAGTTAGTTTCAAGATCGCCCTACCTGAATATATGTTTGCTGGAGAATTGTGATTTACAAAACACTTTTTTGTTTCATCAGCACATATCGTAGTTCTAATACAAAAGAGCCAGGTGAAATTTCAGCCCCTTCATCAAATTTAAACACAGCTTTCCGTCTCATTAAGGAAGTACAGAAAAAGTTCAAAACCAGAGAAGCTGAAGAGAGGGAAAAGGAGGTAACATGAGTAGGATATTCATTTCATCTTAGTGGACATCATAAATAGTATGGTCTTATAGTTGATGTGGTGTTTTTTTTTTTTTCTTCTTTGTAAATATTTGTATTTGTATTGATTTTCTGTATTTACTTGTTAGGGTATTGTGAAACAAGACACATTGATCATTAACCCCAACAGAGGTAACCCTAAATTAAAAGACCTGTATATTCGACCAAATATAGTATCCAAAAGAATCTCAGGCACTCTCGAGGCTCATACAAATGGTATTATTTTTTAACTTTTAGCTTGAATTTTTTAACTTTAGATATTCTGTTTATACAATCACATACTATTAGTTGCCAAAGCTAATTTACTTTTAAATATTTTTAAAAATTTAGGTTTCCGGTTTACTTCAGTCAGGGGTGATAAAGTTGACATATTATACAATAACATCAAGCACGCCTTTTTCCAGCCGTGTGATGGAGAGATGATTATTTTACTTCACTTTAACTTGAGAGTAAGCTATGCTTATTTCATGTACAAAAATGTTATATACCAAAATTTTTAAAAAATGTCTTTTCATTACAGGATGGCTGAAGATTAATTTGTTTCTTTATTCTTTAGAATGCTATTTTATTTGGCAAGAAGAAACATATAGATGTTCAGTTTTATACTGAAGTGGGAGAGATTACAACAGATTTAGGTAAACACCAGCACATGCATGACAGGGATGATCTTCATGCTGAACAGGTTGGTTATCTGGAATTGTGACATATCCACTGGATAAGGTTTTTTGTTTAGTAAAAGATAAATACAAATTATCTGTTTGGGGCATTTGCATTTTTAAATATTATTTTTATTTACTTTCTCCTAACATATTCTATTTTTATATATTTTATTTTATTTTCTTATAGGCTGAACGTGAACTGAGACAAAAATTAAAGTCTGCTTTTAAAAGCTTTTGTGAAAAGGTTGAAGGCATTACAAAACAAGAAGTTGAATTTGATTCTCCATTCAGAGACCTTGGTTTCTATGGTGCACCATTCAGAAGCACAGTGCTACTTCAACCTACTAGTGGATGTCTTGTAAATCTAACGGAGTGGGTAGGTATCATTTCATATAAGAAATCTTAGTTTAGACATCTTACCCAAAAACTTCATTAATGTTGTTTAGATGAACTATGATTAAAAATGCCTTTCTTTTAATAGCCTCCTTTTGTGGTTTCCTTGGAAGATATTGAGCTGGTTCACTTCGAAAGAGTATCATTTCAGCTGAAAAATTTCGACATGGTGTTTATTTTTAAAGATTACAGTAAGAAAACAGCCATGATAAATTCTATTGCCATGAATATGCTAGACCATGTGAAGGAGTGGCTCAAGTAAGTTTTGTTTTTTCCATATTTAAACTTTCAATATTTTTTACAAATCACTCAACTTTATCTACATACATTAAAATTGAATAATTGCTTTACAGTTCTTGTGACATCCGTTACACAGAAGGTGTTCAAACTTTGAACTGGGCCAAAATTATGAAAACTATTACAGATGATCCTGAGGGATTTTTTGACAATGGTGGATGGACTTTCCTTGATCCTGACAGTGAGGTAAAACTTTTTTTTTATAATGGTTCATTCTTAAGTTCTGCATTGTTGGGGTTTTTTTTTTTTACTACTTTATTTATAAAAGACCTTTTGTAACTTTGTTTAAATTTTGGTCATAAAATTTTTAAATGAAAAAACTCTCTGACTGAAAAGAATTCTTAATACTCAAGTTCATTACTGGGTTTTTTAAAGCAACTGAAGTAGAATTTACGGAAAGCTTTGCAAGATAAGCTGGGGGGGGGGGGGGGGGAGTATAAGTTACACTTTATTAAAACTGTCATAGTAAATTACAAGCCAATCATTGCAAATCATGTAGAGCTGCTTGTTTTCTGAATCTCTAACAAGTTGTCTATTTTAAAAAAGTGGAAAATCTTTTCATTTAGGTTCATTTTTTTTAATCAGTCATCTGATCAATCATATCTTCACATACTCTCATTTAGTATTTTGTTTCTTTTTAAGTCATCATGATTGATAGTTTTCTTATTTCTTTTTTTTTTTTAATGTTTATAGGGTGAAGTAAGTACTTATTAATAATAGTACTATTTTAATGCTTGAGGTGTAGGCTTAAGATCATAATTTTTATATTTAACTTGGTATACTATGGTTGAAAATGTTGCTTTTGATCAACAAAAAGTAGTCACCAAAAATTTTTTTTTTTTAATTTAGAAATCTTTGTATAGAATGTGTGTTTTTTGTTTTTGCTAGTTTGGGCATTAGGGATATTCTTTAATTTGTTTCTTTATAGCTTTTTTAAAAACTTGTTTCTTTATTATACATTCAATGCAGTTGGTTAAAATATTGAATACATTTAAAATGCTCAGAAACAAGGTTTTTATTTAGTAATTAAAATTAACATTTTGTAGCTAGTGTTTAGCTTTTAGAAAAACCGGTTTCAAAGACTTAACTTTTTAATGACACACTAAGAACACATCCTTGACTTCATAGTTCCTTAATAATTTGCATTTGGACAGCTTAAAACTTATTATCTAGATGTATTTCTATACTAAAAAAAAATTCCCTTTATGTGTGTGCCATCTTAAAATGCATTTGCTGAACACTATTTGTGCTTGTGCTAATTTAATAATAAAGAATTATAAAAATTACGGATTCTATTTAAATAATGGTTTTTGGGATGCAAGTAAGTAAAATAAAAGCTTTGTAATGTAAATGTCTAAAGTCAGCTAAAATGTGTAGACAAAATCCATGTCTTTGACAACTCAATAACTTTCTTATATATGGTCCTTATGGCTTGATATTTAGCTTTATTTGTATTCTGTACACCCAAATAAAAACATTGGCATTTTCACACAATTAATTAGTCTGCCAGTTTATATATTTTTTCTGAATAATTCTAAAAATACCATTTAAGTAGGCCCTACTCCTTACTAATAAATATAGCTTTAATTGATGATTTTAAGTAAAATTGGATCCTTTTTATTCTTCAAACACTATGTTCGCTTAACCTTACCTTTTTTTTTTTACTTTCCTAAACTCATAATTTGCTTAAATGAATTCTTTGCCTTTAAATAATCTCTAATGCAGAACAGTCTCCTTCACCATATCAGATTACAAGTTTTGGTTTTTGTATTGTTTGATTTCACTGATCTTTAATAATCATTCACTCATGTCCCTTGTTCCTTTATTCATTATTTTTTAAAATATGTATTAGAAACTTATTTTTATTGTTTCTAAATATCTATTTTTATTTAAAGTTCTAATTTGATAGAGATGATTATTTTTTTAAATTGTTTAAATATTCATTGGAGCAAATTTGATTTTAATGTTTCAAAACAAAAATGGAAGAATTAGTACAACTTTTTAAAATTTTTAAATGTTATCATTAGCAAGATATAAATTATAAACTTGATTGCTATAACCAGGAGGAGCAGGAAGAAGAAGACAGTGAAGAAGAAGATGACACATTCCAGCCATCTGAAGACGGGTCTGATTTTGATGAAAGTAGTGAAGAAGATAGTGATGAAAGTAATTGGGAAGAGGAGGAAGAGGATGAATCTGGTGATTACCTATTTTTATTTCAGTTTTTTTTTTTATCGGTAAACAGATTGTGCGTTGAAAAAAAATGAAATTCATCATACTATTAATTTTCTTTTTTGTAGGCTCTGAGGAAGATCTGGGTTCTAGTGAGGAGAGTGGCAAAGACTGGGATGAGTTGGAAGAAGAAGCAAGAAGAGGTAAAAATAATTAATCTAGAAACAGGTTTTTATTGCTTTGGCAACTTCACATCCTTTAGCTTGATATTGTTTTACAATATTTGAAAAGTTCCTCTAATAAATTTAATCAACTTATGTTATAGCTGACAAAGAAAAAGATGATGAGATCCCAGAAGCCCGGCCATTACAAAAACACAGATCACGCAGTAAAGGAGGGAGTGGTGGCAGTAGCCGCAACAGCCGAAATAGTCGCCACGGAAGTAGTCATGGAAGTAGCCGCCATGGAGAAAAAAGGGGCAGGGAAAGTAGCAGTGGCAAAAGCAGCTCCCCACAAAAAAAGAAATCCAGGCGCTAGCGGGGATTGAATGTTTGTAAATAAAAATTTGCTGTTTTTCAAAACAATTGCACGGACATTGATAAATACATTTTTTTTGTTTCTGAGAGAAATTATATAATTGATAAATTTTAACATTCTCTTTCACTGATATGTCATTCACAATGATTTATTTGTATAAACATAGTATATCCACATCATACATTTGTAATTTTTAGCATCTGTGCTTGTTAATTATGTACTGTTTATGCCATGAATATTTTCCCCTTGATTAGGCTCATAGAGATTAACATGGTAAATTTAAGTTTATAAGCAGCCTTTAACAGAAGGGGAAAATTGTGACCAGTTTTTATTTATGGATCAATGTTCAACATCTTTATTCTGTTATGAATAACTGTAAATAAAATATTTGGACTACAGCTTTGGGATTTTTTTTACTTTTAGACTATAAGAATCAATTCAAACTACTGAGTGAAAAATTAATTCCTGGACTAAATATTTGGATTTCGTGTATGAAGTTTTTTTTTTTTCAGTTTAAATTAGTATTCAGTCATTACTTTTTGTAATGAGAAAAGTAATGAAAGAGGTTTACACACGTTCCAATCCTACTCTTAATATACACAAACAGTAACCAGTATAAAAAAAATGGCATTGATAAGTTTGTCATAAACTTATTACACCATAATGCTAAAGAAACGAAATTTGTAATGTATAAAACTTGTAAGTTTTAATCATGTTTAAACTTCCTAGTGGCTGAATTTTTAAAAATAATTGCTGTCGAATTCTTTCTAATAAATTTACTTGGAGCTGTGAAGTTTTGAAAAGAATTAACATCCAGCTGTACTAGTTTCATGAACTCCTATTTGAGCTTCAGTAGCAAACTTTTTAATAATCTCATTTGTGGAACTTTGCTAGCCCTTGATTCTCTAAATATTTTGCTTATGTTGACCTGCATTTTCAAGCATTCACACTTACAGCATACAATTTCAACTGCTTGTATAAATGACCTACAAATCATTTAGTTCAATTAGAGTTTTCAAGCTGAAGCATCCATACCCCATGTTCACAGACATTCACCTCTCATTAAATAATAACAAAAATTACTTCATTTAAATAATTTGTATTGAAACAACACTGGAGCTGTTTATTTACATGTGCTGTGAAATACAAAGAACAAGTATTTCAAAATGTGTTTATTAATCTATTACAATTGACCTGTACAAATTAAGGCTTCAGTTAAATAAGAATCAAACACATACTATGATATACATTAATCATTCATAAGTTTACTGGATATAGATCTATTAGAACTTTTTTTAAAGAATTTGGGCCTTTGTAAAATTGTTTCATTAAAATGTCAAAATCATGGAAATTTTTTTCAATTACCAAGAACTTTAAAAGTATTTACATAATTTAAAGAAATAGGGTGGTCAGAACAGTCATTAACAGTCAAAGAGAATTTATTTTTTTTACAAATATACTACAGGAAATATGATTATCTCACGTAAGTAATGTGAAGGAAATACACAGCAGTAATCTCAGTAACTGAAACAAGCATCATAAAGATTTTATTTGAACAAACAGCTGATTATCAGTTAACAATTGTTTTAACTATAAATTTAAAGTTTAGATGGTTTTAAAATGTACAGATTTTCAAGTGATAACAAATGCTCCTCAATTTACAAAATAATGACATAACTTAAATGGTTGTTTTGAGAAGGCATAAAACATTCATTTTAGTAATTTTTATCAATAATTTATGCTTATTGTTAGCTGATCCAAGAGTTAATATTTTAAAAAATCAAATGGAGTAGACTAAAAGATATACTGTTAAGATGTTGTACTGGAAGTATCAGTATACTTTACTATCCAGGGATGTTTCAGTACTTGAACCAATGGTAGTCTTGCATTTGGGTCATGTCGTAACAGCTGTAAAAAAAAAAAAAATTTTTTTTAATACATATCTTGGTAATATGATCATTGATAAATAAGTAGCTTGTTTAGTTAAATGACACGTAAATGCTTAATATTCAAAACTTAGTTCCTACTTTGGATATGAGGTCCCTTGCTCCTTCTGACACAAAGTCAGGGAAACGCAGATCTACTTTTGATATCCTTCTGTATGTTTCTGTGTGACCTTCTGCCTCAAAAGGGGGGGAACCAACTAGAAACTCATAACAGAGCACACCCAGGCTCCACAAATCCACACATTCATTATGAGGCCTTCCTTCAACCATTTCTGGCGGCAAATAGTCCAGAGTACCACACATGGTTTGTCGTCTGCAAGTTCATTTATAAGAAACTATCAGTCATAAATTGTATAAGATATACCATAAGCAATGTAAAATTCAGTTTAAATTTAATTTATCACGAGAAATTAAATTAGTTTTAAAAAAAACAATACAAACCTGGATGAAGGAGCATGAACTGACCAACCAAAGTCAGCTATCTTAAGATCACCCATTAATCCAAGTAAGAGGTTTTCAGGTTTGATATCTCTGTGAATAACCTTTTTCCCATGACAATAAATAAGTGCATCAGCCAGCTGAGCGATGTACTGAAAAATAATGTGATACATTTAAAAAAAAGAAATGATAGTTGTCCTTAACCGTGCACCATAATCTATCATCTAAATCAGAATAAAAGCATATCTCATCATTGATACATACTTTAGCAGATCTGGCATCATCGAATCTTTTGTGCTTTTGTAATTCTTTGTATAATTCACCCTTAGGGGCATATTCTAAAATAAGGTAAATTCTTGAGTCATCATAGAAGTAGCCAAATAACTTGAGAATGTGTGGGTGCCTGAAAGGACATAAATGTAGCCAATCATGAGAATTGTAAGTATGAACATAAATCAAAATTGCATTTTAATCAAATGAAACTTTTAAAATAAATTAATGAAAATAAAACCAATTATTGACCTCAGATGAGTCTGAATTTCTATCTCCCTCCTGAGCTGATGTTCAACACCAGCTTTCTGTAACTGTGACTTAAACATCAGCTGAAGACAATGTTAAATGAATATATAAAAAACAATATACATGAATTTAAGTAAAAGTTATCTAGATAAATATGGGGGAAATTATACACGATACTTATTGAATACAATTGTTTGGACAGTAATTCTCTTAGCAATATTCCTTGAATAACATAGCTTTTTTGGACAACTTACCCCCTGCCCTGAATGTTTAATTTTATCTTACCCTCTCACCTAATTGCAGTTGTTAAAATAAATTTCTTGATAAAATATTGATTAAGCTGGGTCAACAATCAGGTATAATGATATAATTTAAAAACTAACAAAATAAGTACTTTTTAAAAAATGTTAATCATCTATATTATGTTTTAAAATGTTAGCTAAAGTGAGACATCACACTTAAGCCTCCACACCCCCAAATGTCCAATTCTGTGGTGTCATTTATGGACGGACAACCAGCTTAAATTAACAAATATAATAATAAAGTGATTGCTTAAACTACAAGGTATCCCAAATCAGAAATTAATTGCCTTTAATGCCACAATGTATTTGCTTTTCTTTTCTCTGGCAAGATACACATTTCCAAATTTTCCTTTACCAAGAGGACGACCAATATCAAAGTCACTTAGAGACCATTTGCTGAAATTTTGAAGATTTAAAAAAATATTTTCACCAATGTATAGTTAAAATTCACGAAATATAACTTGCAACACCTAAAACAAGGTGAATTTATTTCTTTTTTAAATTTATAAATTATAGTAAAATAAATATTTTTAAAGTAAGATAACATTTCTGAGCTTACATTGGGCCTTTTTTACTGGCACTTTCCATCTCTTTTTCATTTTGTGACAAATTTTCTTTATCAACAGGAATTCTTTGTGGCTTCAGATTTGTTGCTTGCAAATTTTCTCCGCTTGAGAGCAGTATGCGACGTGCTTCCATTCCCAGAAGTGTAAGTATGTATATCTAAATAAACATAAATCTTTTTTTACATTTTCGACATAATTTTTTAAATACTAGGGTAACACATAAGTTTGTGGTAGCTGAAGTACTTGAAGGCATTAGAGCTAATCAGCTTCTATTAAAAGTGAATTTGTTTCAGAAAATGATATGAGCACTGAGACCTATGTATTTGTAGATTTATTACGTTCTTATATCTGAACATTTATAATTTACATTGATTGTTATATCTAGTAGGAATTGAAACTGTTTTACATTTTAGCAGAAATTATTTTAAATTTCTAAATTAATTTTTCTAACCTCTAACTTCTTAAAACATAAGGCTCTGTCAATGTTTAAGTTGAACAAATATTGGAGTTATTACGGTTGGCTATATTCATTGACACACATGGACCCACATGTGGTCTGGGAGTAATGGTTGGTAGCTCTGCTTAGTATTCTATTTACATTCTTCAGTTCAGCCAAGCTTTGATCAAGTTGTACTGCTCAGCTGAACTTTAGATGTACTAAAATTGTACTTCTAAGATCTTGATCTAATAAAATATCTAGATTCAAACTAGATCTTACAATTAACTATAACTTATTTTTAGAGACTAGACTAATAGAATCTACTAAAGTTGATTAGTCTGCTAGTCTAGACTAGCAATGATTCATATACAATTCATTAGTCTGACAAACTGGAGCAGAAGATGAGAATTTCACATTGAATATTATATAAAATTGTTAATCAATGCATTCTGCCATAGTAATTAATCTCAGGCATCTCTCAAGGGGGAAAGAGACAGCCCTCTAGAGCATTACTACCAAAAAAATAAATCTGTAAAATAACTTGGACAAGATGAAGGCCATTTATACCACTCTCCTAGCAGCTGCTATTTGAATAAAAAACTGGTTCACAACAACATGTGAAAAAACCAATACTGTACCACAAAAGGACATTGAGCTTTATTACTATTAGTATGAATGGTAACCACTTAGGCAATTAAGGGTATGTGTTATACCAGTGTCTATCAAAGCAATAAAAGATTTGGACTGGGCTGCCCATTGTGCAGACAGAGCAGCAAAGGGCTGAGAGAGATGGTGGCAGAAAATTATGAGAAAATCAACTGTTGACCCAATGACCCCAATATGGATTAAGAATGATTGATTTGCCTAGATCTAGTTGAATTAGTATAAACAAATATAGATCTATTAAGCCTCACTATTAAGTTGTCTTCTCAAATAAATATATTAGCCTAGGCCTATAGTTTACATTAAATTTTAAAACCTCGATGGGCATAGTAGAGACTAGTCCGTAGTACTAAATCTAGCTACTAAATTAATTTAATCAACATAAGTCCTAATTAGGCCTATACTATAACAGGCCCCTAATAATACATGTGCTTATTTATGATAAATACGCCCCCAACTCTCTAGACGTGAATAAAATACACTAAAATGGAGTTTTACCGTATACTTAAGTATACTAGTAATAGGCCTACCTACTACAATAATACTAGTAACTAGACTCTAGCAGACTACAGTGTAGGAGTCTAGGGTAAAACTCCATTTTTGCGTATTTTATTCTCCGCTTCTTGTTTACCTCCAGTTGAGCGTATTTTATTATAATAACCAAAAGACACCAAAACATTAGAAAAACATGATTTATTTATGCCTAGGCCTATTTGTATTGTATTTTTATTTTAACAAATGAATAAAAAAGAATTTAAAAAAAAAACAGATTGCCTTTGTTTTAGATTTTGATAATTTACTTGTGTCAAAACTTGAGAAAAATCCAAATTTAGAATATTGAATGATATGAATGTGCTATGTTCATGTGTCAGAATTTTCATGGCAATGGGTGAAGTACGTAAATGTAACTCACAATTGCAAGGCGGTTAAGTTTGTATTGTTACAAAGCATCTCGCAGGCATGATACTATAAATAAACATTTATGAACTTACAATGACCCCAAAACTGAGGCCAACACAATTTCAAACAGCAATGGCCCGAGCTATGACGTATGCTGATAATTAAAGTCAATGTGAACTCACAGTAGGGATTTTTCTCCCGCTCAACGCTATTTAATTGGAACATGCTTTTTTTAATGTTTTTTTTTACCTTTTCTAATTAAAAATCACATTCATAAAAAAATAAGTTCATCTAGATTCTAGTGTTTTCCTAACGTTTTTGTGTTTCGGTTGTGTTTATAATAAAATATTAAAATATGCTCAACTGAGGTGAACGGGATGCGGGGAATAAAATACTGAAGTTTTACCGGAGTCTAGATTCTATTTCTAGGATTCTAGTCACAAGCCCCACTCAAGTCTACTCTTAGATTTCTAGATCTAGATCTAGATCTCTAGGTCTTTTCAGTCTATCCAAGAATCAAGATTTGTAATCTTCTACTTCAATTTTTTTATATTTTCTTGTCTAGATCTAGATTTTCAGAAGTTCAGACTTCAGACCTTAGGGAATAAAACACTTATCTTAAACCATTTAACTAAAAAAAACGCATTTTAAGCATAATTTAGGCTTAATAATTAGTTATTAATTAGATCTAGATCTAGATTCTAGCTCTAGATTAGTATAGAGTCTAGATCAAGAAAATCTAGAGAAATTGTTTTCAAAATTCTAACCTTACTATTTCTGTGGCGCTGGGAAAACTCGAAACTTAACAAATAAATTCTTTTACATTTGATTGGCTCTTGCCAAAAAGGGGAATCTACTCTATTATAAAAAATAAATAAAGGGGTGGTAATCTTAAATTCGCTCCAGGGTCTAGGAACTGGCCTGACTTTTCATGATCCAATGGTTCTTAAATATACTTTTAAAAATGCAACAATTTAATAAAACACTTTATAATAATAAGCTTTTAAATGCATTAAAAATTGAAAAAATACTTGCTTTCTTTAGCAAAAGCATTGGTCGTTAAAACAGGTTAGAAATCTTTTAAGGTAACATGGGTGAAAAAGAGTGGATACTCCTAACTATTAGTAATAATCCTATGTTCTTGTTGACAACCATGTCTACGCTATTAGTGGAATAAGTAATAGAGAAGATGAAGGGTACGGAGGGTGTGCTTCAAGACAATGTTATAATAAACAAAAAAATCAGGATCGAGAGGCCACCAGCTTATACTTGTTTGAAAACAAATATTGACAGGGCGCGAAGAGTTTCTTCCAGGCATCTCTTCGAAGAAAGTCTACCGCCCCCCCCCCCTCCGAACGAGATAGAATGTATATAGTAAACATATACTTTTACTAGTGTCCCCCCCACCCGGAAAAAGTTGACCGCCCCGCCCCCCCCCCCTTCCGAAAATATCACGTGCCCCCCGGAGAAAAAAGTCTGGAAGAAAGACTGCTAGCCAGAGATCATCATTCTATAAACTGAGATCCATCAAGATCATTGTTACACACCTTGAAATTCGAAGATTTTTTTTGTAAAAAGAAACGGATATTTTTAGGGAGGGGATTGGCAAAAAAAAAGCGTGACGACATTGATGGACACACCCCAAATTATGGTGGTCTCGGAGGATCTTCAAAAGGTCTTACGTAGGCCTGTTTGTGTAGGCTTGTTTTTGTCTTTCAGTGAGGCGGTCTTTCTTGACTTATTGGTGGATTATGCTAACCACGTACACAGAATAATGAAATTCCTTACTGAGATTTATTTTTAAAATGACTTGGCAAGTTTTGGTTGAGTCAATATTCAGTTTTAGTTTTATCCCTTTTGTGGATGAGAGTTAAACATTGAACTGATTGGCGATTAACACGATTTGGCTCCCCTTATCTGTAATATATGGTTTCTTACAGAGTTTATTGGAATGATGTTGTAGCCGCCTTCAATAAGCACAGCTGCCAAAAGATCGGAGAGCAACAACAATAGGCATTGCATTGATGTTTCATTTTGTAAGTACGAGCTATTTGGATAACTTACCGTGAAATAAGCCACCATCGGGCTCAAAGTTTATAGTATTTTAGATGAATAAGTCAACAGATAATTTTTCATCATATGGGAAGACAGTGGCGTGGCCATATTTGTTGGGGAGGGGGCCCCACAAAATAACAGCTGTGTCACGTTATGTTACAGCAACCAGTAATGACGCACACGTGTCGCATTCAATTATTTCAGTTTCAAAATTTTAAATGTCATTTAACGACAATTTGACGCTTTTAAAAACCTCATTTCGTCACGGGGGTGTGGTTATGGTCATTTCAACCTCCCGTACACACATACAATATGCCTGTATAGTTAGATTGTGTAATTATTTACAATGTTTTCAAATTAAAATTTTGAACCCTCACATATTTCTGGTTGAACCAATTGTAAATAACCGATTCCACTTGGTGACGGATGCATAACTTTGGGATACATTATTCTGTCATCATCATCATCACTCCCTACCATTGCTGGGGTATGGGCCGCAAATCAGAGATCTTCAGAGTCCTCTGTCCAGTGCAGTTTTCTCAACACTATCAGTAGTTTCAGCTTCAAGATCACGTCGACGGGTGTTTCTTTGTCGACCTCTTTTGCGCTTTACTTGTGAGTTTTCATTCAATGCCTGCCTGGTGTTATTTTTTGTCAGTTTGCGCAGCGTGTGCCCTAACCTACCCCATCTTCATTCCCGAATTATTTATCAGCGGAAAGTTGTCCTGTCGTCTCCCGCAGGTGTGCGTTGATGATGGTGTCAGGCCAGCGGATCTTCAGTATTTGTCTGTTTAAAAAGGCCTGAACTTTATCAATGATGTTCTTTGTCGCCCTCCAAATCTCTGCTCAACACAGTTTTACTGATTTTACAATGGAGTTTTAAAAAGGGCACATCTTAGTGGTCAACGAAAGCTCACAGATGTTTTTTAACTGTGCGAATGCTGCGAATGCTTTGTCTGCCTTTGTTTTAACAGTAGTTGCATCTGTTATGGCCTACTGGCTTTGTCGTGCATCTGCTGGTGGTTGTGGGAGAGAAGTGCCAGGTCATCTGCAAAGTTCAAATCGTACGTAGTTTACTGAATTCCATTTATACGTTATCTGGTGGCTGTCTTATCTAGTCGATGGTTTGAAGAAAAAGCAGTGGTGACAACAGCCATCCTTGATAGACAAAACTGCGCTATACGTTTTAAAGAGGTTTACTATTTCCATTGGGATGCAAAAGTGTCATAAAATCTTTCAGAGTGTATCTCGGTCCACACTGCTAGGTTATGATACTTGCGGAGTGTTGCGACCTGGTTCTTGCAGGAGCTATGCTGTCGGTATCCTGCTTGCACGTCTCTCAACTCTCAGCTCTGGGTCAAGGACAATCTTCACCCTATTTAAAAAGACGGTTCAAAAACTTTCCCCGTTACGGTTACTGCGGTTACCTTTTTTGGAGAGCTTTATCGGACGGCCTTCCTTTCAGTCTGTTATTATTTCCTCCTCCCATACCCTCTCAAAGAGTTGGCTTAACATCTCTACTGATGTTTCCATGTATGCTTTCAAGGCCTCCGATGGGGTGTCTTCCCATTTTCTTCTGGGAGATGGCCTATCACACTGTTTAGAACAAACATAGGCGTCATTGCGCTCACGGAAAAGCCCAATGCGCCAAATCGCACCCTGCAGGGGCGCCAGAGCATGCGCCTGATTCGATATAGTCAAATATAATTGTTGCCCATCGTGTCTTTAGTGTGTAGCTTTTTTTTTTTTTTACTTTCTCGTATATACGAAGTATAGAGAAAGTCTTGTAACTTGAGTACCGTTACAGCTAGGTTGATGAAATTTCATATATAAGTATTTTATCAAATCGTAGATCCGTATCTACTTTTGAGCGATTTCCGATAACCGGAAGTGGAACTTTTTCTACTTTCAATTTTTCAAAAGCCTATAACTTGAATAATATTTCAGATAGATAAATGAAATTTCACATGTAAGTAAAAGATCTAATTCTCTGCCTTCTACCAAATTTTGAGCGATCTCCGTTGACCGGAAGTAGTAATTTTCGCTATTTCCGATTTCTCGAAAAACGCATGTGAATTTATAAAGTACTAACAATATTCCGCGCACTATTATGCACATTTTATTAGGCGTTTACTTGGTGTGCAATTTATTTTTCTTCGAGATTTCATTCTATTTTTAAAAGTTTAAGTATTTATAATGGATTAAAAATCATGTCTATATCCCGAGTTGCCATCCCTTGTTTCATATAAGAATATTCGAGAAAGTTTAGGGGAGATTATTCCCGGTTTATTTTAAAAACGATTGTACGGCAATAGTACTCACAGGGAAGACCGGAGCGCTTCTGGTCACGCAATCGTCGGGCGCCGGTTGCTTCGCCTGTTGCAGTTTTACCTCTGAATTTAGGAGTACCCCTTACCCGCTATGCAGGGCACCCGATTAACGGATACCACATGCTAACATGGCAGCTCTGGAACTCTGGACGCCAAACCGTGTATTGACAAAAATCGCACCCTCCCGTGCGCCGCCCTTAAGAAACTTTATTTTCTTTCACATAAATCTTTTCAGGAGTATCCTCGTCAACTCTCCAAAGTTTCATGACACTCGGATGAGCGGTGTCGAACCGCATTCGGCTTTAATTTTTATATATCGTATATGAAGAAAAATCGCACCCTCCCGGGACGCCGCCCTCGCGAAATTATTTTTTTTTTTGCTGAACCATTCCCTGTAGTATTCTAATCAACTCTCCAAAGTTTCATGGCACTCGGATAAACGGCGTCGAACCGCACCCGACTTTTATTATTTACTTACCGTAAATGGAGAAAAATCGCGCCCTGTCGGGGCGCCGCCCTTATAAAATTGAAAACAATTTTTTTCGCAGGAACCTCCTCAGGATTATTCTCAACAACTTCCCAAAGTTTCAAGTCGATCGGATGAAAGGTGCAGTAATGCATAATAGACACACACATAAATTGCTTTATAAATAATTAAATATTAAATAGATATCTAGATCTATAGATTATGCACAAATAGAAATGATTTTCTTTCAATATATAATATCACCACTATTTAAATAACTATAAAGAAAAGCGTGGCTCGTTTCTTTAAATTTAGTAAAAACATCCAATACATAGCATAGTGAATCTAGATCTATTCGAGATCTAGATCTAGAAGTCTAGATCTAAATCTAGTAAAATCTTTGCCACTAGGCCTAATGAAGGTAAATTCTAAATATAGTAAGATCTCTATAATTTCGCTAACATTTATTTTGAGTTCATGTTTTTATATATTTCCGCTTTGTATGTGACGTCAAGTTTAGTTGACATCATCACTGAGTGAAAATATTACCGAGACATGTCTTACGCATACTTATTTAAATACATTATCATTGGGGATACAGGTAAAACTCACCTATTTTCATTATTAAAGAAGAAGCTCAAATTTAAACGCATATGATTTGACATCTTTAAAATTGTAAGATAACTTACCTGGTTAGACATCTAACAACAACTGGTTACTGTGAGAACTGACGGAAATTCATCATGGCGGATTTTCAACAGCTTATTTATAATTTTTGCTGCTTAATCTAGACTCTAGACTAGATCTATATATCTAGATCTAGTCCAGATCTAATCTAGATTCTATAGAAACTTTAGGTAGATCTAGTTTTAGACATAGTCTACGTGACAGTCTACGTCCATTTTAAAATTGTAATTCTAATCTAGATCTATTCTAGCTAGTCTAGATTCTAAAAAATCTAGATTCTAGAATTTTTTTCTAGATTCTAGATTGATTCTATTAGGGTTGTCGGTATCCGCCGAGATCGCGGTAAAAACATGACCCGAAATCGCCCATTACTTTCTGATACCGGGCGCACGAGATTTGGTTTTGCATACTAATAAGTTTTTAATTTATGGTAATTAATTAAGTTTAAAAGGTCATTTCCTAATGTTAAATGAAAAGTAGAATGGTTTTCCCATTGTTTTGATGGCTTAGCGATCTGATCGCACGCTGTCTCTGCTTTGGTCTTCCCCCTGTATGAAGGCTAGTTTCAAATACGTTGGAATCACGATTTTTTAAAAGATTATTCTAGGTGAGAGTAGATTACTGATCAGACATATCTTAAGTATGTGGAAATGAAATTTGTTTTTGGATATTTTGACTCCGACATTAGTTATACTGCTCCGAACGAAGTCACTGTATGTAGGTCACGCTGCCACCATTGTTATATTTTTTCATCCCGATCTTCCGGCCTTTAAGTTTGATCAACTAATAACAGCATTCTTATGGCATGTGCAAACAAATCTCCTAATTTTTTTATTTCAAAATATATTTACATACCCATCTTTAATTTTTTCAGCTCTAGTTCTAGTTTTGCAGAATATGTTTTTCCTAAAATCCAATTTTGTCAGACTAGACTGACAAGAGTCAGACCTAGATCTAGGTTACCTGTCTGTTGCTATACACTGGCATTGTGCTAACTGTAATTTTAAGTATTCAAGTTCTACTTACCCTTAGATATAGTTATATGCTGAAAATCAGAATCCATACACAATTCACACATAAAAACATTGATCTGATAACTCCAAATTTTATTACAAAATGGCTTTTATATGGACTCTACTTCACCTGCCCAAAATAACAAGGCAGTTATAGACACATTACAGTGTTCAAGACATTTACTTTAGATTTCTGACTATGGAGTTCTTTCATTCACTGTATTTATATAAAATATTGCTTTAGAAACATTTTCATATTTGCGCAGCAGTTTTATAACAAAATGGCTTAAAGATGGACTCTACTTCACCTGCCCAAAATAATGAGGCAATTATATGCACATAACAGTGTTCAAGTCATTTACTTTAGATTTCTAACTTTGTAGTTCTTTCATTTGCTGTATTTATATAAAATATGGCTTTAGAAACATTTTCATATTTGGGCAGCACACAGTTTTTTGGGGTTATGGGAGGAAGCCAACACAAAAATATAAGTTCTGTATTATTTTTATTCATTTCAATAGCATTTACAAGTTCTATATATCATTCTAGTTAAACTCTGCAAATATGAACAAAATACAACTGCAAGTAAAATAACTATGCTCAATTTATTCAGGTATACCATCACTTGTCACAATTGGCCAATGCAAAAGCAAGGGGATTCCACCCCTCACAAAAAAATTCGCTAAAAAAAAACTATTTGAGCTAGACAGAAAATCTTTTTTGTTTTGTTTTCATATAGTTGAGCTCTACAAGAATATGTAATTTTTATTTTTATATGATGATTAGTGTTTTTTTACCAAAATCCCTAATTCTATACTAGATCTAGATTTAGCTAGAGTCTAGTTTCTAGAGGTAAATTTTCTCCCTAAATCTAAAATTTACGCAATTTTCAATACAAACATGACTGCTGAATAATAGACATCCATATTAAATCTATTAGGCACTAATTTTGCAGTTTGTTTTAAACTTAAATTACTTAATTTAATATTTGTCACTCACTACCATGACACGACACACCACTCCATGACAACACAACTTACTCTTGAAGCCACGGCAAGCCACGAATAGGTTCGACTTTTTAATTGGCCATGCACCAGAGTTTCTCACAAGTGATAAACCAAATAGTGGTCACGTGGTTTTTAAAAAATAAAAATAAATTATTTGTGATATGAACGCCGGTCTTATTAAAAAACAAAATATTTGATTTCTTTTTTCATATAGACTGATAAAACTAAAAATGCTTTACGTTCTCGCTCATTTTTGTACCTACACCGTTGATATTTTAAAAGTTCTATTCATTTTTATGAAACCAACTTTTGAATTTAGCCTCCATTCTCCAAATCAAATTTTAAAATGCTTTTCTGGCAAATATAGCACAGCCACCTATGGTTTGTTTTTATTACGCGAAAACATCGTCATTTTGCTCATGGTAAACATTTTAAACAGTAATTCTAAGAAGGTCACTGAAACTAAGACGATAAATAGTCGGAAGTCATGCATCTAGTCTGTACGCCATATTGTCGTTAACGACTGGCCACGCCTCCGAGTTAGCGAGTAATACAACTAGCTAGATCTGGATAGAATCCTAGATTGATTTCTAGAATTCTAGATTAATCTAGCTAGGATCTAGGCTATTCAAATGAAACTGTTTATAAATGATTATATTTTCTGATATTTTTTTCTTACTTATCTGCTTGAATAGGCCTAATAAATTACGATTTGGCCTAAAGATTAAATAATTTTAAAAATGTCCTACAAGTAACAACAATACTCGTGATAGTAAATTTGATGTTAAATATGCTGCAATCATAAAATATTATTTAGGGCCTATAGTTCAGAGTAATTTATTTTTTATTTCAATTTGTATTTTGTGTTGATAAAATATGACTTGTTTATTATTTTAAGCATGTTTTTTTTATTCTGCCCTTTAAGAAATTTAATTGAGTGATAATCAACATCAATTCCAAAAATTATTATGTGTTGAAAATTTATGCATTGAGAAAATTGTTTGAATGTAAACATTAAACAACAGCAGATGTCAGCATGTGTCAAACCACATAAATACACCCATTTGATGATCGCTGTCACGCATGAGTGATTTTGATATGTTCTGGTGAACTAAACTACCAGTCTCTTGACAACAAACTGGAAGACAACAGATAGGCATACATGACATAACCTCAACAGAATAGTTTTTTGAAAATAAGTGAGTCAGTTGGGCACATTGTTTACATGTGTTGATTCTAGAGTTGTCTAGAATTATTTACCTCTTAAGGACAAGTTGTAACAACAGTCTTAGTCGGCAGTCCGTAGGTTGCATTGTAGTGTGTAGTAGTAGGCCCTATTTGCAAAATGTAAATTAATCCGCATCAAGCAGATTGCCAGCTAACTCTGAAATTAGTTTATTGTAAAAAACATACACATCACTCAAAATAATTCCAAAGAAAGCACAACTCATTAAGAAATGCATCACTATAAAATTTGAAAACCACATGTATGTCTACTCGCCATCTTTGGCTAGAAGTCATTAGCTTACACAAGTTTTGTGAATGATGCTACTACAAATTTAGTTTTTGACGGTACCTGACATTTACATAATAATTAATTAACTCCCAGAACTCCAATATCATCCTAGTATTGAAAAAGAATTTGAAGCACAAAAAACTAATGAATAAATCACACGAAGAGTTTTGCAACTAGAATCCCTGACACAACTGTCAATCTATACCATTGGGTAGCCAACAGTTGTGAGTACACCAGCGCCCTAGACCTTTTGCTGTTTCAGAGATTTTTTTATGTTTCCAAAGTAAAATATGGAGAGAAGGGCAATAAAACACCATAATACTTGTTTTAATAATGAGGCCACCAATAGTTCACATTTTCTAATGGAGTTATAAGTGTAACTTTATATTCAACATGGTGGGGGATGGAGGGTGGGGTTATTTCGAGTGGTTTTTGTAATAAGAATATGGGAAATTAAAGTTTAAAGATAACTTAAAAGCTGATGTTCTGCTGTTGTTTAATTCAGAACTAGGCTTCTCAATACAAAAACTAAAAAAATGTTGATTTGCTACCACTCCTTGTAGCTCTACATAAGATCATATTTTAATTATTCTATTTCAAATGCAGATCTTGTTAAAGAATATTCAGAAATACATTTAGTTCTGTCATGAATATAAAATATTAGATATATTATATATTATTGCAAATTAGCAAAAAATTTTTTTAGTTAGGACTATTCATAATTTCATTACTACCTTGTTCTTTCAAGGGAAAAAGTATTCTTGCATGCTGCAATGTAATTCAAGGTCAATACTTCAGTGAATTCTTTTTCACTTGCGTTTAATGAGTATATCCCCAATTTCTTATAAATTTTAATCCAAGAAGGTGAGAGGGTGGTACAGACATGCTGTGAGGATGGGGTACAAGAAGATGAAACACCAGTTGTGAGGGTGGTGTTGTAGAAAGTTTGATTCTATATATACACTGTGATGCTCTGTCATGAACATACAGAAGATAATATTCTTCCTATGGGGATCGCCTCTTCTTATACGCCTGGTACAGTTTAGTGAAATCAAACACAAGTCCAATTCAAGATGTTCTATAATGATTTTATTCAACTCGAATCAATCTCCTTCTTCTACCTAACTAGACTATACTATAATACTATCTACTAACGCATCTAACTACACACTCCCATGACAATCCCTAACACACTATCTAACTTTAACCCTCTACATATCTCTGACTGTTCTCTACAGCTATCTGTCTCTAATAAGAACTTAGAAGTAACTAGGACTTTTACATATCCTAGAACATAGCAAGGAAGGAATAATCAAATTAATAAAGTTATGTCAAAGCTAACTTTAAAAAAAAAGTAAGCTGACATTAAGCAGTTTTTAAATGTAGCCTAGAGACTAGTTATATATAACTAGACGCCTACAAATTAGACTAATTTTTTATTTTTAATTATTTATTTTTATTTTTGACTCGATAAAGTAGCGTCCCGGCCTATGTTCCTCATTTTGGCTTCAAATTCCTCTTTTTTTGGCATGACTGTTCCTATTTTTGGCTGACAGGAGTAGGCATGTCTGGTGGTATTGCAAAAAATGTATGTTTCTTAAATTATAAAATAGCAATAATACATAATAATAAAATAGTTACTGATATGGCATCATTAATTAAATTTTTAATTGCAAATGATAATTTTTCGTGAAGGGCAAGAAATGTGGAAATCATCACCTAGGGATCTACTTTGATTGTGCATGCACTGTTGCAATAAGCCAACTAACAATACTATCTAATATTATTTTTAGATTAAGAAATAAATGCAGTGAACGATACATGTTATTAAAAAGTTATTTGTATGATTTTTATAGCTTTGTTTGAAGAAATAAATACATATTATTATTATGATAAATTTAGATTTCAATTAATTTTTTGGAGAATAAAATTTTTAATTTTTTTTAACTTAAAATCATGCATTTTAAAATAACTTAATTTTGTAAAAGGTATTCATAGATGTTTTTTTTGCTTAAAATAAAAAGTTTTGAAATTTACTTTTAACTTTTTAAAATTTGAATTTAATTTAATTGATGATGTTAATAATGTTACCATTTCAAAACAAATATTTTCCTTCTATCAGTTATTTCCTCGCATGGGTCTGTTTCTCTATATATAAAGAGAGATTTATTTTGGAATTGTGTGATTAAGCTGCTGGGCACAATATAATTTAATATAAAGAATTAAGTTTTGAGATAGCATATTAGAAAGATATAAAAACTATATAAACAGAAACTTTCGTATGTAGTATGTAAGTGAAGACTCAGTAAGCAAGTGCAACAGTTATATATCTGATTTCCTGAACAAGGAAAACTGTAGTTTTCATTTATTTTGTAAGTTTAGCTACATCTTTATGCTATGAGCAGTTAAGTTCATTTTTCCATTTCTTTAATATTTTCATTTAAAATGTAACCTGTCACATAGATGTTTACAATCATTATGCTTATAAATTTTGTAATAATATAAAATTGAACCTTGATTACAAAAAAAAAACAGGTTTTTTTATAGGGGTAGAGAGCCCTGACAATAGACTCATCTAAGATTGGGACTTTAGTAAAATAATTTAAATCTTGGGGGCCAAACTTAGATTTTTTTTTTCTGATCAGCACTTGTATTAATGTAATATAGCCTTTTGTATAACTATCAAATTACTTAATAGAACTATTCCTTGTTCATACAATTTGAATTTAACACTTTTCCCTTACAGTTTGTAACTAATTACTTTTACCAACTGTCTATGTCATTTATTGCAGTCATTCACAGCTGTGTATTAATGCCATGAATACCCCTTTTCACTCACCTAGTGTACCATCTGTTGCCATATGATTTATTCTCTTCACATAAACTGTTGACTGGTTTGGAAAAAGAACATAGCTATTTTATTATTTTTATAGTTTAATTTAGTTATTTTAGAAGCCAGAAATAGTACCACTTCCAGATATCAGAGGTCAGTCAAATTCTGAAAGTAATCGAAGTATAAGTATAAGATATACTTTTGTATGAAATTTTGTCTACTTAACTGAAACAGTATTCAGGTTATTGTGTTTCTATGGAAATAGAGCAACATACCACTTAGTGTTTGCGGAAATTGTACTAAAGTTATTAGGCACCTTCGCATACAAATTTCGCATAGAAATTTTGTCTACCTAGCTTTAATGGTACTCAAGTTATCAGCTTTTGAGAGACAGTAAGTGGAGTATGTATCCCCTCTGGTGTTACCGGAAATAGCTCAAAAGGTGAAAGAAAACTAAAAATTTGATTGTAACTTGTATATGAAATCATGTTTACAGACATACACACACAGACGGACAGGATGGCAAAACTAAGTTTTTCTGGCTTCGGAAGATTATAAAATGGCAAAAATGTTCAAAATCTCAATTTAGAATTTTGCACACTTACAGGGCATCCTATATATTCTGTATACAATACAGTAGAGGGGGGAAAACTATTAAAATTTCATTTAACATTTCTGTATGATACGATGCTTACTTTCTCCATACTCTGTATAAAGAAAGTAACAACACAGCCTATGCAATTCAAAGAAACTGATCACATATGTCAGGATTATGAACCATTTTTTAAAGCACACACAGGATAAACCAGAGTTGTCACATTTTCCAACTCTCAAGAAAATTGAAATTTTGTGCTTAAAGACATCAGCTTAAAGTTTTTTACATCTTAAACTGAAATAAGTTATTTATGGAAATAAATTTTATTTAATAATTTTAATTACTAAGATTCAGTACAAGTCTTATTTAAAAAATAATAATTTTGGACACTCGTTTTTTTCTGCTTACTTCACCACTAAATGTGTTTGTTCTCGGAAATTCTATCCATTTTTTTTTTCTGGGATAAGATGTTAAATGGCACCCTAAAGAATTTTATAAATCCAAAAGAGATTTTTGTATGTACTTCCCTTTATTCAATAAATGAAATTCAATTAATAAATATCCAATTTCACCTTTAGGTGTGGGTAAATCCTGTCTACTTCTCCAGTTTACAGACAAAAGGTTTCAACCAGTTCATGATCTTACTATTGGTAATGCATTGTTTTTATTGTATTGTTGAGAAGATTTTAAAATAATATTATGAATTGTTACTTTTTTAAAAAGTTTATTTTCTTTTGCTGGTGTTTTTGTCAAAATGTATTATGCTTAATTTTTTTAAACAGGGGTTGAATTTGGTGCTCGTATGATAACAATTGATGGCAAACAAATCAAACTGCAAATATGGGATACAGTATGTTATTCTGTTTACCTTTTTTGAATTTCTTCTTCTTAACCTACCCTTTTTTAAAAAAAATAAATAGAAATTATTTGCCATGCCTTGTGTGTTTCTGACTAGGTTACTGTTAAGTTCTTAATATAAAATTTATATTGCTTGAAAAATATAAATGGATGATTTGCTTTGAGAAATTGATTTTAAAAAATGCTAAGAAATTATATTCATACTACTTGTAATAATCCCACTGACGATGTTTAAATATGAATAATAAATGCTTATTAATTTAAGATTTGACAATATTGTTGTTAGGCTGGACAAGAATCATTTCGATCTATCACAAGATCTTATTATAGAGGGGCTGCTGGAGCATTGCTAGTCTATGACATTACCAGGTAGGATGGGTTAGATACACCAGTAGGTTTAACATTTTAAGGCCTTTAAGAAAATAATCTAAATATCTTATAATTAAAAAATATTGTTTTTATCAGACGGGATACTTTTAATCACCTTACAACATGGCTTGAAGATGCAAGACAGCATTCAAACTCCAACATGGTTATAATGTTAATTGGAAACAAAAGGTAATCTGTTCTGATTTTTCAAAATAACTTAGCTATAGAATTTATGTGGGAAAAAGAGTAACGTTCCCTTTTTTAACCTTATGGTTCATGGGGCAAGTGAAGTAGAGTTCACTTGTTTCTGTGACCTCTGCATATAAAAAGATATTGTGGTCCCAATCGCCTTTACCTGCTCCAACATGGGTCAGGTACCCATTAGAGCTGTGTGGACTCAGGGTGAGGGACGCTCTACTGACGTGAACCCGGAGTTGAACAAGACTTTTGGGTTGGCAGTCTAGCCTCTACCTCCACGCGACCCTTACCTAGAATACTGTAGTTAAGCAAAATTTCCATTTGTTAACTAATAATAATAATTGTATACAGTGATCTAGAAGCAAGAAGAGAAGTCAAGAAAGAAGAAGGAGAGGCTTTTGCAAGAGAGCATGGCTTGATATTCATGGAGACTTCAGCTAAAACTGCTGCCAATGTTGAAGAGGTCTGTAAACTGTTTTCATAGTTGAATAAAAATTGCATCGAGTCATTAATTTTGTATTGAGAAAACTGCCAGGGTGTCAATCACTTGGGAGTTTGACATTTGAATCAAGTAGTACCCCTGACCACCTATGCAGGGCTCCCAGTCTACAGACCCCATGTACTCAGGTTACCACTGGGAAATTTGAGACTCACTAGTGAAAGGGGCTGATTAAAATTAAACTAGGTGAATTCTCCTGGTGCATTTAGACTGTTGAATCAAGTAGTACCCTCTCCCCCTGTGCAGGGCACCCAATCAACAGATCCCAAGCAATAAGATAGCCAATGGGGAACACATTGCACTACACAGCACCTTACTGCCCCTTTGAAATAACACATTTTTTATCGCAGAAACTTTTCAAAGCGTATTTTAAACATTTTCCCTAATTTTTATGGTGATGGGATGAACGGTGTAGTAATGCATAATATAGATAAACCACAAACATTCTGTCTGTCATCTACTTATACATGGGTCAGGGCCTCTCTTTAAAATGTGTTAATCTTTGTCTCTTTGGTTTTAGCCTAAATGATTTAACCATTTGTTTCTATTAGGTTCCAACACTGTTATCAATTATCTGATTTGATAAATATGCTAAAAAAATCAAACAAAAAGTATTATACAGATAATACAGGACAAGGGTCTAAATTTACTATGTATGAGTTTAAATAATTCAATTTACCAATATTAAACAATGAATAAAAATAACATTAATACCAGAAAAACCTATACATATTTTATTTTCAATGCTAAAAACAATTTCAACTTAGTCACTGGAACTACTTTCTTTTTCAATATCACTGTACTAGTTACATTATAAATATAGCCTGATTCTACAGTGGAGAAATTTCAATTTGTTGTAATTTCAATAATATATTGCCTGTAATTTCAATAAAGAAAATTCCTTATGTAGAAATTGAACTGTTTGTGGTAGAAAAACAAATAAACAGTGTATATTAAAAAAAATTTCTTGCTTCTAGCAGCATCTTCAAAATCTGTAACCAGTGAGACTTCCATTTTAACATTTAAATAAATGTAGTTCATATGAAAAATGACACATTAGAGTAACACAACAAAGAAAATTCTCTGGGGTTGACATTTTTTTCATTTTTTTTCAGGCTTTTATCAACACAGCTAAGGAAATCTATCAAAAGATCCAAGATGGTGTTTTTGATATTAACAATGAGGTAAATTTATCTTGAGTTTCCTTTAGTCGCCCACAAAGATTACTAATAGGGCACAAATGTCTAGTTAATTTCTAGTTAACTTGATCTACTTACAGTCAGTTGGCCATACTAAAAGTGTATTATTTTAACAGGCAAATGGCATTAAAATTGGACCACAACACTCACCAGCCAGTCAAAGTCTTAATGTTGGTGGAAGTGGAGGTAACCAGGGAGGCAACTGTTGCTGAAGGATTTTTCAAAGAAGTAAATATGGAGATGGTCTTGTGAATTTTAAAGCAGTGGTTGGATTTAAATAATGCAGGCACCTATTTATTTTATAGAAACTGGGCTCAGTTCATTTTCTCTTAAATTGTAAATGTCTTTTCAGTCATACGAGGAAGCAAATTTTTATGACATTTCTGAATCAATATTTCTAACACATTGAATATACAGTGAACTAATCATTAGTGAAACCACACTCACTAAGATCAAATCATAAAAGCAACACTTAGATTTTTTATTCTATTGCAGATTTTTATGCATTACTTGAGATGTATAATTGTCAAAAAAAATTTACTTGCTTATCATAAAGATTGTGTTTGCACTTAGAAATAACAATTCTAAATGCTTGCTATGCACACAAATTTTGATTCCTGATATATAACTATCAGACATATTTGGATGTAATTTTTTTAAAATGAAAATTGTTATTAGATTAATTTATGGATTGGGATTTTCGGGGGGGAAAGAAAAACAGAATGTTAAGATATGTGACACGCAATTCATATTTTATTATTAATTTCAAATAATTTTAAAACTTTTTCTAATAAAAGAATGACATGTATTAAAAAAATGACTACATATTAGATTAGAAATTTGATATATTACCTCTTGGTTTACATACACATTTCATCGTCTGTCATTAAATATCATACATATTTATTTGTTTCCTACAGATTTTAGTTTCATCATTCTTGACTTCTAATGTCCACTTTTGTGTTGTACAAATACAAGATGTAAACATTTATTTGTGTTAAAAATTGATGAATTTTGGCTGTTTTTAAAAGATTGCTGTTTACTTTGTAAGCATTTAATCTGGCTTTGTTGTACTCTCCAACCTATAAAATCTCAAGCTGAAACAAAAAAGGGTTGGGGCGGTTTTACTTGTTATTTTAAAATTGGGCAATCTTTTTAACATTTTAATTAAGAATTATTTATTCACTAGAGAGCAGTAACTGTCACTGGATAGCAGAAACTCATTCAATCTTTGGTTCTCAAAAAGCCTTGCATTAGTTTTTGGTTTCTAATTCGATTCTGAACTAGACTGTCATTTGATATGAATCTACATACAATTGGTTTTATATCATATAAAAACAAAAGCATTGAATTGGATTGTTTTGTCTAATCTATTCAAAAGATTAATTTCAAGTCTTGTACATATAATATTGGCTCATTTTATGTTGCCAAATATTGGAAAAGTTCATTCTTTATCTTTCAGACCATTCCAGATAGTTTGCCATCTTGATAGTGCTAATGATTTTTTTAGGTTCTTTAAAAAGCATTATATTATTTTAAGTTTGACTTTGTAAACTGCTTTCTAGTTTAATTTGTATTTCTGTTCACAATAAAAGCAAAAAGATTTTCATTACATGTGTATTGTTTTCTTTAGAGAAATCAGACTTCTCTTGTTAGTAAATGTTCAGAAGTCATGTTTAATGAATCTCTCAAATGAAAACAAGTGTTGAAATATTTGTCTGAAATTGACATGTATCCGTTTTATAATTTCTTTAAACTAAAGATTTTAACATGGAATACTAATCCGTTTATTTCTGTACAGTTGCCAGTTTTCTAAAACTTTCAGGTTTGCCCAATGCTGCACTTTTTATCTTTTTATTTTCTATTTATAGAATTTGTCTCTATCTAAACAGTATCATACATTTAATTGCTGTGATTTTTTTTTTTAGTTTTGTGTGTTTATGAAATAATGACTCCAGTAGTTGTAAATGTTGTGATATTGTTGTTTTGTATGTTCATCGTATGAAATACTTTTATTTTAAGCTCTTGTATACACTTCAAAAGTTTAGTTGGTAAAGAAACATTTTATTACTTTGTGAAATTTAAATTTTCATTTTATTAAAAATAGAATTTAAGATAATATAGCTACTATCTGAACTTTATCTTTTAAAATAGTATGAATATAGTGTTTCATAGCAACTAGTCTTGAATTAAAGAAACTTTATGCTATATTGCTGTTATGTTCAATAGGATTAATCCAAGTGCAATATTTGAGTGTGAATTATGAACTGTTTTTTGTTTTTTTTTTTGTTTGCTAGACTAACCCATCTTTCATTTGTATGATTTTGCAACATTTTACTGTGTTTACCATTGACTGATGTTTGAGTATGCTCATTTTTAAAAGCTATAAATTAATAAAAAAACAAAATGTTTCTTAAGATCTGTTCATTATATTATTGAAGAGGGCTGCATTTGGTTGTCTAAAAAACTTGTAGACATTATTAAAAAAATATTTAAAATAGACATAATTTTTTAAGTTTGCTGTTCACAAAAATTCTGCTTTGCTTTAGAGTCAATTAAATTGTAATCAAAGCTCAGTATGCTAGAATTTTTCTATTATTTAGCGTTCAATTATCGTAAGTATTTCTGTAGACCATTTAGAAGAACCAGTTTTATTTTATCTGCCGATTATTGTAATTGATTTGTTTTGTAGTTCATTTGGAAAAAAAAATTCATTGAGAGGATGAGTGTGTGGGTACTCATGAAATGCTCTTGTGAATTTGAATAAACTCTGTGAAATATAAGATTTCTTGTTTTCAGTTCTAAAGAAGTTAGTATAAATATTTAAACAGCTTTTATTTTTTAAGACCTCATTAGATAAAAAGTTGGAGAAAAGGTACTGCTGGGTATAAACAAGAAACTATCTACAGTTTTCCTTTTGAAGAACATGTTTTTGTAATTCGATTTAAGTTGAATAGCGTGAAGCATATATTATCCACATTTGAACCATGGGGTCATCCATAAATGACGTCACACTTTTGCATTATAAAAAAGAAATGTTATATAACGAATTTTAGATGTTATTTTGCGTTTTAGAAAACTTAATAAACTGTAATAGGACGTCATTTTAGGGGGGGGGGGGGGTGTGGGGCTTTTTGTGACGGAGGGGAGGGGGTGGGGAGGTAAAAATCGTAAAAAAAAAAAAGCATTTATGGATGACCCCCATGCACTTTGTATGTATTCTACTGGGATTTATTGCCTCTGGGTCAGCTATAACATACTCTGAGACAAGACAAAAACTAGTGTCCATAGATGTATGGCAACTGGTATCAGTGTGTACCAAAAACGTGACAATGTTAGAAACAATATAAAATTGAAAAAAACATTCTATAAACCAATACAGTAGTTTATTTCTAAACCACATGCACAAAATATCTATTGTACAAAAGTTAAGCACAAATTATGGTTAAAGATCGATTTTATATGAGTGGGCCTAAAGCAGTATGTTTATTTTGAGGAGAAAAGTATGTATTGTAATACTTGGAATTTAACTCTTATTGAGACTGTTTTAGGATTTAACCAAAGGAGCACTATCTTCACTTTTTTTCTGATTCTCGTTGATCACACATTTTTTGTTGTCTAAACCTCTATCTTATGTAACAAGCAATAAGAAAAATATTACAACTTGGATCTTTGTAAAATTTAAAAAATATTTAAATCTTTTTTTTTAAAGTAAAGTTAAGAATATAACCAAATCCAGCATCAGTTTCTGAGCCCAGCAAAACATATTCAAACTAACATGAGAAGGGATACAATTAAGGTCGATGGGACTTTGTATAATGACGGCTGCACACCTAGGAGAGGGAAAACTTTGATTACAAACCTCCTCGCCTTATGGCTAAACCCTTGATTTAGAAAATCTAGGGGTGTAATTCCCAAAACAAAGTCAAGTCTTTAAGGCCCTGCTAACAGTGTACTGTCATTCCTTTCCCTTGGGATCATCAGATATGGAAAAAGGACTGATACATGGGCAACATCTGGCTCCCCAGGATTTGCACCCTGGAGAAGCCACTACAGCTTAGCTGTAGCAGTGCCCACAAAACATGGAAAGCAACCAAGGCCAATCAACTTCAAAGCCAATAAATGAATCTGTTAATACAGTGGTTTCATTCAATGTTAAGGTATCATATATAATACAACATGACTATATTACAGCGTTAACTTGTTGAATTATATTTACACAGGCAACAGAAAAATATTTTTAAATTACTTACAATAATTTTAATAATGTAATTAGAAAAAAATTATATAAATAAAATAAACTTTAAAATATTCACTACTTTTAAAATCAAACACATGCCAATACATAACTGAAGTTTACTTTATCTCTATTACTATTAAACAAGTTGTTGAATAATTTAAAATTAATGACCTAAGTTTTGAAAAAAGCAAATTACAAATAGTTTTTCTATCACAGAACTCCAATCACATTTAATCAGTCAGAATAAATCAGCAAAATGTAATTTTTAAAAAGTAGATATAGAAACTTAAATATTCCATTATGCATGTTATTTCCATCAAAACAATTATTTTAACAAAGTAGCATATATCACATAGTGATACATAAATGCAGCAAAAAAAATTTAACTAATTATAGACTTCAAACATTAAACATAACCAACATTTTAATAAGATCCCAAAATAAGTTTCAGTAAATAAAACAATAAAATATGAATATATCATACAATTAGATTACCAATCCACACAAATATATGTAAAAAAGGTAAAAAAAATGAGATAAAGATTTTAAGACTGAAAATTTATATTTTTAAGAAACTGTTTTGTTCAACTGAGTATTATTGTTACATAGCTATGCCAGCAGTTATACAGCAGAAATTGTTTAAAAGAAAGTAAAGAGCCATTTTTGACCAGTGTGAAAACCTGAACCAATATATGTGATGAACTCATTGAAGAAAAAAAAATGTAGTCATTAAATAAAACTACTACATATTAAAATATTTATCCTGATTTCAAAATAAAAACTGACACATTTTTTATTTTGTTGAAAAAATTCAACACAAATATTAACAGTATAAACAGTTTATGTTAATGCTATGGTTAACAAATACCAGAGACATTAACCCACAGCTCCATATGATACAGGTCTACTATGATCAATGAAAGACCATGCTGACCTGAAATTGAGCTCAAAATTAGTAATAAAACTAAGCATAATAAGTTAAATAAACATACAAATAAACTGGTAGATTACATTCCTGAATGAAGTTGCATCACCAAATAAAAGAGTAGGATAACTATCTATATATATAATTCTCTTCATGGGGATCATGCGAGACCGTAAATGCACACCGTTACTCATCAGCTCTCTAGGCATATAGCTACCACCCCCCACCATTCTGGTGAGCTAAGGTTCACCCCGAATGTTTACAATCGTAGAGCTGGGTCAAATTAGTAACGGCTATTAGGGGCAGATAATTTAGCTTTTAAACGATTTGAAACTAAGGAGAGGTAAGAAGTTCTGCTTGACCTTTTCATTGACGTCTGTAAACTGTTGTCATGGAGGGCTGCTTTCGCGGATGAGTGGGGGGGGGGGGGGGGGGGGGGGGGAAGGAGGAGGAGGGGGAATGGAAGGGAGGGTAGTGTCGAATTCACTAACTATGAAGTAATGAAAAATAGAAAATTAAAATAACTAAATAGTGGCGTATGATATGCTGCGGGTCAGCTCATAATTAATAATAAATTACTGAAAATCAATACTTTAAAAAAATTTAAAATATCAAGATCAAAATACCAATAGGTGATTAGTAAATGAAATTGCTATTACAGAATTGAGGTTGTGCATTTTGTGTAATAAGAGCTCTAACTGACATTAGAAGAGATTAACATATATATTGGATAGACTGTATGGGCACAAAACCAGACACTACAACCTATAGTGATCCCAATGGAATGCAGCTACAATGCAAAGCTAACTATCACAGCAGAAAGCATTAAATTAAAGAGTGTCAAACAATATTAAAGTTTAAAAAGTCTTAAAACAAAACAGTTTAGAAACAAAGAATGTGCCTTTCTTGTCAATTACAGAATTAAAAAAAAATACTGTAAATATGACAAGATATTTAAAAAAGGAAGTTTAATCAGCATTTTAGCAATAAAACAATTGTGGCAAGGCACTGTTGGTGTTTTTAAAAGTCAATACTTTACCCAAACATACCATGCAATTAAATAATACAAACTAAGCCAAAGCTATTTTTAAAAAGTTAAATAATTTAAAGGTGCAAACATTTTAGGGAAGTAATAATGAGCGATGTAATGTGCTACTTTAGCATAAAATGGCTAAAAATGTATTTAAACTGTTACTGAGAAAACTATGAAAAAGAAACAAGTCTGTTAATGCTGTCCATCAATACTCTCCATTAAAATTTGTTTTAAATCTGAAAGTATTTCCTGTCCAGGTTTCTTTAAGACAACTTTACCCTCTTTTTGCTCCATATCAGCACAATGATTTATTAGAGATATAATCTTTTCAGCAAACTTGTGAGGGGGAGAATACAGGAGGCCACCTACAGAAGAAAAGATAGTTCCCCTGAAGACTTTGTTACAAACAGTCTGAAAAGAAAAATGTCAAGAAGACACTTAAGTAGAACAACAATAATTGAAATTTATTTTAACAGCTGAGATAAGTAATTGAAATGTATTTTGACAGCTGAGATAAATAACACAAATTATTTTTAATGGCATCAAAGTTGGAACATGATACAAATTTGATTAATATATTTTTTATATCAATATTGTAGAAATGTAATGCTATTTATTATTCAAGAGTGGGAATATTAGATAAAGAAACAAACAAAACAATTAACACAAGTATCATGAATAAAAAAAATGTACAGGGAGAGTCAAGAAAAAAAAAAAAGTGTGATCCTGATTTAATTATTTCAAAAGTGATATGGCCATGAAAGATCACCATTGGCAAAGATCATCTTTTGTTACCTCAAAAGTGATAAATTACTTTTAATTTTTCTGTCTGCAAATTTTATTATATTAATTCTTAAGGTATTAAATTTCAATAATATTTAAAGCTCTGATTAAAATATTTGTATGAAATACTGTGAACATTAGGTAAAACTTCTAAATCTTATTTTACTAGGGCAGATGAAATTTTATTTTTTCATTGAATGTGAATTATGAAGGCACTGTATTGTAGTAATTTCCATGAAAAATGTGAGACTTCCAAATCCATGCTACATGGATATAAAATCATCAGTTTGACAATAATAAAAACAACAAAACATCAAAGCCTAAATACCTGTAAGTTGTTATTTATTCTCATAGGCAGACACCTGTGTGTGTTGAAATCACACAACCCTTCACAGTCAAAAATAGCACAATCTTTATGTGCATTACATTTCAATGCACTCATATCACGGTTAAATGCTTCATCTGCTAATACTGTTTCAGCATCTATAAATTTCACTGTATTTCCAACTGTAAAACCAAAATGTGGAGATTTGATATCACACAGGTGAAGAGAATGCTCCATTGCATCTGTCTTTTGCACAAAATGAAGAATTTCAATGGCAAGCTTAGCTCTCTGATTCCAAGGGGGAAACTCAGCTCTTAAAAATGAAAAATACTTGTCAAGAGATTTTAATGAGGGATTATGTTCTGTGATATATAGTGGCCCACAGGTACCATAAACTTCAGGGAAAACATCCCAGTCATCAAATATCCTCGAGATTCTTAATTCATTCTGTTTTACTGCTGACCAGTATGATCTTGCAAACAGGAGATTAGTTTTTGTGCCTTTGAAATAATCAGCGTAATCATCTCCCCAAAGAAGACTCAAAATATCTTGACCTTCCCTTGCAAAAAAACCATATTCATTTTTCAAAAGATCTGCTGTCAAAATAGAAAGATTCCTTGATGTAATAATATATTCTTGAAGATTATAGCTAGCAATGCTTGAGCGTTTGCTTAGAAGAGCCAGCAGATCTAAGCCACTATAAACCAGATAGTCATTAACATTGGACCCATTGATACGTTTCATTTTTAAAACAGCTGGTACAATCTGTTGGGTATTACATAGGTGTCTGCACTGAACTTGGATGATGTATTTGCTGTACTTATAGTTGAGACACTTTGTATAAGTAACTAAATTATTTTCACAAAGTGGAGCACATAAATCTCCTACAATTTCCTTGGCTTTGTAGAGATGACACTGGAAAAAAAAAGATATCAAAATCTAAATGATAAAACTAATTATATATTTTAAAAATTTTCAGTGACTTTTGAAATGGCAATAAGAACTACTGTAAATCATCTTGATTGCTTAACTCTAATTCAGAGACTGTTACTACTGGTGGGTTTTAGTAATGAATTTTCGTATGTAAGAACAAATCTTTTTCTTGTTGTAAGGAGCAGGAGTCTTGTCTTGACTGAGAAATGTCTTTATGTCAGAAGTTTCATTGTAGATACAGAAAATTATATAAGGACTAAAACTGAACTTCGACAAAGGGAACAGTCGACAAAGATTTTTATTAATTTTTTTGTTCCTTAAACTGTTTTGAAGGTCAATGGTATTGGTAACCTCTCACATACTGACAGCCATAATAGGTTAGTTCAACTAAGGAGCATTAAACACACTTTAGGTGACAACACAAATGTCATCTATTTGATTTATTTTAGATTTTTCTGCTTTCAGAAACTGGATAAAAAATTGTTGACAATCATTAACCTTTTAAAAACTATTCAACAATTAGATTAAATCCATGTAAATAGGCCCTTAATATTAACTGTTCTCAATCACAAAAGAAGCTATATTTAACAACTGTGACACTTACTATTTGACTTATAACACCTTTTGTTTCATTATCATCACACGGCTCCACTAACACATGCTGTTTTAAATTCTGCACATTTTTCATGTTTAAAAGCCAGTAGATAAAAGTACAGGTTATCAATATAGTCAGCATACATTTTTTCCTCTTGCCTAGCACATTTATCATGTTCCATTGTGTTTTATATAAGAATGAAGGCATGTTTGCAATGTTTTCTTACATCATCACATCACAATCACCCAAGTTTGATCATTCTGGAAATAGTTAAAACAGGAAAAGAGTTAATACAAAGTTTTTCAGACTTGAGGGCTTTACTATAAATTAATGTAAAGTGTTGCCCTTTAGACATTTCCCTGTTAACCTGAAACAGATAAACTATAGCTCTCCTATCAGCTTAAGATTTGAAGAGATCCTGTTTTTGGAAAGGCCTACTTAAATTTCAAAATAATATTTAGGCCCTAAAAATTTTAAATAAAAACAACATCCCATCATAAGTTCTTAACACTTGAGTTAGCTGAACTTAAAAGATTAACTTAAGTAATGATAAATGTGACTTAGAATTAAATTGGATACCGGCTACAGTATCACAATACTAAAAATCAACATCCAGTAGTTTATAGCAGCAAGCCTAGAAAAATATTAATCTTATTTACACATTAGGCCTATTATTAACTTTTTAAAAATTTAACTAGATCTAGAATCTATTCAATTATTCAATTCTATTCTATGGGTGTTGGGAAATTGTGAGATGCGAAAAGGCGAGGCGGTAAACTGCGAGAAGAAAATGCGAGACATACCTGCAGAATCACATGTAAACAGTGAGATACAGTTTGCGAAAAAAAAATGTGTATCATGTTTTTTTAGTGTTTTTTTTTTTAAGTTATAAAGTAAAGAAGCTGATATATCACGAACGTTGTGTGTTGTTCTTTTTTTTTAAAATCTAGTTTTAATTTTTTTTATATCTAGACCCAACATAGATCTCTATATTAAAAAATCTTAACATCCTATGACCGGCTGTCATAGACGGGTCAGTGTGAGTTCATAAAAAGAATATAATTTTAGACTATATTTTTAAAATCTATATCAAGATATTCAAAATTCTAAGCATTGTCGTCCGCTTCTCGCTCTCTCAGGTTTTCGAATCTGTGCGGGAGGTCACAGTCAGTGCATTTAAAAACTTTTACCATAAGTTGGTATACATGTTGAGCTCTCCCATTTTTACTAGATTTACATTGTGACAAGACACTGCGCGACCTTAATATCATACTACCTTGATTTTTCAAGGGAAAAAGTATACCAGCATGCCGCAACGTCATTTAAGGTCAATATCTCGGTGAATTATTTTTTGCTCGGTTTCAATAAGTATACAGCCCTCTCCCCCTTCTCCACCAAATTTAAAAAAAAAATTACTAACATGTTCGGGGTCAAAAGTGTCATGTTCGATTCAAGAAAGGGAGCGTGTGGTATTAAAACAACGCAGCTGTTTCTTTAATAGTAAAAATAAATTTTACAGGAAATTTGTAATAGAATTAGGCCTACATTATTAATTAGTTAATTTAGTTATCGCTAAAGAAAATAAAGGGAGATAGGCCTAGTTTATTTATTTAGTTTATTGGTTTAAATGTATTAAGGCACAACACTATGCGTGAGTGGTATGTGGGGCCTGATCTATTAAATATATTTTTGTTTTGAGTTTATATTTTACTCAATGCAACAAACCCGCCGGATAATTGAGGCCACACGGGGGGTTCGTTCTAAGGTTCTGATACGTAATAAAGAAAAATTACTTTGCGACAATAAAATTATTAAAATAGATCTATATGTTTGTGGTGGCACATGGCCACAGTGTTCCACACAAAAGAAATAAGTCGATCTATCGTCTGTGGTATTTCGGGCAGTTTTGAACAAGGTGGTATTTTAAGTCAACACAAAAGATGGTGAAGTTCACAAATCATCAGAATGTCTAGCGACAATGTAAACTACTGTAAACAAAACATCTTTGCTGAAGTCTGCATCAAATATCACTGTAAATTGGTCGCGGTAAAATTTTTGCAGATAGCTTCGCATACTACCACCACCCTGAGTAAGTATTGGGTGGTGATAAAATGCAAGGCAAAAATGTCACGTGACCGACGTTTTTCGTGCCCTAAACTAGTAACTAGATTTACTAGAGTCTAGAGTAGCTAGAGTCAGAGTAGAGAGGAGGAGAGTGCTACTAGATTTATATATTATATAAAGATCTAGTATAGAATTACAGGTAATCTATCGTTTTGGGTACGTAAAATCGCCCGCGGCTAATAATGTACGAAAACGTTTCCTCATTGTCAATGCTTTAATAGAAGAATATTGTGATATGTTTGTGTCAAATATTATAGATAAATGAATATTAAACCTAAATCAATGGCTAAATACATCAATATAGGCCAGAAATTAACTTTAAACAGCAGTGTCTGCGAGCAAGATTTGCTATATATTCAGCAGCCATTTGTGTGTAATTTTTAAAATAGAGTGGATTCCCCCTGAATCTCGCGTTATAAGTTTATAAAAATAAAACTTTAAACAAGATAGCTTATATAGTAAATGAGCATGGTTGCATCTGTTGGAAACATCGCTAGTCTTTATTTATTACTGAAAAGTTTTAATTCAATTGTTTAAAAACAGGTACATAAATGAAACGAGGAAACATTTTTGTATTTTAAAAAACAAATCCTCCTCAAAATGTGAAATAATTATTAAAATTTAAGGAGTCACCTGTTTTTCACATTACAAGTCGCTGGCGATTTTACGTACCTAAAACGATAGATTACTAGATTACCGAATTAATCTATCTACTCCTCTACTGTCTACTTTGTAGATTCTAGATTTACACGGTATAGCGGTAGCGGCTTTTTCCCACGTTTTCTTTAACTTGCTTTCTCTGTGTGTTTGTTTGTCTTTCCAATCAAATCTTGCGATCGAAATTTCTGGCACTTCCCAGTTAGCTAGCGCGCTGAAATTTTCAGGGAAGCTTTCTTTTGGATGACCATTGAATATTCAATTGTTATTATTACTAAATTGATCAATGGAAACATTTTATTGAGCATTTTAGACCGCTATATAATCTATATATATAATTCTCCTCTGCTAGCCATTAGAAAAAAAACCAGCGACGCGTACCTCGCGCGCAGTGAAGCGAACGATCACATGTCGCCACAGGCTTAGGGGCAGAGAATTTAGCTTGAACCGAGTTTAAACTTACAGGAGGTAGGCCAGTTTGGAGGAGACGATATGGTCGAGTGGTTGGGCACACGATTGCTATCCCACTCGACACGGGTTCAAATCTATGTGTTCTAGTCAGTAACGTATTCAAACAACGTGTTTTTTACGAGTTGTCTTTTTACGAGTTGTCTTTTTACGAGTTGTCTTTTTCCCACGTTTTCTTTAACTTGCTTTCTCTGTGTGTTTGTTTGTCTTTCCAATCAAATCTTGCGATCGAAATTTCTGGCACTTCCCAGTTAGCTAGCGCGCTGAAATTTTCAGGGAAGCTTTCTTTTGGATGACCATTGAATATTCAATTGTTATTATTACTAAATTGATCAATGGAAACATTTTATTGAGCATTTTAGACCGCTATATAATCTATATATATAATTCTCCTCTGCTAGCCATTAGAAAAAAAACCAGCGACGCGTACCTCGCGCGCAGTGAAGCGAACGATCACATGTCGCCACAGGCTTAGGGGCAGAGAATTTAGCTTGAACCGAGTTTAAACTTACAGGAGGTAGGCCAGTTTGGGGGAGACGATATGGTCGAGCACACGATTGCTATCCCACTCGACACGGGTTCAAATCTATGTGTTCTAGTCAGTAACGTATTCAAACAACGTATTTTTTACGAGTTGTCTTTTTACGAGTTGTCTTTTTACGAGTTGTCTTCGTTTACCCAAAAAAAGTGAAAAGATAAAATCGATAGCAAGATTTTAATGCAAACAAACAGACAAAGACTAAAAAGTAGAAAATAATAATCATTAAAAAAGTTTTAAATAACCCACGTTTTCTGATTGAACTAAAAAGTAGAAAATAAATGCTATAGGCCCTACATCACAATAATGCAAGCGATCACTCTACTATAAGCGAGCAAAAACGTGGGGCGCCGTGATTTTCTTACAGTTTCTAATACTGTTGACTCTCTACAAGCTCCCTAATAAAAGTCAATAGTATTATCTAATCAATAGTAATATAACTTTTACTTCGGCGCCCCACGTTTTTTAAAACTTTTTTAATGATTATTATTTTTAGCCTAGACTAGACTACCAGATCTAGAAATCATCTTTATTTAAGTGACACTTTAAAACTTTAAACTTTAACTAGATCTAGTTCTAGATCTAATATAAAAATTCTAGTCTAATTCTAAGTCAACTAAGGGTAATCTATCGTTTTGGGTACGTAAAATCGCCCGCGGCTATTTATGTACGAAAACGTTACCTCATTGTCAAGGCTTTAATAGAAGTATATTGTCATACTTTTGTGTCAAATATTAGGGTAAAGGAGGGCGTTAAGAGCCACACTTTTTAGCACCTGTACATTTTTAAAGATTTCTGCTAATCTAAGAATTTTTTAGTATTGAAAATATGGCAAAATTATTTTAACGTATCTTACACAATATAAAAATAATAACAAAGTGTATTAAATGGGTTTAATTGAACATTTATTGTCATACCCCCAAAACCAGCATTTGGGGTGAAAGGAGCCGGGCAATGGGGCAATAAGTATTATCTCCTAGTTTAGACTAACTCCGCAATAAAAATAATTAATTTCTAACCCCAAAATAGTTAATGCTGTGTACACACACTTTAACTGATACTAGCTATCACTAGGCCCCAATGGGCCCAGTCTACAATTGTTACAATTGCAGGTGTACATAGGGCCTAAGACCTAAAGTCTAGTAGTTTACAGTAGGCACATTAGTATGCCTAGTGTGTAGTTAGTATACTAGTGTGTAGCTGTCCAGAGTTAACATTCTTGGATGTAAAAAGGGGTGGTACTAACTAATCTGCCTTAATGCTTTCCCCTGATAAGCCATGTGTGCTATACATTACATAACATGACATGGAGGTGAGAAATGTTGAGGGGAGAGCAGTGGTACTGGTTTCCCCTTTTTTTCTCCTTGCTGGACCCTGAGGGCCATAAATTACATAAGGAGATGCTAACTCTGGTTGGCTGAGATCTAAGAACTAAGTCCATGCTACCTACAAAGAGATAAGTTTTATGGTGGGTTAGATACAGGTGGTGGCTGGGTATCATGGGGGTGAGAAATTGTGAGGGGAGAGCAGTGGTACTGGTTTCCCCTTTGTTCTCCTTGCTGGACCCTGAGGGCCATAAATTACATAAGATGCTATCTCTGGTTGGCTGAGATCTAAGAACTAAGTCCATGCTACCTACAAAGAGATAAGTTTTATGGTGGGTTAGATACAGGTGGGGTCTGGGTATCATGGGGGTGAGAAATTGTGAGGGGAGAGCAGTGGTACTGATTCCTCTTTGGTCTACACCCTGCTAGACCATGAAGGTCATATATTACATAACATGCCACCCCAGATTGTCTGAGATCTGTAACTGTAATCCATGTTACCTACAAAGAGATAAAGTTTTATAGTGGGCCAGAAACTGGTGGGGGCTGGGTATCATGGGGGTAAAAAATTGTAAGGGGGGAGCAGTGGTATTAATGTGTCTGTTTGCTTCCCTGCTGGACCATGAGGGTCATAAATTACATAACATACCACCCCAGATTGGCTGAGACCTAAGAACATTTATTCCTGTTACCTACAAAGAGATTAGAAGTTTTATGGTTGGTTAGAAACAGGTGGGGGCTGAGTCGGCTGTATTGCCCCTTAGGGGTAATAAGTATGTGTACCATTTAAAAAATTACCTTGCTAACATCAGATGGCTGAATTTTTACTTTTTAGCAGGTTAGAATTGTATTTCTATCATTTAGACACAAGTCTGTTGAACAATTAATACATTTTGTGTTAACTATTTCTATACCAGTGTCATATTCAGTGGTCTAAAAAATGAGAAACTTGCACTTAGGGTTTCAAGAGCCACATAACAGTATCTGTTATAACTTTTCTAAACAGGCAAGCTAGTGGACAAAATTAATGTATTCATGTAGATTTAGTTATTATCTAAATAATAAAACCATTATTGTAATGATCAGTCAAGTTTTACTCTGATAATGATAAAAGCTTTATAGCATGGTAAAATGGGACAAATGTCGGCCATTTTGTTTTGGCACCAATAATCACTGTGCAAAAAAAATTCATTAAAATAAAACTATTCTAGCCTTAGCTATAAAAATAGTGTTAAAATGTACAACAACCAATGCTCTAATACAGGAACAAAGAATGGGCTTGAAAAACTCATTTGGTTTATTACAAAGTAAAGTTTCCCAAGTTATGTCTATTTGGAAAAAAAGTTCAAAAAATGGTTTTATGGAGATGAGAAATTTTAGGGAAAGAGCAGTGGGATTAACCCTCTTAAGACGTAGCTTTTTTAGAGAGCCGGTGCTAAGAAGACGGAGCCTACTTTCAAGTTTTGCACTTGTATCACAAAAAAATTTTGGAAAAAATAAACTAATTATTTTACATGCATAAAAATATATATTATTTATTAGGAAATTGAATGAGCTAATATGATTTTTATAAATCTAATAAAAAATTTCAACATATATATATGTGAGCTTTCTGATTTGCATAATTTATGCACGAAAAAAATTTGACTGCACTAAATTACAGTAAATTTGTATGAAAATACGTTTTTTTCTCTCTGTAATGCTAATCTAAATAATACACAAACATCTATTCAATAATCTGAACTAATTTACTGATTATTATTTCTACATTAGAATTTCTAAGTATATTTTTAGTATATTTTGATGACTGGACTGTTGGACATAAGAAAATTTACGATAGGACTCACAGCACTAAAAAAATCGATAAAAAAAAAAAAATGAGGCAAACTTTCAATGGAAGTCGCCATTGAAGTGCTAGATATGTACTATAACAGTTAGGAGCAATCTGATTGGCTGATATGATACTAGAAAGCCAATCGTGTGGCTTCTACTATCACGGCTGAGACCGGGCCGATGGATCGGCCGATCGTCTTTTTGGCTATAAAACCGGCGGCCGATAGATCGGCCCGGGCGTCTCAAGAGGGTTAAATCCTGTCTCATCCTCTCCCTATTGGACCAAATGGGTCATAAATTACATAAAATGAATCCTCTGCTTCTCTGTTATCAAAGAACAGCAGTGGTTGTTACCTCAGAAGTAGATTAGCGGTGTTATTGGGGGTTTTGTGGGGGTGGGGTGTTAATTGGGGCTTAATACCACACGGCTCTTAACGCCCTCCTTTACCCTATAGATAAATGAATAATAAACCTAAATCAATGGCTAAATATTAAATATATCGATATAGGCCAGAAATTAACTTTAAACAGCAGTGTCTGAGAGCAAGATTTGCTATATAAACAGCAGCCATTTGTAAAATAGAGTGGCTTCCCCCTGAATCTGGCGCTAAAAGCTTATAAAAATAAAACTTAGACAAGATGGCTGCTATAGTAAATGAGCATGGCTGCATCTGTTGGAAACATCGCTAGTCTTCATTTATTACGGAAAAGTTTTAATTCAATTGTTTAAAAACAGGTACATAAATGAATCAAGGAAACATTTTTGAATTTTTTAAAACATAAATCCTCCCCAAAATGTGAAATAATTATTAAAATTTAAGGAGTCACCTGTTTTTCACATTACAAATCGCGGGCGATTTTACGTACCCAAAACGATAGATTACCCAACTAAGTGACAGTGAGTAAGTGATGTCCAGATAAATCAGATATGCCAGCTGAGATAAGTGCCCTCCTTCCTAATCATTTTTTATCGTGTTGGTACGAATAGTCAAATGTTTTTAGATCTAGACCTAGTCTTGATCTAGACCCGTAACATTGGAGATAAAAAGTAGAATCTAGATCTAAATTCTACTGACTAGGCCTACTGAATTTCTTCATTGACTTCATTTCAAGAAGTTGAGTTAGGGCCAACCAAACAACGGTAAATAAGATGCTATTCACAATATTTTCCCAGTGTCTTCTCAGTGTAGTTCTTCAAATAGTCATCTAAGCCATCTTGCTATTTGAACATAACAATTAACATTTTTGTCAAAATCTAGATCTAGAATGATTAGGCCATTAGGCCTATTTAGTATTTAGTATTTAGATCTAAATCTAGATCTATATATTTAAAAAAAAAATGCATAAAAAAACGTTTAAAATCTTTTATGTAATAATGCACTAAAAAGGAGAAAATAAATGTATTTGTCGACACACTACTGGAAAGGAGTAGCGTTCGTATTTCTTGTGACGATGTCGATAATAGGGGGGGGGGGGAAGAGTTACTCATTGGAAAAATAAGTGCGCACATCATGCCGCACATGGGCTTTTAATTTATATATTAGGATTTTCGAAAAGTAAATTGTAATGGTTATTAAAAAAGATTTTTTCGGTATCTATAACTAACGTTGCAGTGGCGTAGCGAGGTCAGGTGTCACCCGGTGCGGCACTTAATGGTGTCACCTCCCTCCCCCTGTCAAAAAAAATTATACACACACACACATATATATGACAGCATCTAACAGTCCATTGCTCAAGCACAGGGAATACAAGGTGAGCTTGCCTGACCATGACTGGGTTGCAGCTAGCCATATAGAAGAGAAATCTCAAACAACTGATGCCTTGTAACATGTTCTAGGATGGACAAAAGCTAAAGATCTAGTAGCAAATCTAAAAAGAAACGCAGTCCTATGTGGTGCATAACAGGTTGACACATAATACTTGTGTTTGAGGAAATTCCGTCCTAGATTACCAGTGACAAAGAATAAATTTGGCTGTATATTTTGATAAATCTACCTGCAGCTCCATACTGCTAAATGTGTGTTATTTTATTTGGTTAGATCAATGGTAAGGAAAAATATAGCAAGGCAGATTATTAGCCAGTGAAAAATAACACAGCGAAATTGAAAAATTAATGACTTTTTACAAAAAGTAGTAATTAAAAAGACAAACAAGACAATCATACTATTGCAATGTTTAATTTATAGAGATCCCAATGAAAATGACCACTAACATTAATTTTTGAAAAAACATTTTCTATTTAAACACTTTATTCTAGATTTTGAAGTTTTGTATTCCTAAACTATTTTATGGATTTAAAACAAACTTTAAAAATATTCAAAAAAAGCTGAAGAAATAGCTATTGAATAGTGTATTGAAAGTATTTTCTAAATTATATAAACTGGTTGCAACTTTAAACAACTTAAAAAAGTTACCACTAGTTGTAACGAGATGTGCTTTAAGGTTCAAATCAATGTTGTCATAATTTAAATAACTTTTAAAAATTTAAGAGGTTGATTTTATTTTGACATGATATTTAAGAGAAAAATGGTAAAAATAAAATGAAGCAAAATCTGTCTAATTTATCTATAATATAAAAGAGAATCCACTTGTATATACATTCCTGTTTTTACATATTTACAAAACTGTCTGCCCTAAGTTGTGCTTGAGAGCAGTATTACATCTAGTATCTGTAGTTAATTGCAATGTTTAATAGATACAGAATTTCTTAACATAGATGAGTTTTTTCCAAAACAGTTTTGTATTACTACCACTTCATCACATAATGAATACATGAAATAATAGATAAATCCAAATAATGCAAGTCATCAGCCATTAGGACTAGGGCATTATAAAATAATAAATAAATAGTGTATGGGGCATAATATTCTTTCATTAATGAATAGATGTAAAGATATTGGAAAAAAAATGCCCATCTTTAATCGGTAAGACTACAACAAATATACATAGGAGTCAGGCTAAAAATTATTTTTAGAATAAGTCTCTTTCTTTATAGCCACTGACTGTTTATCTACACAATATAAAAATATATAAACATTATTCTTATTAACACCTTAAATTACCAACGCAGATAAAACAAATAGGCTACATCTTCTCAAGTTTAACATACATTTAATACCTCACAGCTTCTACTTTGTCCTGTTATAGAGACCCAAAGTAATTCTATTGTAATTGTAATATCATTTAGCTTTGCTGTGTGTGTTATCAGTCAGTTTATTCAAGTTCAGTGGACATTATTCAACCACTAATTTTATTCATGTACTAGAGAAAATACTATGTACAAAGCATAAATATCAAATATTTCACCTGGTGTTTTTAGATGAGAAAAAGAAGAAATACAAATTTAAAAAAAATATTTTAAAAGTCAACTAAATTGAGGGCTGAATATGGTAGAAAATGTGAGGAAAAAAACCAGTAACAAAATAATTATTCATAACAGTAGTTCATTATAAGGAAGGCTCTGGTTTAAAATTTACACAATACTCTACAATAATCAAAGAGGTTCCAATTAAAATATTTTTATCTGATAAAAACTTCTACTGCTACTAGTAAAAACAATACACCAGTTAATCCAAAGTTTAAATTTATTGTTATAATGGATAGCAGATTCTCCTGAGCCTAAATATTATACGAGAATGTTCACCAAAGATGTATAACATTGTAGTCAGGGGGTGGGGGTGGGGAAAGCATTTTATGAGAAATGATAGTTTTCCATAATAAACATTCTTATAATGAAAGAAAACTTCAATTAAAAAAAATCATGCTAATCTTAAAATAGTTTGTTTTGCAATCAATTTCACTTTGAAGTTTTGGGCCAATAAATGTTTTAGAATTAAAAGATGAAATAAAATAAAGCTTAAAATTAAAATTATTGTCATTAAAATGTACATGGTTAAGTAAAAGCGAAGAAGGAATTGCAAAACTACACTTATTTAAACATGACAAGAAATGTACATGTTAAAATTACAGTTCTTTTTTTAGTATTAAAAGCATTTAACATGACAAGAAATGTACATGTTAAAATTACAGTTCTTTTTTTAGTATTAAAAGCATTTTTGTGATAGCCTAATTTTAGAGTTGATATAAAGAAAACATAATTAACACTACAATACTTGCCTCAGTTAATATGTGCTAGCAAATAAGCATGAATTATATGTGAAATTCGTAGTACAAATATAGGAGATTATTCATGCCTTAGACAATATTTGGTCATTTTTTTTCAAATTCAAGTGCTTTTAAAATGAGTATTCTCTCATCATAAATTATTACAGTTAATAATTTATAATGGCAATAACTTAAATGACTAATTATTTAATAATTACAAACATTGTACATAATGTAATAAACTGTTTCTTGTAAGCTCCTAAAACAGTTGATGTAACACTAATGAACTGCTAATGATTATTAAAGCCTACACAACTGTACACTGGTAATACTAATAGACAAGATGTACAATACTTAATGCTACATGTTATATAACTTTTGCAGTGGAAAGGTTAGGCAGGAAAAACTGCCTTAACTGAATGGCAAGATTGAAGTTTTTAAAATATGTTAATTGGATGAGATATTTTATATAATTTATTCTTTGACCCACAAGCTACAATTAAAATTCATCATAATATGCACACAGAAACATATTTAATGAAGTTTCTGTGCAAAAAATGACACAAGAACATTTTAACTGTATGCACAGCCATTAAAAAAACCTATTGTTAAATCAAAATTAAATAAACAACTGGGTAGCAACATATAGACTATAAGCTCTAAATAAGGCATAATTATTTTTACAGTTTATTCATAAATGTTAAATTAACCACTGAAATCAGCACTCACATCAATGTACGATTATGTACACATGCACACACTTTTAATGCAAACCTAAAGGATGAGTTTCAATTTCCTACTGTGTTCAGCTGCTTGTGTTCATTTAAGTTGTACTGTATAAAACGTATAATTTCCCTAAGATTATTGTATTAGTAACTAGACATAAAATCCCCTTGATTGTAGTATACAAATTATAAAAGCAGTGGTCAGCAGAATACACTGGTGGTCTTTATTTCCCTGATGTTATGTCAAGCTGGACAAATCTTGGGGACATATTCCAAACCTGAGCTAAAATCCAACCACATACTACAGTTAAGGTGACCACTCTTCTAAATGATACTCTTCTACTAATAAATGAAATACCTCATATTTTAATATTTTAGAAACTAAAATATTCAAAAATAATTTTAATGAATGTTTAAAATATAATATATAATAAATAAAAGTTATTTTTATTATTAAATATTCATGTTTTTTAATGATAAAGTGATGTCATTGTTTTTAACAGGTCTTGATGTTACTCGTAAACATTACTTTCTTTCATTGATTTAAAAAAGACTAGATTGTATCTCTTTAATGTCAATTGATGTTAGTAGGCCTATAAATCTAAGAACATACAATCCTAGTCAAAGTTGAATGGTGACATCTAATCTACATTAACTGTACAACAAATGGGAAAATAAAATGACTGGCACATAATTAAACAAATGGTCCAAGCAACTTAAGTTACTTAGTTACTTGAAACATAACTATTCTAAAGTTGATGGTCTTGGAGGCTAACAATTTGTTGCATTCTGCCGAGTCTATAGGCAGGTCCAGGTATTCTGTTTCTGCTATATCTGGGGTGAATTCAAAATTGTAAATCTTGGACTTCATCTTTATGCCACCAAATGGTCCACTCAAGGCAAGAAAATGCATTACCATCTAAGATATAACACAATATTATGAAATATTCATACACTGACCAAACAGAAAGTCATAACTAAAATATATAACAATACTAAATATTTCTCATATAGGTTCTTATAAAAACATGGTTTTATGCTTAAAGTTAAATAAAACAGATTTAAAAAAAATTGAATTTCAATATGCAGACAAGCTTTTTCCTAGAAATCACTTAAAGTAGCAGCCATACACATGTGCAATATCAACATAAGCTGTTATGTAACTATCATTGTTTAAGAATAGCAGGCTATATCAATCTATTCTAGCTCCACATTTCTGCCTTGCTTTGTAATAGATAAAAACTAAAAGTTGGCCATATGAACAGCTAATGATAAAGTACATTGTTAGTACAGTGACTGTATTTTCTTTCATATTTCATTAACTATTAAATTGCCAAAATGAATGTTGGTTTTGCTATTCTTTTTTGTATTATATATAAGAATTCATCAATCAGTCCTTTCTGAGGAATGTGTTCAGTTTATTTTTAAGTTAAAGACATAGCTCCCCAATCTCAGCGATGTGATGAACAAGACAATTTAAGTGTGATTTTGCATAACTATTCTCCTGATGGCAATGTGGTAAGAATGTCTGCATATGGTCAACAACAACTAAAGAAGTGATTTAAAAAAAAATTAATCTTAAAAATTAATATTTTGAATTCAGGAGCTTAAAAAATACTTACAGGTGCTGTGAGCTTTGATTTAACAACAAGTTGGTATGACAATGATCTAGTCATTGTGTGTGTTGGATTCTTGTGGTCAGAATTGATTTTAGCTCTAATCACCCATTGTTGATTGAAGGCAGTGAAGCGTGATGTTTCGTAGTACAAGCGTGTAATGAAATCATCTGTTCGGAATGGTTTCAACTGAAGATCTGGAAAAAATAAATGTTATTTTCCTAACAAGTTTTAAATGATCAGAGTTAATAATTTGGGCTAACCTTAACATTTTGTCTTATTCTCTGCCTAACTTTGGTAGTACCAGATAGACAAAATTTATGGCAGCAATGCCAGAAAAAAAAAAGGCTGAAATTGGAGTCAATGGTCTATATGGCGTGTAACAGGTTGACACATAATACTTAATTGTATTGGAGGAAACCCTGTACAATACTACAATAAAAAACAATTATGGACGAACAAGAAAACTTGACCAATTTTTTTGTTTCTGCAGTTCTGTAACTATTATCACAAAAAGGCTTTGACAGACCCAGCAATTTAAATAGAGGTGTAAGTCTTATAATTGGACTTAGTAGCTACACAGCTAGTATTAAAAGCTGTATAATTAATGCACTCAGTTCATACATTTTCAACATCTTACTTATCAACAAACTCACTTAATATATTTTCATATTAATCCAATTTCACTCATATGATTCTATATAGATGCCATAATAATTTATAAATTTGTACTAAAAAATTTTTGAAAAAATATTCTCTGGTCAGGAGGGAACTGATCATAAAATAATATATTACCATTGAAGGTGATCTTTTCAAAGGACAAGAGTGAGAAGATATCATTGTACAGCTTCTGCTCCTCCTGTCTTTGAGCATCTAAGACTTCAAGGGCTGCCATCACTTCCTCACCAGTCTTCATGGGATGGGCGCAGCCACTTTCATGCTCAGCAACTTCATGGAATGGGCCCTCCCAGTGGCAACCAATGCGGGAATATCTGCATGAGCAGGGCCTGAAAATAAAGACCAAGGCCGTTAGCTCTCACTGATTTGGCAGCTCAAAGACTAGGAAATGTATACTTACAACTAAACTTGAAGGAACTTTCTAAACAAAATGCTATGAGAGACTATTTAAAGCCTCCATAGCATGTTGTTTAGGAAAGAACTTTGGGGCTGCAACCATAAGGAACTGTCCCAGTAAGGCCAGCCATTAGTACCTGAAAAAACAACTGGATGGAAAGCAACAAAAAAACAACCAAAAAGGTAAATGACAGTTAGATAGGCAAAGAACATCACAGGTCTGCTGTTTTATCCTCCATTTTATACTGATAATTAATAATCCAAGTGCTTTTAATGTCACAAGTTTGCAATGAATTTTGTTTCACTAACTAGTACCCAATTTCTGGTAGCTACAGAACTATAAAATTATTTTTAAAACAACTTCCATCTTTTAAGATCCAGGTTGCAATCTATCACAAACTTTAATCCTTGATTCTTTTGCTGAAAAGACATGAATGGTTTCTCAAGTGTTAAACACCACTCATTTTCTCCAAGAAATTAAACATTCTAAAATCAATTTGATGTGGAAATTTCAGCTATCCATTAAAACAAAATGAATGCATGTAATCATAAATCACTGTGGTTGGTTGAATGCTTCAGCTTCTCATCAAAAATAATTCACTAAAAATACATTAGGCACAAAAATACATAAGTCCTTCATGGAAAATTGTAATAAGTATAGAAAGAACATAAGAATAGTTTGGCCAGAACAAAGGTATTAAAAAAAAATAGAGCTGTGATCAAATGACCATCTAAAAATGCTTTATTGTTTTTAAACATTTTGAATTTAGAGTGTGAAATACACTTATTTTTTAGATTTTGGAGACAATAAATGCAGTTTGAGAATGGTCTTCACTGTTTATAGAAAATGTTTTTTCCTGATCAGTTGCCATTGATGGGACAATGACCTGAAAAGATTCTATATTCACAAGCTCCAAATACAAGCGTAAAAAATAACAAAAAAAACAACCCAGACATGTTAGAGAAATATAAACAACAAACATCCTGTGAGAAAATTAATAAAGTACTTGTACAAAATCAGTAAGAGCATCGTCATAATGATTTAATCTATACTTAAAGCTTCACCTTTCCCTCACCCCCAATAAAGTATATTGCTAGCATTTGAAATGCTTATGAAATTTCTCTACACCCCGATTATATTTTTCTAGTACCTTCAGCCCTTATTCGCCCATATCCTACCACAAACTTGTACAGAGCATAGCTCTTTTGCACGACTTTACCTTCACACTCCCAGGTCTCTCCCGTTTTATAACTGATAAAACACCACAGACCCAAAGAGAGAAAGATACTTGCCGCTTAAATTCAACAGTAGAGGAACTGTTGCATACAGATACAGCCCTTCACCGGGAACAACCAACACCGATAGGACACCACACTTTTATTTCTCCATCATACTGGTATATTCTCTGCAAATCCTGAAACTGACTTCCTGCTGTAAAGAAAACCTGCCTGCTTGAACAATAGAAAACAAAACAAGTGTGGTTCTGATTAGCAATTTATGGCTCAGCTGCCTGCCAGTCAAGAGAAAAAAACCTATCTGACATAGTTTGAGCCCTTGTCATACTGCCAGCACCCGCACGTTTGGAAAAAAAAACCCCATCAAACATGCGCGAGCCCCAGCTGTGACAACCTACCTAAGACTGGGCAGGCCACTGATAAACATTGCCTGGAAAAAAAAGAACCAAAGTGGGTTAGTGAAAACAAACAGAGGGTGAGGCATGATAGCTTACCCGTCAGTGACCTTACCTCTCCTGACACATCTCCCTCTGGTGGTACTCCAACTGGTAACGTGGAAGTTTCTGGTTGCAGAAGGCGCAGTCAGATGGCAGCTCTGACACTGCTTTTTCCACTGCTAAGTTACGGATACAGACATTACGATTTATTTCACACCGACAATTTGGACAAGTGGCAGTTTCATCTTTTATGCGTGCGTCAGCTAATAAGTGGTTGAAACAACCAGCACACATTAGATGTCCATTGCTGCACTGAAAACAACATTAAATTTAAATGAGTTAAACATATAACCTGATAAAATTAGTACCAAACCTAAAACATCAACTTAATTTTAACATGAATTACTACTTTGAAAAAATCAGTTATAATATATACAAACAAATTTACAGGACAAGTTGTTTTTTATTATTTTATTTAGTTCTAAATTGTCACTGTTTTTTTGAGTTTGATGAGATTGTGTAAAAATGTTAAGAAAACCAGAATTTCATGACATATTGTCCCCATTTTCAGGTATTTGAATTGTTTAATCTCTTAAGAATTATGCCAACTGAACTGCCTATTCAATTCAGTTAACAAGATATTAAAATAACTGACAAATAAAAGATGATGAAATAAGAAGTTTAGAACTGGTTAACAGTTTAAATGTATGTCTATGTATGTATATCTATATCTATATATATATATATATATTATCATCTATATACATATATATAGGGCCTATATATTTGTGTGTGTGTATTATACTTTGACTATTTTTCAGATAGCTGAAAATGTTTGATCATTTCATATCAAGGCATACCTCAACTTTTTATATTTGTTAAATATATCTAATATAGGCCTATATCTTAAATATATGTATTTGTGTTCTTATTTATTATAATCTTTTTTATCCAAACTTCTGTGTTGGAGGGTTTGATTCACTGAATATCAAGATGCCTATAGCAAGCACCTAGAATACTGTTTTATGTTGAGTCGCTAAATTTTGGGGAGAGTAGGCTTTACCAGACTGATTTTAGGTGTAAGATAAACATTTAAAGGGGAGACAAAAAGTATATAAGAAGAAAAAAAAAAGCAAAAGGATGTCAAATTAGAGAGTAAGTAATGCTGAGAATAACAAAATTGGTATAGTTTTTTGTGGACGTTTGCTCCAAAACTTTAAAACTTGTGGTTATATTCCTTAGTTGTGTGATATTTATATACCATATTTTAATATAAATTGAACCTGTACATTATACCCCTCATGTAATACAGCACAACCACTAAAAACTTTTGTAAAGTTGGTGCTGATTTAAAAAAACTTGATTATGCAAGAAACAGGGCAATGTCTTGTATTTGATGAGGAAATTTGCAGGGCAATTTTTAAAAATTATTGTTTCTCTTTTCATCTAGTGACAAAAATGTGTGCACTGATGCTGGTATCAAAAAGTGACAGAATTATCGCAGAACTGATTTTATTTTAAAACAAATTTTAACAGATAAGAAAAACAACACAGCTGCAAAAAGTATACTTTTTATTATATTTTTCACTGTATATTAATAAATATACAATATATATTACACAATTATTAATATTAAATATCTTATTCCACACTTTTAGAGATATTTGTCAATCCATATCTATGGTCAACACAAACATACAACAAAACCTTAAAATTAAAAAAAAAGATATGTATATATAACTTAATATAATTGTATTTTACTAACATAACAATTATATTTTTAATATAACATTACATCAGATTTTAAAAAATATATAGAGAGACATGGTAAATGAAAAACAACCCATAGCATATATTTTAACCAAAAGTCATAGCTTTTGTTAGAAACATATGAGGTGATGTGTTTTGTGTACTGACATTTAAGTTAAGGTAAATTAGGAGGTCATCTAAAGGTTACATAGGGATTGTCAATTATGCCTAGCATTCTAGTGCAATTTATCAATTTTGAAAAAGTACTAAAAGGACAACAGAGTATCAAATAGAGGTTTCTTGCCTGTATAGGTGTTAGTGAGGACCTACATTTTATTATTTTAATATATGCACAGTCCTAATTAGTATGTATAAATTAAGTACAATTTTATAACACAAAATAGAAGATCAATCGCCTGCAGTAAAACTAACTTAAATTTTTAGTTCATGCTCAACATTTTAGATTACTGACAGTCAGATATAATTATTTCGGGGTACTAATCCAAAGTCTCCAGATAATGTCAATGCAAAGGTCAAACAAACAGGTGAACTATTTCATCTACCACTTAGATTAACTGCCAGGGAGTACTTATATAAATAGTAATACAAGATCCTGGCTTTGCAATAAGCTGACTCAAATATTATAGTTATTGATAAAATGTAACTTAAATAATAACAAAATTTAGCTGATTCTTATAAAAATGCTAAAGGAAAATAGTTACATTTTTCCTCCTTGTAACACTATTAGTGTTATGGCCAGAATTACAAATGCAACGTTAAAGATATTGATACTAGCAAAAAATAAAATTTAAATGTAGGAGGAATGACGTTGATAAATGGTTTAGTGTTTGGCTGTTAGCCTGCAGGTCTCGGGTTTGGATCTCAGTTCTCACTTGAGACTGTTGGAAGTCTTTAAGTCCTTCTAGCTCTGATGGGTACCTGACTTGTGTTGGGGAAAGTAAAGGCAGCCGGACATAGTGCTGACCACACTATCCCTTCATATGCCAAGGTGAAGAATAATAAGAAGGGACTGAACGATAGCCGCAGCTTTAAAATATTTTTTTTTTGCTTTATAAAATATTTATCATTTTATAATATTTATTTCTAGCCAATAGTCATACTTAACTCAATGTTAAAAAAAATCTGTGGCCTATGAAAAAAAATTAGTCCTCTTGATGATCTCTACTCTAGTCTAACCAATAACTAAACTGTTATTAGTCTCTACTCTAGTCTAACCAATAACTAAACTGTTATTAGTATAAAGTAAAAGATTTTGGAAAAATATCAATGTTTAAAAAAAAATTCAACTGCAATTTTGAGGGGGGTTGTAGGCTGAGGTGTGAAGTCATTTTAAAGGTGGGGGGGTCTGGCTTTTTGTGACGATGTGTGACGGAGAGGAGGGGGGAGGTAAAATCGTCAAAAAAACGTGACATCATTTATGGATGACCCCTAACTTGGCCCTAAGTTGAAAATTATAAAAGGTATCAGCCCTGGCCTGTTGTATCAGCCAAATCAAATTTCAAACAAGTGACAAATGTCGGTGAATCCTGATCAAAGATCTATAACATGGAGTTTGTAGATCTAGAATTCTAGATCTAAGTTGTTTTTTTCTTTTAAAGAAACAAAATCTTTTTTTAAAGGACAATTTTTTAAGAATAAGACAGCAAGCTAATGAATGGCAGCTGAGCTGGCTGAGCCCACTGCACGGCCTACCTGATAACATGATGTCGGGAGGTCTAAACAAACTGCACAACATAAAATGCCACTCAGTCTATCTTCAAGCTTATGTTTTCCCTCTGCTGATACATCTGTTACTTTCATTTTTTTAGTCGGAGGCTCGTACGATGATACATTTTCTTTGTCAGCTGATGATTCGCGTAGCACCTGTATTGACGAGTCAGGACCTTCCTCCATTTTGTTTGTTTGTAAATTCTGGATGACGAAGTCGGTCAAGTCAGCTGACGTCACGGCTAACCAATAAAAGTTGAGAAAAGGAGGCTTCGGAGATTTCCGACTGTATGGAATGCATCACGATTTAACGCGAATGTTGTCGAACAGTGTAGTGCGACATTGTGACGATGTAGGTTAATTTATGAACAATACTTTTTGTCATGTGACTTGACTTTAACCTAGATCTAGATCTATAAAATTTTAAACGGAACACTTTTCCACTGCAGGGATGTGCACACACAGCACATGTTATTTTTGTTTTACTAGATCTTTGTAGACTTCTAACACAAAGAGGGTGGGGTGTCTTAAATTATATTAGTGTGAGAGGGGTAATCAAGAGTTTGTTATGTAAATTCAGATCTAGATCTAGGTTTGAATACTTAAATAAATAATGATCAAAATTCTAAATTAAATGCAATCGGTGTTGGGTAGGGCATGTGAGTTTTATTAAATACCAAACCCCAAAATCAGCTAATAAGTGGGAACTAGCCCGTCAAATGGAGAAACGGGTAATGTCATCTCACATTGACCGGAGAGTATCCCATCTTTTTCTTGATTTCAAACCTTCGTCAGACAGATTGCAAAATGGTATATTAAATCAAAATAGCAGTGTAGACACATAGTATTATTTCAATGCCAAATTTTAAACCACAGGTAGAAAACAGAAAATTTATGGAACGGTCAAAGGGGAATAAACATGAAATTGTTTACCTTCATAGTTTAGCCGAGGTTACCTAGCGTATATTTTTTTTGCGTCAATTAATTTTGATAATTTCATATTTTCAGTTTTAAGCCTTACAAATAAGAAAAAAATGGGAGAAAACGAGATTAAAATAATTTCTGTTTTATTTTGAAGCATAAATAACCTCCCGAAGAAAGTCTACCGCCCCCCGAACGAAATGGAATTAATATATAACACATAGTTTTACCAGTTTTAGTCCCCCCCCCCCCCCCCCCTCGGAGAAAAAAGGTCGCCTCGTTCAATATTTTGAGTCAGTTTTGCTAAGAAAATTGTTTAATTTAGAATACATTAATTACAAGCTTACTATTTAATTAACAGCAGATATTTCAATTTAAACAATATCATGTTAAAGATTAATTTAACTTTTTTTGTGTCGTAATTTTAAAGCATTATTTTTTTGCAAACATTTTTTTTAACTGTTTGAAAAACTCAATTTGAGATTTGTTGACGTTTAAATAATAACTTTCCTGGTCCTGCATATTTAACATTACTTTTTATGTTAAAATATCGATAAATATTCCAGCGAGATAACCTTTGATAAACTACGAAATAAAATAATTTCATATTTATCCCCCTTTGACCACAAATTTGCAATTACTGTTTATGTTATAAATATCGCTAAATATTTCAGCGAGATAACCTTTGATAAACTATGAAATAAAATAATTTCTTGTTTATTCCCCTTTGACCACAAATTTGCATTTTAAATATCTAAATAAAATCTTTAGCATATATTTCCTTGATGAATTAAGTCTCGCAGGTCGACCTGACTCCACCCAAGTCAGGGAAATTAAAGACTTGTGCTGTGAAGAAATAAATATTAAAAATAAAAAAATTCGAGTCCATCCGTTTATATATATATATATATATATATATATATATATATATATATATATATATATATATATATATATATATATATATATATATAATTGTATATATTTTATGGATAATATGTATATATTCTTTCATCAAAAACTTGTATACGTATTTTCATTTAATTTTTTCACAAATTTGGCATATTTTGCGATCTTCATAATTTACGCATTAATTTTTTGTTTCGCTACAACAATTTTCCGATAGGTGTTTTCAATATTATTATTTTCATTACGCGCGTCTGATGTTTTGGATTTTCTTTAGGCCTAGGCCTAGATCTATTTTTACCAACAACTAAGAATGGCTACTCGTTTAGAAAAAGTCCAAAATTTTAGAATCTCCAGGACAATATTCATTAACCAAGACGATGGATCGCCAATCCTGTTTTATTCAGACACATTTTCAGATTGTTTGAATAATATTATTAGGGTAGGGTAGGCATATGTTTAAAATTTAAAATAGTTAAGTTTAGGGATTAGGCTTAGGCCGCGGCTTAGGGACATTAGGGTAAAGCAGGGCACTTTTGACTAAGAAGTGAGCCCCCACATATTGGCACATACTCACATACATACTAACATATATAGGCCTAATGAAATACGCTCAACTGCTGGAGGTGAAAGTGAAGCGGGGAATAAAATAAAAATACGCTTAGGATCTAGATCTAGATTCTCTAGAGATGTCAAGTTTGTGAAGTTAAGCCTGATGGCGATGGTTTAAAATTAAATTTATAGTAAATTATAAATTATATGTAGCCTATTTAAAAGTGCTTTCAGCTTTTATTTATTTGAATTTTAAAATATTAAATAACTTTTTTCTTATTTCTTATCTTAGAATGGAGGTGGCTTAACTACAGACAATCAACAGGAGGCATCTGTCTTGTGAGTTTGGTTAAAAAAATGGTTTTAGCTTAGGCTTAGCCTATGGAATTGCATCTTGAGAGATGTTAAATGTTTGTACAGATCCTAACTTATTTTGTGTACATTTCTTAATCCAGATTGTGCGAAAACAAGAATGACCATAGAATTCATGATGGTTTTGTACCTCAAGAATTTGTAGCTGATTGTGTTATGAAAAACTCTTTTGTTAATATTGAAAAATACAGGTTGGGATTTGCCTCTGGCAATTAATTTTAGTTTTATAAATAATTCACATTTAGTTCAAAATTTAATGACTGCAGTACCAATTTTGAATATATACATTAGATCTTTGAAATATTGTCTTTAAATAGGAGTGATATTCTTGGTTTACAAAAAACAACACAAAGTACTGAAACAGTTAATGCAGACTGTACTGGCACTGATGAAGATACTTATGACTTTCCAGCATCACCACATATTATAGTTAAATCAACAGATTTGAAAGGGTGAGATTGATTTGGCTGTTTAAAATAATAAAAATTGCTTTATATTGTAAAAATAGTTAATAAAACACATTCAGTCGTCATGACTGTGATTTAAAGTAAATGACATATTGTAACTGTAAGGCTTTATTGGAACTGGAATTTTTCATTCTGAGTGTGGAAAGGCCTTATTATCAAAGACAGTATGAACCCTATTGAATTGAAATATCTGGAAACATATCTGTTAAATGCTGAGTTTTTGTTGCTATCTGATTAGGTAACTATTTTTCTAACAATGAATATACTGAACATTTGTTTGATTTTTTTTTTAGGCGCAAGAAATATTCAGTTGATGATGATTTTAAAATAATTAAGTATTTGATCAACCACGGTCGTTACTCAGAGACGGGTGGAAATACAATTTGGAAGTTCATGCAGGCTGTTCAGGTAGGTTATTTTTTAGCCATTTAATTTCTAATAACTTATACTAGTACCAGAATGGGGAAGATGATGTTGTCAAACAGTTGTGCACATAGTCATTAACCCAATTAAAAGGGTTAAGACTATACAACATCCTAGAGTCCACCTAACTGTGAAGGGTGTTTCACTCAAGCCACACCACCCCAGGCCCCCCCCCCCCCCTAATAGCTCTATGAATTTTTTGGCCTCCCTCCTTTTTACGGTGCACTCTACTTTAGCATCTATCTGGTTGTGCTATATATCGCCTTTTTGAGGGTGTTCCATATCCACCTCTCTTGCAAGTATTCCTTCTTGGCTGGTGATTGTCAGAATACTGCTCAATTTATATATTAGAATTATTTTGGGTTTCTTTTCTTGACCTGTTTGCTTGATTAAAAAAAAATTTGCAATGTATGTGTTAAATTTTAAATACAATGGGATATGCTGCTCTAACTGTCCTTTACTGACTGGTCAGGTTACAGATCATACAAGCCAGAGTATGAAAGCAAGATTTAAAAAGATTATCCTTCCCAACATTGAGTCGTATGACATACCTGCACAATGGAAGGCTAAGTTAACTGGCAACTACAAAAAAAATTTGCAGGGCTCCTCAGGTGCATAAATAAGGAATTTCAATTCATAAAGATAAATTAGTTAATTTCAATACCTAACTGACTTGCAACGTTTTTATAATGTTAAGTTTAAATGCTACTTGATCATAATTTTGTTAAAAAATTTTTTTTAATGAAAATTAAATTAATTTTTTATCCCATAGAATCTGACAGTGAATGTGAAATGAACTCTTCATTTAGAGACCTAGAGGCTTGGAAAGAGCAGGAGCAGTCTTCTTGTAATAAAAAATTGTCTGATAAAGAAACAATAAATGTTTTAAAGGACGGCCCTGCAAAACCCTCTTCTTATAATAAAAAAGTGGTTGATAAAGAAACAAACATTTTAATGGACAGCTCTCCAAAACGTTCTCCTAAGCCAAATGAAGAAAGGCCATGTTGTTCAAGGTTGACAAGAGAACTCACCACATCTAAACTCACAACTCCCAACAGCCCTCTTCTGAAAAGGAAAAAAGTTTCAGAGGGAGAAAGTTCTGAGGTAGATGATGCAACTTGTAAAGATTATTTGTGTGAAGATGAAATCGATCAATTAATTATTTCAAAGGCGAAGAAGCAGAAAATGCCTCTTGAATTTTCAGCGACAAAACATTGTAAATCAAGTCCCACTACTAGTATCCAGAATGAAGCAGGAGAAAGTGAATTTGTTCATCCTCGACGTGTACATAAAATGGATAGCAAAGACAAAAACATTGAACAGCCATCTTTATCAGCTACAACCTCTAAAGTTAAGAAAGGTAATCTATATATATAAAAAGCAATGTATGTGTGTGTTTGTTTGTCTTTAATGCATTACTACACCTTTCATCCGATCGACATGAAACTTTGGGAATTTGTTGAGAATACTTCTGGAGAGGTACCTGTGGAAAAAAAATTTCAAATTCGCAGGGTGGTGCCCCGGATAAAATTCTGATGCAGTTTGATTTGTTCATCTGAGTGCCATGAAACTTTGGGGAGTTGATGAGAAGGTTTCTGCAGGGGAAAAAATCTCTCACTGGTGGCCACCAGCAGGGTGCGATTTGGCACTCTAGGCTATCCCCTATGTGCTATGACGCCTTGGTTCATTTTAAAAAGTGTGATAGACTATGGATGAAATGGGACTAAATTGAATCAAGCAGCAGGGCGGTATTTAGCGCCCTGGGTTATCCTGTGAGCACCATGGTGCCTGTGTTAGTTTTAAGCAACCAGGGGCCGTACGTGACGCCCCTGTGGTAGTGTAACTGAGAGCTCTCGAGAGCGTCCCTCTACATCCCTGACACCTGGGCGGTCACCGAAGTGTGTTCTACCTCACTATTACAGTGAGTGATTAACGTACATTTAAGGCTTTCATGTGGTAGGTAAACCCATGCCCCGATAAATAGCGCAGGCATTGTTTACATTTAAATAACTCAGTTTTAGAAAAAAACGTCTAAGAATATAGCATTGGTAACGCATTGATGTAATCCTTATATATTTTGTTAGACTTTCTAGTTAGTCTATAATTTGAAAAAGTACCTTTACACTACCTACAGATGTTTTTTTAATTATAAAAATAGCTTTAATGCTTGTCTTCACAGTTTAAGAAAATTTCTCATTTGAGTCCTTAATGTAAGATTAAAAAGGGCAAACATGCTTTTAGTTTAGTGTAATTAAGTTTATTATGAACAATTCCTAACTCTATGTAAACAAATCACTTTATTTTATCTAGCAACCTCTGACTTAAAAGTTGTCTTTCTTTTTCTACACTTCCATGGAGAAAAAAAATGGGTGAATTAGAATTAATATTCACTAATACACTAACAATACTTATCTTATGAAAAGATCTTTTAAAAATCATTTGTTGCTTTTTTGTTTTGCAGATAAATTTACAACAAAACAAAAAAACAGATACTTTAAAACAGTAAGTTTTAAAAATGAGTTTTAAAAAATATTGTTTAATATACTGGTACATGTTTTGAGGAATAAAAGCATTAGGTAAAAATTTTAATATATTCTCTTATTCACAGTATTTAACACAAGAGCGCAAATTAACTGCTACAGAAGCTTCTCTTCTCATTCGAAGTTGTAAAGGAGATGGTCTTTTGGCTGCATGTTTAATATAAATTGACTTAGATAATGTTTTAGCTAATCTTGTAAATGAATATCATATTATTCTATTCAATTATAATTTATCCTGTTGAATTACATTACATTAATGTAACCTATGAACAATGATTACAAGTTTTACATTTATAACATTCAAAGTAAAGCTTATCTAATTTTCAATCTTTGGTGTGGCATTTTAAAATAAGCATTGATTATTATGTACAGTGTTCAAGACACATTAATAATGCTTTTTAATCTCTATAAAATTATTTTAAAAATTTAATGCATTCAAATGCAGCTACATTGTATAGGTAATTTTAATAATTTCTCTCTATCTCTATTAGTGAGTTTGTTTTAATAATTTTTAAAAATTTCAAGCAAAATCCATCATGATTTAAGTTACAATACCATTACAAGTGTATTTATTTTTTTTACGTCGTGAAATTTAAAAGATTAATAATTTCTCTCTATTAAAAAAGAAAACTATGTAAATATAACATGCTTTAAAGTTACTGGTACTTTTATTTTATGAAAATAATAAATCTAATTTTTTTAAAATAATTCATTTTATGTTTTTAATTTTATGGTTAAAGGTAATGTAACAATAAACATGCAGAAATACTAAAGTTACGTTTATTTTATTATAGCAAAAAAAAACTGATAAATACATCCTCGTTTGTTCTTTACTTTCCTTTGAGGACTAGCATTTGACTGCAACTCAGGGTATGTTGAAGAAAGGGAGAAATGTAATTTAGTGAGTGGTCAATGAAACTGGGCATGTGAGGTAGTAGTGTATAGTTGATAACAAATTGAAACCCCTGGGCCTAGATGGGATAAAGAAAGGTTTAAGACTGGTGCATACTCAGTTGAGGGGGCTAGTAATGGGGTGGCAGCTTTAGTTAGAGGTCTACATTTATTCTCAGGTTGTGTGAGAAGTTTAAGGAGGGAGTTTGTGTTTTATTTGTATGTAAAACACTCGATGACACACAAACCTTCTAATATGGAAAAATGTAAAAATCATGTATTGGTCTCAAAGCGGTGAAGGTGCCAAGATCAGAAGTGGAATGGGACAAGGGGAGTTAATTAACCTTTCCAGATTATTGCTTCGTTATTATTGTACATATTGCAATATGTAGAACTACCCGTGACTTAGGGGTCATCCATAAATGACGTCACGCTTTTTTGACGATTTTTACCTCCCCCCTCCCCTCCGTCACACGTCGTCACAAAAAGCCAGACCCCCCCCCTAAAATGACGTCACACCTCAACCTACAACCCCCCCTCAAAATTGCAGTTGAATTTTTTTTAAACATCGATATTTTTCCAAAATCTTGTCTAAACTATTACAATTTATTAAAACAGTTATCTAAAACGCGAAATAACGTCTAAAATTCGTTTTCTAACATTGCTTTTTTATAATGCAAAAATGTGACGTCGCAACATCTGATCCCCCCCCCCCTCCCCCTCATCACACATCGTCACAAAATTACGGACCCCCCCTCCCCCCTACGAGTGTGACGTCATTTATGGATGACCCCTTAGCAGGGATGGTCATCAGGCTTGGATGACCAAAAAAATAAAAACGCTCTATGCTATTTAAAAATTAAGATGGAAGTCTGGAGCAGAGTTGCATCTCTTCGGGGGGGGGGGGGGGGGGGGGTGAACTTCCAGTTATACACGGGGAGGGTGAAGGCTTATAAACAGTGTTTCTTCCAGACTTTTTTCTCCGGGGGGGGGGGGGGCACTTGAAATTTTCGGGGGGGGGGCGGTAAACTTTCTTCGGGGGGGGGGGCGGACACTGTTAAAAGTATATATTTTCTATATAAATTATATAAATTTTATTTCGTTCGGGGGGGCGGTAAAAATTTTTCGGGGGGGCTTTGCCCCCCCCCCCCCCGAAGAGATGCCTGGAAGAAACTCTGCTTATAAACTATAAAGCGGACGGGATAACGGCCTGATCTGATATAGGCATCGGGGGGGGGGGGGGGGGTACATATGTCCCTGGGCGCCAAAATGGGTCGGAAAAAAATATTAAAAGCTCATTTTAGCTCCAGTTACTGATACTGATGGCAAATTCCATTTAAATCTATGCGTAGGTCATAAATGGATGACTCCCTCTCAATTATATGACGATCACATTATCAATATTATAAAACATAATTTTATTAATCTTAAGCAAAAAAGGGTAATATTTTCTGGACGAGATCGTAATTTTTAAAACCCCAAGCAAGGTAACTCTGCTTTCAAACTTTGCTCGATTACAAATCTTTGTTTTGACAAGCACGCCAGCTGATCTAGTCTAGTCTAGCTTTCTCTAGAGTCAAGAGATATATATTCAGACCTACTCTACGAGCCTGGATCTAGACTAAATCTATTCAAAAGTAATATGTTGACTCCAAAGTTTTCTTTGTCACAGGATTCCGATCATGTTTTTGTCACTATCTATATTCCTTATATTAAAATAACCGAAGCTGATTGCTTCATCGATGATGATGAATTTTATTTTCATTCTGAACCTTATTACCTTCGATTGCATTTACCTGGAAAAATTAAAGAAAACCAACATTCGCAATATGATTTTGATACGCACAACCTAACGGTTAGTCTAACAAAACAGACAAAAGGCGAGTGTTTTGAAGGACTGGATTTGCTAACAAAATTGCTTACTCCTAAAGTTGAGAAATTCAAACATAAAGAAATTGAAGTCATTGTCGATAACACTACTGGTGATCAAGACAAGAGTGAAGAAGGTCCAGAATGTGAGGAGGATGATTGGTTTTTTGAACAAGTACCATGCACTGATTTACAACCCAATGCAGAGTTTGTAAGCAAACCAAGTTATGGTTTTGCAAATAGAAAAAGTAGCTGCTTAAATAATTTGACCTCAGAATTCACAGAAATAATAGATCTCAAAGATCCTGATAATACATTGCAAATTAATAGAAGACTTCTCCGTGAAAAGCAAGAAGAAGCACATTTTAATTGCGAACATTATCTAGCAGATTTCTTTGAAGATGATGCTATTCAGGAATTAGTTTTTCCAGATTATGGAGAACTGACTGGTGAAGTTGGTACAGATGTTATTTTTACTGAAAAAGAAAGGGAAAAGCTTCTGCAGTTGCCTCGCAGAGAATACATAATTGATGAACAAAACATTGAACCTACTTATTTAGGGTTGGTAGATTTAATGTTAGCTTATGCTTACAACTATCGTTTTACACAAGGTGAAAGTAATGTTGAATCTGAGTGGACTATTTGCAAACTAAGTTCGACATTATGCTGGTTGGATACCTTCCAGAACATCAAGGAAGTTGTTGTTAGTTTTGCTAGGAGATCTTTGACATATCCACTGTATCGCAACTGGAAACTTTTTCTTAAAGTGTTTTCTGATGTGAAAATTATATTTCAAGTTGGAAAAAATCAAATTTTAAAGTGTTTGCTAGCAATTCATGGAATTCTTTCAGAGAGTGAAATTCGTTATCCACTCAATGATTTGTATATTACAGACTACTGTGTATGGGTTCAGAGTGCAGACCCAGTGTATCTTGGAAAAGTGTCTCAGGCATTATTAAACTTGAATATTTCAAAATCAGATTTAGGTCTAAAATTAGTTGAAATGGAGACAGATGCAAAACTGTTATTGGATGACATTCATAATGAAACAGAGAAGGAGACTGACTTGGAGGAACTTTCTCATATTCTTGCTAACAGAGTGAAAATCACAGATGCACTTCATTCAGATAGTGATGATGATGCTAGTAGTAACACTAGTGATAGTGAAAGTAGTGATGATGATGAAACAGTTTCTACAGATGCTTCAGAAAGCAGCAGTACGGAGGACAAAGATACAAATCCCTAAATTAATATTAATATCCAGAAATTTTAAACACTGTGAAATGAAAATTTCATAGCTACTGCTGGCATTTGGTCATCATTAGGTTTGGGTTAGTCCAGGCCCATGAAGCTTTTTTTTTAAGTGTTATCAAAATATATTTGCATGTGCAGGCCAGAGCTTGTATGTAATCAATGCCCTGGCAGGGCTGGTGAGAAAAGGGCTAATACATAAGTGAATGCCTTTTTATAACCTAATTTTGTACATCAGAGGGCAATGTAGCTTAGAGAAACAGGGATGAGTCAAAACATTACCACTGGTCCCACTAGGGAAATTTCATGGAAAAGTAGGAAAGAGAAAAAGGAATGTAATTAGGTAATTATTTAGGTAGGCTAAATAAAAATGTTTGAATATTATATCATGATGCTCCATGTGGCCTATGCCAATTGTTCCTTTGGTTATGGTATGTAATACCAACGCTTCTACTTCTAGTGGCTATATTGTTCATTTTATGGGGTCGGCGTGGTCGAGTCGGTAAAGCTCATGGTTGCTAAACCGAAAAGTCTCGAGTTCGAACCCCCGGGCAGATGAGGCTCGTTAGCTGGGGACAGCCACTCCAAAATTAAACAACTGCTGCCTTGTAGTTTGTTCTTGGTTGGACAAAGGCTATGGAAGCAAATCCAAAAAGAAAAGCAGGCTGAAATCGGAGTCATTGGCCTCAATGGCGCATAACCAGTCGACACGTAACACTTAATTGCGTTGGAGGCGTGGTTGAGTCGGCAAAAAGCTCATGGTTGATAAATTTGAACAAAGTCTCGAGTTCAAACGCACTGGCAGATAATTATTAGTGTTGGAAGGGATCGAGAGTTAAGAACGAAGAAGAAGATTCATGTTAAAAAAGTAAACATAATTTTGTCAATTCTACCATGAATTGGAAATTAAATATTTTTTTTTAATTGATTCATGGAAATATAATTCATGTTCAGATGCTAGATCAACTCATGCCAATTTCTTTGATCTTTAAATATATATTAAGCCTAATAAAAAATAAATTGCTTAATTATTTTTTTTTGTAGTGTTTAATTTTCCTTTGTTGGCTAGTTGTAACGGTATTTACAAGTTTACAGCACCTTCAGTTTGATTATTTGCTTTTTCATGTTTGAATATGGAATGTTTAAATGAGTTTTTTGTTTGGATAAATAAATCACAAACAAACAATAAGCAAAAAATTTCTTTAATTACATTCACAACATCTATGTCATTTCTAAACCATGCAAACACAAAATTCACAATCCAAAATTACATTGTATGTCATAATTCTGTAAAAAAAAAAAACGGCTTAGGGGTACAAACAGAAAACCTTTGTACTGTTACTATTTACTTTAGGGAATCACACAAAAGTAGGCCTACTTTGGATTCAATTTTTAAAAATTGTACAAAAATTAATTTTCTATAGACCACATCATTTCTATACACAAAGATATGCTAGACAAGTATCAACTTGAGCTAAGCCAGATAACTGCCTAGAGTCTACACCATGTTCTTGTACAGAAAAAAAATGAATATTTTTTTAATGAGCCCTAAGTGTCTTGCTGTTCTAATTAATCTTAGTGTTTTTATATTTATAACCTATTGTTAGTTAAAGAGAGACTGAAACATTCTGATGTGACAAATGGCTTATTTGGTGTAAAAGTGTAATAAATTTAGTGTGAAAAGTTTCTAGAAATTAATATATAGGGCCTAGAACAAGAATTACTATATTATCAGTACCTACAATGAGTAACAAGAGCATTTTAACTTTATGAGCATCATCAGAAGAAATTGCAAGAAAATTAGCCATGAATACAAAAAAAAAAGCAATCTAAATTTACAAGGCATTATTTAATTTTACTAACGCAGTTAATTTGATTGAGATAACACAACATTAAGAACTGGTTACATTTTTAAACAATGCACTTAGTTATACCATACATATAACAAAATTGAAAGGTTATGACAATGAAATGTAAATATTTTCAAAATCTAAGCATATTTCCATAACACCATGATATATTTAAAAACTGAAATTGATGACCTGTCATAAAGACAAGTGAATGTTGAAGTAGTAGTAGAACATAATTAGCCAGTTGAGTTAAATGAGAAAATGGGGTATTTAAATTAGATGAATGTACAACTGCTAAAGCTATTGCTGAAACTAAATAACTATAGTAATTTATTAACCCAATAAGAATTATAACATGATTCAACATTATTTTAGATTATTTTCTAGAATTATCACCTCTTTCTACATTGGCTAAGGCACTAATGGCTTTAGAACTGGTAAATAGTAAATAAATATTATATTTTATAGTAAGGGTGTTGAATTATATGGATAGTATTAAATATTTTTATAAAATAGAAGTAAAAAGTCAGTGATCTGTAGTGAATGCCAGTTTTCAAAATAGGAATTGTCATTACAAAAATAAAGGTTACTACTAACTACACGATTAAAGTTAGTTTATTATAGTAAATAATGTTGTAGGCTAACCTGAATTTAAAAATAAACCTCTAATACAAACATAGTATGGATATAGTACATGCATAAGCAAATTTATAAAGTCAGCATTGAAAAAATAGATATCACTAATTCAATTAAAACAAGTTAACTAGATGGTTAAGTGAGAAAGAGAAAAATATTGCACTATTCAAGAGATGAAAACCATTTTTTCTTCATTCTTTAAGATGTAAACAATGCATGTTTTGTATGTAAGCACATGTTTTTAAATAAAAAGTAAATTATATATGAAGTAGTAGGGAACAGGTATACTTAAAAAATGTAGGCCAGATAGTTTCCACATATTTTACTAGTCTTTTTTTGACTTATCCATTTGTGAATATGCAAAAACTTTACTTAGATAACCCATTGTATTTTCCTCATTGAATGTCTCGCGAGACATTTGCCTAGCACTAGTAGTGCTTTTTGCTTGCTTTAAGTTTAAGATTTTCCTATAAGTTTTTACTGGGTTGATTTTACGTATGCGAGTAATATAAAACAAAACCTCGGGACAACGCAATATAAAGATAAGTTTGGCGAAAAGTTCCTCTTCTAGCCAAAAGTCCTTCAGCTCTCTGGCTAATGTGATTTGGTCTGTCAAGTTTAACAAGCTGTCCACATCAGGAAGCTCGGAGTAATGAATGTACAATATACGACCTTGTATAAACGTTGATCTGATGAACTTGAAGACAACAAACACAAAGGATAAGTACATCACTTCTATTCCACCACTAACAACTCTGAAATAAAAATTACCAAGGTGTTTTTTTATAGGTTAGACCTAAATGAAATGTCTCCCTGCACAGAAAATGGAAACGGATTATCATGAATAACAATATTATGTACAAAGCTTAGAAAAAAAAAGAGAAATAAAACAAATACAATTTATTTTTAAATTGGTGTTAAGAAGATACATTTATAAAATTTTTAGAATACATTTTTCTATGCAAATGGCTCTTATTAAAATGTATAAGATTATCTAATTATTGTGGAATAAAGTCAGGAGTGGAGTATTATTTAAAGTCTTTACATTAAATTATAGCTAGACTACTGTGCTAAGGATTATGCAGGAGGAATAATTTAGATCTAAAGCTATAAGAGTAAGAAATGTCTGCATCATAACAATGGGCACTGATAACCAAAAGCACTCTTAGCTTCATATATAGCTATAAATGAGTGTTCACTGTTTCACTAAATGCTTGAGAAAAAAAAAACCAGTCACATATATTCAGGGTGTAAAAAAGAAGTAAAAATCTTTTTAAAAAATACAGTAAACAACGTACATAATAAGACTTTAAGCTATCAAGATATATGACTGATTGAAGAAAATATAAACAAATATTGCAGAAGAAAAGAGTTCCCTCAGCCTTGAACGAAAAAAAAGCAAAAAAATTTGAAAGACTAAAAATAGACTAGCTTGAGTTGCACAAACACAAGAATTCCTTCAGTTGTTGAGAGGTGGTTTTATGCATGGATCAAGTAAAAAGAACACAAGCCACAACACAATGCTAACAAAAAATATTTCTTACAAGTTAAACACAAATATTTCATTTTAAAAGAATAAGGAACATAAATGCTATCATACATTAAGAGGCAAAAATAATACCAAGTTAAAAAACTAAAGTGTCTAAATATGTTCAAAGTCAACATAGTATTACCAACACATTATTTTCCAAAGCCACAATAATAAACATACAGTAACTAGATTAAAAAACTACATACAAAAACATCATATAAAAAAACCTCAGTGAGGTACAATATCATGTTTCACATTGTATATCAATGGGTGAAGGCTTACAACACAACACAGAGGATTCAGGAATTTCAAATGAGATCTCACACGTTTTAAAGGGTAAAAAAAAAGCCATCATTACAACACATACCCTGCATATGGTATAAAATAAAATAAAAACAGCTTTAACCCTAAAGAAAAGCTGGGAAGTAGACATGAACAGAGAGATGGCAGATCTCATAAAAAAAATCTACAATAAAAACTGAATCATCATCACTGAGTAGAATGATACTGATAGCAGTTCTACAAATTCTAGCAACATGTCAACAATTGTAAATCTTTCAGAAATTGTTTTTTTTCTATTATTCAAACTTGGTCTATTTTAGGGCAGCTGTTTCTATTGTTATTTATCACTATAATTGTATGTGTGTGTGGGAGTATATGTCATAGTTTCTGGTAGGTTATTCTAAGGATTAAATAAAAATACTTGTTGAATTATAAATATTAAAAAGAATTTATACAAGCGCCTTTTGTTTTAAAAAACTGCACAGCATGATGATTCATTTTTATATAATGTGTAGTAAAGTCATAAACTAGATCTACTTCATTTACTTATGCTCACACTGATTAGGTAGGCTAAGCTAACAGCAGATGTTTGGTCAGCATAGAGTGAAGTAAATAATTATTCTACATTATCAAAGCAAAATAACACAATTGAATCCCAGCTGAAAATATCTACCACACAAACATACCTATATGGTAGAGGCCTTTAATTAAAAAGTGGTTAACCCTTTGATGGCCTGGCATCAAAACTATTTTATTTCCCCTACGGCTGGGCGAAAAAAGACTCATTTTTCAACCACAGTACTTTTTAAAAATATTTTTAAAAAATAACCGCTTAAGTTAAAAAATAAAAAGCTAGCCCAAGTCTATTATGCATGAAGTTAAATAGCTTAATAATTTATTATTAATTAATAAAAATAACACTAATCCCGGAAAAAATGTAAGCAAAACACTACTTCTAATATTATTTCTATAAAATTTTTATTTGAAATGCTAAAAAAAAAAAATTCAACGCAGTCACTGGAGCTACTTTCTTTTTCAATAGTTACATTATAAATAAAACCAAATTCAATGGCCGAAGCATTTTAATTAGAATTAATTTCACTAATTATATTGCTCATAATTTTGAGAATTTTTTTTTCTAACTTTAGAAAAATCGTAGAAAATGGACCACTGGTGATAGAACGAGAAAACAAAGTAAATAAAACTTATTATTTCCCACTCCCACCGATATCTTCAAAATCTCGTTACCATCGAGACTTCGGCTACTACAAATAAATAAATGTACTATTCATAGTAGGGCGACCGCGGGCACACCTGACTGTACCAGACAAAAAATTTTTGGACGACCACGGGCAGATAGGCCTGTAAAGGGTTAAATATAAATAGTATCAACATTAAAGAAAAAGACAAACTGAATTTTCTGATGTAGGGCAAACATTCTTCATTATTTTTTGTGTGGTTTTAATTTTCTATTTGTGTGCAACCCCCCAATAAGATAAAAAAAAATAATTGAGGACTTAAAAAAAACAACAACAACCAACCTCTTGAGCATAACAAGAAAAGTATAAAACAGAAAAGACAGGAATGTAAAGGGGTCAAGTTGGCTAAGTGGATGAAATGTTCTAAATGGAAAGGTCTTAATGACAAGGTCTTACTAGTTGCTACTAAGACATGTACAACTGTATTATGCAGAAAGAAAAGAAAACTGCCTTAATGCCATGAAAATGAAACCTGTACTAGAGGCACTGAATTAAATATTTTCAGTTGCCAAGTTCTAAATGTATCAATCCTCCTTCTCTTTCTCTTCAACAGAGAAAATTCCAGAGCGCACAGTCTGGCGCGTGTACTTGATTGTTGTCTCAGGACTGCGGTACAAGAAGATGAGCTTGGCGTAGATCTCCTCTTCCAGCTGGAACTCCTTCATCTCTCTGACCAGGTACAGATCTAAACACAGCTTCATAATGCGGTCAACGTCTGGCAACTCCCTGAACATGATCGTCAGGTACTGATTGGTCGTGCTCAGACGCATCAAACGACCAATCAAGAGAATGAAGGACAGGTACAGCCCAATGATTCTGTAAAAAGTGAAAACTATTTTACTAACCCAATAACTGTAAACAATAGCTATTCAAGCTAAGCTTTTTAAAAATTAATTATGTGTAATTATATTTATTCAATTTGCACTAGTACTAGTAAGATATATTTGAAAAAGCACAGGAGTTGTTATTTAATTAAACATGACTATTTTTGAAAATTTAATTTCTTTTTATTAACTGTTTATAAATATTTATAATACAATTTTTTAACAGGTTTAAATAATTGAGGGAATTAAATGAACAAGAAAAAAAATCTAACATCAAACAGGAAGCTGAAATGTTTAGAAAATCAACTTGCAATACTTTATTTACCATTTAACAGATTGCCATAGGTAACAATGGGTTTAATTGAATATATGGCTCCCAATGTGAATAAAAATGGACATAACATTTTTTTAGTTCTTTCTATAAGTGGTAAGGATAGTTGTGTAATGAACAAAAAAAAATTTTTTAGTATTTTTTTTTTAGATATTGTCAAAATGTTTAAAACACTGCTAAGTTCAAAGTTTTGTAGGACATTTTGTGAATGTCACAAGTGAATGCAGATTTAAACACAGCTAAGTTAAAAGATTTCTACTTCAAAAGTGAATGCAGATTTACTTACCCGTATCCAGATAGGAAAGAGAGTGAGGCTGGTGCCTTGCGATCATTGAAGGTGATTATAAATGACTTGTCATACGAGGTGTTGGTTTCTCGTTTGTAAGCGTAAACAGTCCCAGACACAATCTCTTTCAGATTCCACCATTCACTCAGTGAATTGGATGGGTCGATCTGAAGTTGCATGGAAATGTTGCTCAAACCAATGCCTAGGGGAAGTAATAATTGTAAAGATAAATCAATCAATCAATCAAATGAACAGATCTAAATCAATGGAGTTGATTAGTAAAGCTGAGAACATTTTCTAAATATTCTTAAAATGGGGCAGGAAAAACATACCATTATTTAATACATCAATGGGGACAGCTTTTGAAGTGCCACCAAGCCGCAAAAATCGAGGAAATAATTCATGAATCACCCTAAATCAACAAAAGAAAATTAGTGTAATAGCTGTGACAGGTTAAATTTCAGAGATGTCATGGTTTTATTAGGTCGTAGATCTGGTAGGTCATAGTTGTTAGGTTAAACAAAGCTCTAGGTCACAGTTTATGCAATCTTTATTGTAACAGAAGTGGATCTGACTTACACTGATTCATTTGTGGGCGTTGTGGAGTTGATGATACGTGCAAAAGTGTGCCGAACATTTTTATATTTTACATCTCGTAGATTCACTTCAAAAAGACAACTGACATCACTGGGTAACACTTGGTCTGGTTCTCTGTTTATGAAACAAAACAAAAACATTTACAAGAACGAATGGATATTATAAACTCAAGGGAAGATAACAGTGATTAAAATATAAGGAACAACAAACAATTGGTGACAGATGCAGTTGTAAAATTGGTAGTTAGAGCTGCTGTACCTCTGGTGTTTACAGAAATGGCCTTACCTTTGGTGGTTATAGAGGTGGTATCACCTTTGTTGGTTATAGTTATAGAGGTGGCTTTACCTTTGGTGGTTAGAGGAGTGCTTACCTCTGGAACTTGTGTTCAACTGAGAGCATCAATTTGCTGGTAGAAGAATCATCAGAAAGGTCATTCATCATGGACTTCTGACTGACTGGACTTATCCCCCAGATGGCCAGAGATTTACCATCAAATGATAACAACGAAACATCTGACGCATCGTAACCACTAAGAAAACTGTATGCATTCTGTGTAAAGAGAAAATAATTGAAGAAATTGTTTAATCCATTTTTAGTAAATTGTTTTGCTCATTAAGGATAAATCATGGTTACAATCAAGACTCAATTGGTCAAAATTATATATATATATATATATATATATATATATATATATATATATATATATATATATATATATAATATCTATATATATATATATCTATATATATCTATCTATATATATCTATCTATATATCTATATCTATCTATATCTATATATATCTATCTATATCTATCTATATATATATATATATATATATATATATATATATATATATATATATAGATATATATATATATGTACTAAAAATATTTTGTAATTTATTTATTTATATTTTAAAAAAATTTAAGGAGTGGTTGAGTAAAAGACCATACACACAAGTTTAAACACTTAAATCACACAACAGGTAAATCCTGAGTAATGAGTCTTGAGTGTGCGGTACTCAGACCAAATGACAGTACATGACCTACCCTATCCCTTGAGTAATGAGTCTTGAGTGTGCGGTACTCAGACCAAATGACAGTACATGACCTACCCTATCCCTTGAGTAGTGAGTCTTGAGTGTACGGTACTCAGACCAAATGACAGTACATGACCTACCCTATCCCTTGAGTAATGAGTCTTGAGTGTGCGGTACTCAGACCAAATGACAGTACATGACCTACCCTATCCCTTGAGTAGTGAGTCTTGAGCGTACTGTACTCAGCATCAGTCAGCGTGTGGATTGTGTTCCCAAGTGCGGTGGATGAAAACAGGGGCTGGTACCCTGATATGCTGACAGACATGGTGGCCTCGTTTGGAGGGTTGGAAATAAAGACTGCGTTAAAGAAAGAGAAGAAAACCAGCGGGAACCAGACGATGAAGACCACAATGACCAGCAGGATCCCACCAGACACATACTTGATCCAAGGCTTCTTCTTGATCGCTCTCTCTGTTGGATATTGCTGAAAGTACAAACAAGTTCACTTAAGCATTGAAAATAATTTAGCAGAGTTTTTAAATACAACCAAGTTCACTTAGATATTACAAATACATGATGGTATTTTCATACAAGGATTTCGCTTAAGAATTTCAAAGAATGTAACCAAGTGTTTTTATTACAAGGATTTCATACAGTGGTCTATCTATCATTAAAGACCTAGCTTGTCACGACTTTACACAAGCTGTAATTTTATGGTACCTTTTCTATTTCACGCCAGCATTTAAGAACAAAAATATTTGCATATATATCTTCCATCTGAAGCCAATTTCCAATAGCAAGTGTGGAGTCTGTCCAGATCCAGTCCATCAACGCCCGAAGTTCTAACAAAAATGGAATGGCTAGGAAACTGTAATACAAAACATACATTTTATTCTTTATTGTTCTTTTATTTATCTTTTTCATTAAATTTCCCTTCAACTATCGTAAAAGTGTTTTTTATTATTCAATGCTGGTTTTGGACAGAAGGCCAGGGGTTTATTATTATTAAATGACAAGTCTTTAACCATTAGCATTAAAACTGATCCTACAATTAAACTAAGTACTTATTGCTTTCTAGTAATAATCAAAGTTGTGAATATTTAGTGATATTTAATGCAATCTTTGTAATGCCTCATTCAACTTGGCTGACATTCAACACCCAGCTGTTTACTTATTCAAGAAAGACACAATAACATTTCCATAAAATGGTTCACAAATTCAAGCATGAGCTGATGAATGAGAAATCTTCTTGATTAAAGATCAGGAATAAAACTAACAATAATTTTCCTAAATGACCTTGCACCCTGTCTTTCACTGGGTATACACTAAGTCAGGATGTAAGGCTTGCACCAGTCCTATAGCACAACATTAGCTTGGTACACTAGAGAAACAAAACAGCAGATATAAAAATCCTTACCCTTTAAAGAGGAATAAGTTGGTGTAAGTGTATTTCTTGGTCAGGAAGTTGCCTAGGATGCGGTTGGGATAGCCACATCTGATCTGGTAAGCTGACAACCCAAAGTAAATACACTTGGTGAAGTACCAGATCTGAGCTGCCACGTTGTTGAAAAAACTCCTGGAAATCAAATCAATAACAGTTGTTTTTTAGGAGTTGTGGATTTAAAAACTATACACAACATTTAAGAGCAGTTATAGTTATTCACCAAAGTTAAGAGATACTCTATGATAAAAATTGATCTCTTTTTTTAAAATTGAAAATACCAGTTATTATTTACCTCTTGGTGATGGCAGGCAGAAGGAAAAACATCCAGATATGTATGGCGATGACCAGGAGGATCTGGAAAATAAATTTCCCCAGAACAAACTTGCGCAGGAAAATAGCTCTGTCAATAATGATGCAGACAAACTGGGCTATGAGCATGAAGAGGAATGGGATGGGGATCTTGTTGTTTTTGATGTAGCTGGTCACATCTCCATCCCCTGCTGTCTCCTGGGTACAGGATTGAGAAAACAAAAAAATTTCCAAAGATAATTGACAAGAAATTATATTTGATAAAGGAATTTATTCTAGACATTAGAATCAATGTATAGATAAAATGCAGTAAACTAGTTAAGTTAAATAAACTTTAATGCAACTTATCTATTAAAAAGCATATGTATCTCATTAACAGAGATTATGGTTTATAAATCAATTAAACACTATTTGAAGTCGTATATAAAAAGTAGATATCTAATAAATCACATTATAAAATAAAAAATCAGTGCCACATTGTGTATAAAACGAGAGTAACACTGATGGCCAACCAGAATATGTGGGTGCCAGTGAATTTTGCTGACTCAACAGAAATATAAAACCTTACTTACCGCAGGTCCAAAGACAGAAATATAAAACCTTACTTACCGCAGGTCCAAAGACAGAAATATAAAACCTTTCTTACCGCAGGTCCAAAGACAGAAATATAAAACCTTACTTACCGCAGGTCCAAAGACAGAAATATAAAACCTTACTTACCGCAGGTCCAAAGACAGAAATATAAAACCTTACTTACCGCAGGTCCAAAGACAGAAATATAAAACCTTTCTTACCGTAGGTCCAAAGACAGAAATATAAAACCTTTCTTACCGCAGGTCCAAAGACAGAAATATAAAACCTTTCTTACCGCAGGTCCAAAGACAGAAATATAAAACCTTACTTACCGCAGGTCCAAAGACAGAAATATAAAACCTTTCTTACCGCAGGTCCAAAGACAGAAATATAAAACCTTACTTACCGCAGGTCCAAAGACAGAAATATAAAACCTTTCTTACCGCAGGTCCAAAGACAGAAATATAAAACCTTTCTTACCGCAGGTCCAAAGACAGAAATATAAAACCTTACTTACTGCAGGTCCAAAGACAGAATAATAAAACCTTACTTACTGCAGGTCCAAAGACAGAAATATAAAACCTTTCTTACCGCAGGTCCAAAGACAGAAATATAAAACCTTTCTTACCGCAGGTCCGAATGAGCTGAAGCTTAAGACCAGGACCAGAAAGAGGATGAAATCACAGAAAAACATTGGGGCGTACACGTCTGCTGTAGCATTGTATGAGGACTCTGTCACTTGCCTAAAGAACTTTCTGAATGGGTTTAAAATGTACGAGAACCTGCACAGAAAGATACAACAATAAATAAATGTTTCCTCATCATAAAAATGCTGGTCAGACAAAGGTTAGAAGTAAATCTATCTGGACTCACCCCTGTCCCAGTTTGGAGCGAGGTTTACAGGATGGGGTCAAGCGTCCATCAAGAGCATCAACATTGCTGACAGACTTGCCAAACACAACATCTTCATCAAACACCTGAAGAATAGGAGAGTCAATCATTGGGGACAATGACAATCATGGAGTTGATATGGGGGGGGGGGGGAGGGGGAGAAATAAGGATACTGACAATCATTAGGGACAGTGATAATCATTGAGGACATAGTTAATATTGGGGGGACACTGACAATCATGGAGGACATAGTTAATATTGAGGGACAGTGACAGACATGGTGACACATTTATGGAGGACCTAGTCAATCACAGTGTACACACATCAATTGTAAGGTACAGTCAATCTGGGGGGACATGGTTGATAACAGAGGACAGATTTAACCAAACTCATCAAGGGGGGACAACATCTGAAGTCATATCTGTACAGTAGTTCACAAATACAAGTAGAAAATAAAAATAATTTTAATCTAACCAATAACAGCTTCTTACTTTACTGGGTGAGTTTGGAGTGCTTTGTTCTTTAGCTCCAGCTGCCTCAAGATCTGCAGTAATGTCAGCAGCATCACGCCACAGGCCGTATTTCTGTACAGACAACATAACGACAAGTTGTCTCACAACATATATATATATATATATATATATATATATATATATATATATATATTACAAGTAAATACATTATTAATATTATATAATACACTACAATAAAAGTTGACTGACTATAATACCCAGTCATTAAAGTAAAGTAGACTTCATGTAATACCAAGTCTTCTTCTTCTTCTTCTTCTTCGTTCTTAATTATTAGTGTTGAAGGGGATCGAGATTTATCTGCCAGTGGGTTTGAACTCGAGACTTTGTTCGAATTTATCAACCATGAACTTTTTGCCGACTCGACCACGCCTCCAACACAATTAAGCGTTACGTGTCAACTGGTTATGCGCCATTGAGGCCATTGACTCCGATTTCAGCCTGCTTTTCTTTTTGGATTTGCTTCCATAGCCTTTGTCCAACCAAGAACAAACTACAAGGCAGCAGTTGTTTAATTTTGGAGTTGTCTCTCCTAGAAGAGTGGCTGTCCCCAGCTAACGAGCCTCATCTGCCCGAGGGTTCGAACTCGAGACTTTTCGGTTTAGCAACCATGAGCTTTACCGACTCGACCACGCCGACCCCTTAATACCAAGTAATTAAAGGAAAATGGACTCAGTATAATACTAAGTTTAAGTAATTGAATGACTATAACAAGTAATCAGAGTAAAGATCACTGAGCTCACCCTGAGAATTGATCTATGCAGGAAAAGAGCCAACAACAGCGCTATATCCACATTGGCATAATTGCTTTGTTTCTCAATGCCAATAATCCTGGGAGGGAAGAAGGGATTGTCTCTAAAGACGCCGTCATTCCAAGGGAAGAAACCAAACTGGAACATGTACTTGCACACCACCACAGCCTTCAAGAAAAAACAAATTTATATTTTGTCAAACAAACTTTAAAACTGACCCTATAAACTTTATTTAAAAATTGATTAGAAATATATATTTACAGACATTTTACAACTGCTTAATCAATTAATTTTTTTTGAGGCAAGATTGATGAATGTTTTAAAAAAAAAAGTGAAACAAAGTGTAGTCAAAACACAAACTAGCTGTCATCTTACCTACAGACAGACATTTGAACCAGTATGCATAACTATGTGAGTTTTATATTAAGAGAAAAAAAAAAAAAAAAGCAACCTAAAATAAAAACCAAATAATAGAGATAAACCAACCTCAGTGTAGGTAATGACAGTAATCCAGAAAGTCTTAGAGGGGCGGGGTACTGAGAGCATACCCCAGAGGAAAACCATGAGGGGCAGGGGCAGGGAGAGCAGGCTGCCATAGACCATCTGGTTGAGGATCATCAGGAAGTAGCACAGCAGCTCCGAGCGTGAGGCCAGCAGCAGGCCCACGGCCATGGTCAGACGACTGAAGCGGTCTCGGTTGGTCTTGAACTGTTTCTGTATCTCCTCCTCGTCTTCCTTCTCCAGCTCATCCAGGCTGCAAGGTCAGGGAGAAGTTGATTGAGAGGGTGAGGTCATATTAATGGGAGGGTAGGGGCTAATTAATTAAGATGGGAGAGCTCCCTGAAATTATTGGGACAGTGGTTATGCTGTAGAGCTGACAGAGATTTTCAGATATTTGTCAAGTTAGAAATATTCACCAAGCTTATTTCTATATTGTTAAAATATGAAAACAGAAAGCTTTTAATTTAATTTAAACTTTGCCAATCAAATAATAAACTTCTACAAAAAAAGGATTATTTGAAAAAAAAAATTTAATTATAATTTGACTAAAATACCTTAATAAACTCTCAGATTTTCGAGAAATTCCAGGAAGAATATCTTCCTCAATGTCCACTTTAAAGTCACTAGAAGTTCTGCAAAATACAAATAACATGCTCTGAAGCTATTGCAGAAAAATGGATGGAAACAACAATTCTCTGTTCAGTCTGGTAACTAAGTTCTAGGAATAAGGACAAATGTTATTGCAGTCATATAACTCAAACTCTAAATCATTCCTTGTTAGGGTCATTGGGGCACTACAGGGTTGTTTGCCTAGGGCTAAGTGCCGCATGGCGGTGGCCACCCCTCTACATGCCTGACCACAGCTGGATGCCTCTGGTGGCTCGCCTTGGTAGGAAACACGTGGCCATTGAAGTTCATCTAAGAACTCTTGTGCCCTGGCCAGTGACCTTTACCGGTGACCTTTACAGGATGGCCACATGCCCAGTGATGATGTGTTAGCATCAGTTGTTTAATTTTGAGTTTTCTCTCACCAGCTATTGAGCCTCATCTGCTTGGGGGTTTGAACTCTGAACTTTTTGGTTTAGCAACCATGCAAGTCATGTGTATAAGTTTTAGAAATGAGGACAAGGGTAACACTTACGAGGGCTGAACATCAGGTGTGACTTCCTTGCTGAAGTAAAAACTAGATTCTGTGCGGGCCTGTGAAATAAAATGAACCTTAAATTCTAAACAAATTATCACCAAACTATTCTCACAGAAAAACAATTCCCAGTTTAGGTAATAGATGTTGATTCTTGAGTTTAGTAAAAGAAATGAAATATTACCAACAAAATAAGTAGATGAAACTTGTTTTAGCAAACCATCTGGTACCTATTTAAATGGCTGCAGAATGTATTTAATACTTATTTTTTGCTACCCCAAATTAAACCTTAACCCTAGCCTTTATCCCAGCCCTAACCTGGCATAAAAAAAAAAAAAGCAATACTTTATTGTTTTGCAAGTGTTTTTCTAAGGAGCATAAAAACAATCCCTACCAAAACTTTCTGTTTCTCAATAACCATCTCCTTGGTTAATTTCTTGGCTACCAGACGATAGTTGCGAGACAACCTGTTGCAGAAGGCAATAATCCAGTCGATGATACTGAACCAGACGGTTGTGATTAAACCAGCAATAACCCTCAGTTTTCCCACAGCTGAAATAACAAAGTGTGGACATTTTTTATGAGTTTCAGTGAAGTCCGTTGCATGAATTGACAAAAAAAATGGCGTTTTATCTGTTGTGTTTCTAACATTTTATGCAGAATTGTGAAAAATATAAATGTTATACGAGTTTTGTTTCATTAAACAGCACACAACATGATTTTTAGTTAGAACATAAAAACTTGGAGCTTACACTCAGGTTCATCCTGGTCTGGTGGATCTACAGGTGAGGATACATGAGCTTCAGCCCTAGTTGGAATCTGCACAATTATTTTTCATATTAATCAAAAGTTGACCCTAAACATGGGGTAAATCTTGCTATTATTTCAAACTTAAAATTACATAATCCAACAGACTTGCTTTACTTAGCAATTTCAAATTAGGTCAAAAAATAAGTTTTAATGAAATTTGAAACAACCCATTAAATCAGTCTTGACCCTATACAGCTTTAGTAGGACAGGTAAACATGTAATTTGTTCTAAAAGTTAGCTCCTCTTGTCACATTCAGTATTACAGAACACAAGAATTCTTCATACAAACCTCAAACAGTGTTAAATAACAGTTCAATTTCTAATTACTTTAAAATTACACACAATGTCCCACTATTTTAATAATATGCAATTTAACATAACTCCAACACAATGTTCACAAACTGGTACATACAACGTATAACCTAAAAGTGAGGAAAAAAGATTTACTTCGCTAACATCTTCATAGGACACAATGGCAGCAGTCATACCTTGATCAATAGCTGTATTGATAACCTTTAAAAGTAGACCAAAAACAATTGGTACAAAAAGGAAAAACATTACCTAACCAAACAATATTCTAAAGCAGGGGTCTTCAAACTACGGCCCGCGGGCCGCATCTGGCCCGCGAGGTCCTCTCATCCGGCCCGCGGAGATCTTTTTGTCGTAGGTGACTGTGGAAAAATGCCACCCCAATGAGATGCCTGGAAGAAACTCAGGCCCCCGAACTTATATTTGATAGTTAATGCGGCCCGCGGGCTGAAAAGTTTGGAGACCCCTGTTCTAAAGTAATGTATTGTAAAAAAAAACCAGTAAAATTTCAAAAATAAATTTTAAAAAAGTGCTATCAACATTAAAATTAATGGAGAAGTTAAATGCAAACACATTTTTAAAAAAAAGTAATATAAAAAGCATGTTACATTTCAACAGTAAAGAAACAAAGCATTTTAACTTGAAAAATATTGTCTGAATAGCTAAACTATAACCAACGAGTGCCTTTTCTTTTAGTTTTCTAGTATAGCATATTTTGAGATGAACAGAAAAAAACCTCAAGCTTGATTAGTTATCTTCTAGAATAGTGAAGCAATATTTTTTTTATTTTCTCTAAGTTTCTAGGATAGGATCAATAACCAAATCATGCTTCTATATAATATTAAAACAAAATAATTACTCAAAAAATATGATTCACCCAAAACCTTATTGTCCCATGACATCACAATTAGTCAACCAAAAATAGCCATCTAAATTACCATCTTTAAGTTCCATAAAACTTCCTCCCCCAAACACCATTACCTTACCGAACATTTTTTTCATCATTCTGGTGTTTTAAAACTTGTGTCTCACTTCTTGAACCCGCTCCCCCCCCCCCCCCAATCATCATCACTAAAATCTAATTTCCCTCCCTTAGTTGTCTTATGTTTTGAATGTAGTTATCTAACTTTAGAGACAGGAATTTTTTTTAAAAAGGTATTTTATATATCTTATAAAGAAAATGAGACAAAACTCTTAAAAATCTAAAGTCTAATTAATAAACTATACTACTTAATCAGAATTTTTTTTTTTAAACAATTCCAAGCATAAAAAAAAAAAGAAATCCCAACACCTAAAACAAGACAGACATTTGAAGGCAATCATTCACTATCACTTTTTTCTATTATGCGTTCAGCATAACATTTTATACAAGCTCATGAAAAAAAAAAACAACTAATGATGTGGTTGGCAGGGACACTGTGCATGTTTTATGTAAAAGGGGAATTTAATTTAAAAAGTGAACTACAGCATGATCAAAACCCTTGCCTAGAACATGGGGAACCACAGGATGATCAAAATCCTTGCCTAGAACATGGGGGAACCACAGGATGATCAAACCCTTGCCTAGAAAATGGGGAACCACATTATGATCAAAACCCTACCTAGAACATGGGGGAACCACAGGATGATCAAACCCTTGCCTAGAACATGGGGAACCACAGCATGACCAAAACCCTTGCCTAGAACATGGGGAACCACAGCATGATCAAAACCCTTGCCTAGAACATGGGGAACCACAGCATGATCAAAACCCTTGCCTAGAACATGGGGAACCACAGGATGATCAAACCCTTGCCTAGAACATGGGGAACCACAGCATGACCAAAACCCTTGCCTAGAACATGGGGGAACCACAGGATGATAAAACCCTTGATCAAAACAGATTTAATTCAGTGGTTTCCAAACTGAGACTAAACTAGTGTCAAGTGGGTGTGACAAGTTAGAACATGAACTAGTTTTCTCCCTAAGTAGATTTTTTACATTGTTTAAAACCACTACAAATGGTGTGTGATTGTGCCTTGAAGAGGAAAACATCAAAATTTTCTCATTAATGCATATTGGACCAAATTTCTTGTTTATGTTGAAATGAGCTTTCAGAAAAAGGTACAAAGTTGAAGAGGTCAATTTAATGATTTTTACCGATTTTAAAACTGAAGAATGATTATTTTGTTTTTTAAAATATAAATAATGTTTGGAAACCACTGTTTAAATACTAAATCTATTTTCTGAAACTACTCTTATGTGCAAACCAACTAGCCACTAGGTGAACTTCTATATGCTGAACATACAAATACCTCTGATGTAATGACTGTAGGGCTCAACTCATCCTTGTAAAAATTATACAACCATACATAATGACATATAACATTACAAATATTAGCCTTTTATTAATCTTTAAAAAAATTTACTTCTTTTTTTTTAAAAATGTAAAATAACAATACTTATATTTTAAACTTTGATTGTTATAAAAAGGGTTATTCTGTGCAGGCATCACAAAATTTATTAATTAATCACAAAAATGTTAATGGGGATATTTAAAAAACAAACATAATAGCTTTTAAACTTTTAAAATGAATGTTCTACATTTACATTTATCAGAAAGGTATGGGCCATCTTTTACATATGCCAATTGTGGGTCATTTTATATCCAACTATTGACTTCACAGGAACACAGACTACATACAAGAAATGACTTCACAGGAACACAGACTACATCCAACAATTGACTTCACAGGAACACAGACTACATACAAGAAATGACTTCACAGGAACACAGACTACATCCAAGAAATGACTTCACAGGAACACAGACTACATCCAACAATTGACTTCACAGGAACACAGACTACATACAAGAAATGACTTCACAGGAACACAGACTACATCCAACAATTGACTTCACAGGAACACAGACTACAACCAAGAAATGACTTCACAGGAACACAGACTACATCCAACAATTGACTTCACAGGAACACAGACTACATCCAACATTTGACTTCACAGGAACACAGACTACAGCCAATAAATGACTTCACAGGAACACAGACTACATACAAGAAATGACTTCACAGGAACACAGACTACATCCAACAATTGACTTCACAGGAACACAGACTACAACCAAGAAATGACTTCACAGGAACACAGACTACATACAAGAAATGACTTCACAGGAACACAGACTACATCCAACAATTGACTTCACAGGAACACAGACTACAGCCAAGAAATGACTTCACAGGAACACAGACTACATGTAATAAATGACTTCACACAAACACAGACTACATACAAGAAATGACTTCACAGGAACACAGACTACAGCCAAGAAATGACTTCACAGGAACACAGACTACAGTCAAGAAATGACTTCACAGGAACACAGACTACAACCAATAAATGACTTCACAGGAACACAGACTATAGTCAAGAAATGACTTCACAGGAACACAGACTACAGCCAAGAAATGACTTCACAGGAACACAGACTACAGTCAAGAAATGACTTCACAGGAACACAGACTACAGTCAAGAAATGACTTCACAGGAACACAGACTGCATCCAAGAAATGACTTCACAGGAACACAGACTACATCCAAGAAATGACTTAACAAGAACACAGACTACAACCAATAAATGACTTCACAGGAAAACAGACTATTGAATCTAACTGTAAACAACAAAAGAACTTTACTTGTGCTGGTGTTGGTTTAGCTGCTGGATCCTCTGGTTCAGTGCCAAAGGTCAATGATGTCTGTACGTTGACTGGCGTTTCATCCTCTCCCTCATCTTCAAACAGATAATAGTCTCCAGCACGAATGGCTGAAAACAAAAAATCAGCTTCAATTCATTTCAGTATCTAACAATATCAAGCCATATGCATTCATTTGTTTAAGAAAACTGTTTTTTTTATGGTTAAGCGATTATCCTTTTTTGCAAGCTGACTATCTAACCCTCCTCCTGCCCCTCCCTTGCTCTGCAGGCATGCGCAACAAACCTATCGCTATCACCCCCACCAGTCTGCTCAGCTGTAGTTCACAATATTTGGGGCAGATAATTTAATTTTTAAACTAAATTATAAATGACTGAAAAGTAGAAAATAAAACAACTAAATAGCAGTGTTTGCTACGCCGCAGTTGGCTTGTGTATACTAATTTACTTAATACATTTTTAATGAACAGTTAAAACATTCTTTAAGTGCATGACTGAAGAACAACCATGAATAAAGAACATTCATGACTAAAGAGAACAGTCAAGACATAAGAACAACCAAGACTAGAAAAACAGGCATGACTTAAGAACACTCATGACTAAAAAACACTCATGACTAAAGAACATTCATGACTAAAGAACATTCATGACTAAAGAACATCCATGACTAAAGAACATCCATGGCTAAAGAACAGCCATGACTAAAGAACATCCATGACTAAAGAACATCCATGACTAAAGAAAACCCATGACTAAAGAAAACCCATGACTAAAGAACACCCATGACTTTTACCCTGAAAGTGTTCCTCTGGTTCCTTGTAGTCTTTCTTCAGCTTGGCTTGTTTTTTCTTCAAAGCTTTCATCTGTTTCTTGATGTTGACCAGGATCTCCTTCTCCTGTTCATTCTGTTTGTTCACCTCCCTGATCATGATCCTGTTGATCAGCTCAGCTCCCCTGGTGGGACATTCAACATGAGCTTAACGTTCCACACCTTGATACATGCACATTGATTTATCACAACACAGGGATATGTTCAAGAGGCCAGGAAAATTTTTAAAGGGGCTCCCAACCTTAGTTTGAAATTTTTATTGTGCATTTTTTTCCCCATCAGAGCCTGATGATCATACTCAAATGGAAATTCCCGTGATAAAAATAATTATTTAAAAAAAATGAAAGCACTAATAGGCCAAGTACAGCACCATTCTAAGGGGTCCACTGGGGTGTTTTACCTGGGGGCCCACTGGGGTTTTTACCTAGGGGCCTACTGGGGTGTTTTACCTGGGGGCCTACTGGGGTGTTTTACCTGGGGGCCTACTGGGGTGTTTTACCTGGAGGCCTACTGGGATTTTTCCCTGGGGCCTACTGGGATTTTACCTGGTAGACCGCAGGGCCAGTCCACCACAACATATTATATAGAGATGTAGCTTTAACTTTCATACATTGATGTATTTCCACATCTTAACAAAGTAAGAGAGATCAAATAAAAAGCCTCACCGAGAGACTAAATTGTTCTGTGCTCTAAGAGATGTGACTATATGCCTGAAGTAGTAAGAAGAGTAGACACGGCGCTGGAAGAGTAAAAATGTCAGGCAGATCACATCCCATGCTAGGCCGGCATCGTCCTTCTCCACCACACATACTCCAGTAGACACTGAAAAAAGAACTCGTTCAACTTTAAGTGTTTAAAATACCAGCGGTGGACTGTAAAATAATGCATGATCACAATATTCAAAGCACATTATAAGGAAAAAATTATTACTTGTCTAAATGAAACTGTTGACAAGATTTTTTAACGATATGTTCCTGGTTAAGAAAAAAGTGTGTAAAAATGTAACTGGTTTATACAAGTGTCATCAGTGAAGGTTTTATCCTCATCTCTTACCTGGGGTCTGGACACCAGCAAGCAGACAGTTGACCCCAAACAGTTGAACCAGCCAGCACTGGTGGTTGTCTATCAGCTGTGCTACATACACGCACCCTATCAGCTGCGGGGATAAAAATTTTGAATGTTTTAAAAGATAATAAAATAATTTCCTTTTGAAAGTAAAACCAATGACTTAAAAGATAAAATAAATCCTTAGTGGCTAAAAGTTTTTAGTTGTGAATCATTTCTGTACAGATTTTTAATGTTAATTCTAGAGTTGATTTACGTGGAAGTAAACAAGAGTCTGAATGATCCTACCTGCAGTGTCGTCTTTAGAAACAATACTAGGATGCAGTACATTATAAGGAAATTCCACCTGTTGATTGCAAAGTTATTAACTTAACATGGCTTTTAAGATTTTAAAAATATTATTAAAAACAAAATTTATTGTGCTTTGTGTCACTACTATTATTACTCCTAACAATCACATTAGTCTGATATGATAACTTTAAACAAAGGAGTCAGGTTTGATACAATAAGTCACTAGTCTGATATGATAACTTTAAACAAAGGAGTCAGGTTTGATCCCACAAGTGACTCACATTAAAAGCATTTTCCTGATGGGCTTGAGGAAGAGCTCCTTGCCGTACCACATGAAGCAGAAGACAGCTATGACATAGAACAGGGAGAAGATGTTTATCCTTGTGGCCCCAGTGATGAAAATAACTGCCATTGTAACCCAGAACATGTTTTCAAAGATGAAGTACTTGAGCAGGTTGATCCCTTTCCTGTGGTGGAAGGTCAGAATTCAAATCATATTAGATAAAAAAAAAATCTTAGGACATTGATTTCTGTTATAATAATTTAAAACATGTTAATTTTATGAAATTCAGATAAATTAGGACTTAAGTTCTGTTGCTTGAAGTTTTATAAAATAAAAAAATAAAAATTACATTAAGCAAGTTTCATTAAAAAAATAAATAAAAATGAATACAACTTTAAATAAAGTTAAGGCCTGTGTATAATAATTTATAACCATTCAAGTAGTGTATAGTTTAAAAGCTTACGTTGTGTCAATGGTAAAATCATCACATAAAATTGGCTTATTGGCCTCCACATCCTCCACAATATCAGCATTATCTCCCCCTCCAAAAGCTTCCATTTTTTCATGGTCTGCCTCTAGGTGGAACACAAAGGACTGGAGGCTGACAAATAAAAGCTGCAGGAGGTCAGCTGGGGACACAAGAAAAACAAGATCAGCTTAGCTACAGATGTGCTGGGAACAAAGGTAGAATGAAATGACCTGGGACTTCATTCATTTAGCAAAAAAAATGCAAGTGTAGAAGAATAGAAATGTACAGAGTAGCAAACAAAGGACTACTAACCAACTAGTTTAGAAGAATGTGGAGAGGCCACATAATCAGGTAAAAATAGCCACTGCTTCAAATTATTAGAAACAGCATTGTCCATTATCCAAGGGTAATCTGTAGAAAAAATATTTTTATTTCTAATTGAAGAATTAATTAAAAAACATACCAAAGTTTTATTTAAAAATAGTTTTTTTACAAGTCTGTTAACAGAAACTAACTAAAGAAGGCAAAATTAAATTTTTCTCAGAAGCATAAATATTTTTTTCTCACAAGCATAAATGCTTTTTTCTGACAATGTCAGTATTGCAATATTATAGTTACCAATGCATAAACCAGAGGGAAAGCCGAGGACCACAAAAAACTGGACAGCTAGGAGCACAGCCAGGAAGAGTTTGTAAATGGGCCAAACTCTGGCTATGTTACGCCTCGACTGCATAATAAAGCAGGCAACAACTAAGATGTAGAGTACAGCAATAACATCCACTCTGATACTAACAGTTACGGCAGTCATGATATAACAGCACTGAAATTATAAACATTATACATGATATAACAGTACTATTTGTCATGGAACATTCACATTAAATGTGATGTAACAGTACATAAATTTATAGATTATTAATGATATTAAACTAATTACTATGAAAATTATTCCCTCCCTATCAAAAGGTGAAATTATTAGCATTAAAAAAAATGTATCCACAAACCTCCAGTCCAAATTTATAAAAGAAGTAATTGGCAAAGAACATGGTACACCTCACAATGCCCTTGTCCGCATCATTGCGTGTTATGGAAGCAAAGATGATGCCTGTTTGTGGCTTTGTGATATTACTTTGATTGAAATATTGCTTCTGATGGTATCTAATGATGCTCTCAAATGCTATCAAAACCATAATCAAGAGATACAGCTGAAAAATAAATGTAAAAAAGATCTGTAAACAAATATTAGTTGCTGTATAATCTTTAAAAAAAAGTTTTTGAATATGAATTATTTATTGTTTAGTATACTTAACAAAAATTAGAACATAATTACAAATGAATTACAAAATGTACTTTTTCAAATATCAATGATAAAAAGGAAGTGAAATCAAAGTTTTAAAACACTTACACGAAGATAATGTGCGAGGGAGGTTCCCTGACTGTCAATCTTCATCAGCCCAAACCACAAGGCATTATCTGTTTCCACTGTTGAGTTCACTGTGCCATTTACACCATAAATTTCCTGAAAGTGTGGTTAAAATTGGTGAATCACTGCAGGCAAAATACACAAATGGCAGATATTTTAGGACTGCAGTTGTCTTAAATAACCCCATTAAAAATACGAATGAAAAAGTGGGGACATATTTGCAAGATAGCCTCTTTAGATGTGCCTTAATGAGCATAGTTGCTTTACAGATATGGGTTTTACAGTAAAATAATTGGAACAGACAAGATCTTTCTTAAATTAACACTACAGTGCAACATATTTGATAATAAAATACTATATTTTGAGAAGGGGAAAGTGCTTGCAGTTGTGTGAAGGTGTGGGGGCCAAAATTATAGATGTAGGAGCCATTCTTATAGGCATGTGAAAGTGTAGTGCCATACTTAATGGTGTGTGAAGGTGTAGTGCCATACTTAATGGTGTGTAAAGGTGTAGTGCCATATTTAAAGGTGTGTGAAGGTGTAGTGCCATATTTAATGGTGTGTTAAGGTGTAGTGCCATACTTAATGGTGTGTGAAGGTGTAGTGCCATACTTAATGGTGTGTGAAGGTGTAGTGCCATACTTAATGGTGTGTGAAGGTGTAGTGCCATACTTAATGGTGTGTGAAGGTGTAGTGCCATACTTAATGGTGTGTGAAGGTGTAGTGCCATACTTAATGGTGTGTGAAGGTGTAGTGCCATACTTAATGGTGTGTGAAGGTGTAGTGCCATACTTAATGGTGTGTGAAGGTGCAGTGCCATACTTAATGGTGTGTGAAGGTGTAGTGCCATAATTAATGGTGTGTGAAGGTGTAGTGCCATACTTAATGGTGTGTGAAGGTGTAGTGCCATACTTAATGGTGTGTGAAGGTGTAGTGCCATACTTAATGGTGTGTGAAGGTGTAGTGCCATAATTAATGGTGTGTGAAGGTGTAGTGCCATACTTACTGGTGTGTGAAGGTGTAGTGCCATACTTAATGGTGTGTGAAGGTGTAATGCCATACTTATAGGTGTGTGAAGGTGTAGTGCCATACTTAATGGTGTGTGAAGGTATAGTACTTACAGTACAGTTGGTCTTCCAATACTTGGTCTCAACCAAATTGAGCTGGTAAATCATCTTGGCTAGGATGATGACAACCGTCCAGAACTGGGTTAGATGGGACAAGAACAAATGGGCTTTTGGGATGGGCAGGAGGATGGACAGGATCAGCACATACACGGCAGTCAAGGCAGAAACCTGGCAGAAAGATATCAGTTCAAATTTAGAGTATACCTATTGAGTTATAAAAATATTATTTCCTTTCCTATATATATATATATTATACAAAACATAAGTTCACAAAATTTTCTTCCCTAGAAATGCAACTGTAAACATTTCTCTCCCCTACCTCATTAGCTGCAACAACAATGATAATCAGACAGATGAGCTTGAAGAAGTGAATCTCTCCAAGTCTCCACAGCTTTAGTGTGAATCTGTTCCACTGTTCCAAGCCTCTCAAGATGTGCCTCTTCAACCAGTTCCTGGTACTGTGTCCTGTAACAAAGTTGTTCAAGTAGTTATACTTTTATAAATAAGTTTTTCAGGTAGTCATACATTAAAAAATACTTTTTTTTTAGGTAGCCATACATTTACATTTAAAAATATTTTTTTTTAGATAGTCATCCTTTCAAAAAAATTGTGAGAAAATTGATAGTCATTATTGCATTTTTAACATTAATATTAGAATGTCATGCTTATATTTCTTTGTGAACCATGCTCACATTAGGTAGTCATTGTTATATTTCTGAACTATTTCAAAAAATCAGAAAGAAAAAAGTTGTGGAACAAACTTTTGCTGGAGGTTTGTGCTGCTGAATTGTTCTCATCCTCATCTTCTGTCATGTTCTGGGCCAGCCTCTCGTCATCTGTTTGGTTGAGGTTCACATCTTCTGGTGTTTGTCTATAGAGGGTACAAAGGTCAGACTGCCATCACAGGTGACTTCATTAGCATATGGGCTAATTACATTTATTGTAATTAATAACCTTGCATGTGTAGGTATGTTGGATTTACATTCAACTGTCTAAAACCCCTAAGCTAAAGTAAGAGCTTACGTATATCTGTTTATATCCCTGAGCTTGTAAAATAGCTAACATGCAGCTGTCTAAAACACTGAGTTTTTGTATGTGTGCTAATGAGCTTACAGGTATCTGAGCTTATGTAAGAGCTTGCATGTATCTGTCTAAAGCACTGAGCTTAAGGAAGGGGTGGTGGAAGTATCTGAGCTTATGTAAGAGCTTACATGTATCTGTCTAAAGCACTGAGCTTTTAAGGAAGGGGTGACTTATATAAGAGCTTACATGTATCTGTCTAAAGCACTGAGCTTTTAAGGAAGGGGTGACTTATATAAGAGCTTACATGTATCTGTCTAAAGCACTGAGCTTTTAAGGAAGGGGTGACTTATATAAGAGCTTACATGTATCTGTCTCAAGCACTGAGCTTAAGGAAGGGGTGGTGGAAGTATCTGAGCGTATGTAAGAGCTTACATGTATCTGTCTAAAGCACTGAGCTTTTAAGGAAGGGGTGACTTATATAAGAGCTTACATGTATCTGTCTAAAGCACTGAGCTTAAGGAAGGGGTGATGGAAGTATCTGAGCTGCAGGATGACAAAGACCAGGAAACTTGTTGGGGTCAGCAGCTTCACAAACAGGCCGGTCGTGTCGTACCTCTCCAGGCCGATGTCTTTCAGCCTAAACATTTAAACATCATTTTTTTTTTAAAGCCTTCAAGAATAAAATAAACTCAAATTCAGCATTTAAAAATATCTCACTAGATATTTTGTAAAAGGTTCAACAAATCAATATAAAAAATATGAATTGCTAACTGGAGTTTTTTAAGCAGAGAATCAGGAAAAAAAACTAGAAAAAAGGTCAGGTCAGACAGCCACCACAAAGTACTTCATTAGCATAAGAGCTAATTATATTTATTGTAATTAAAACTTTGTGTGTGTAGGAATGTCAGAGTTTACATTCAAATGTCTAAAAGAAAAAGACATTTATAGAGGTATTAAGAACTGATGAAGATTATGTTAAATTGTATTTTAGTTTGTCTGGTTTTTATTTTTGTATAATAAAAAAATTAACTAGGACTGAAACAAAAATAATCCTTAAAAGATTGGTTATGTAAAATTTGAAACATCAATAAACAGTCACACTTTAAAAAAATAAAAGGCAATTTAATTTTCTTAAACAAATTGTAAAGGAATCAATTTACGTGAAGCAATTTGTTTAAATCTTTTTCCCATTGTAAATAATCAATGAAATTCATCTGAGTGGACAGCATCATCTCTATCATCTATATATATAATTATCCTCTTCGAGCCGTTAGAAAACAAGCTGCAAACGCTCTCCCTACCTCCCCACCCCTACGTGGTTTTAGTGAGCTGTGTTCACTCTAAATGTTTACAAGCAGAGCCAACGATTTTAAACGTAGGGGGGGGGGGGGGGGGGAAGGAAGGGGGGGGGGGTTATGGTCCTTAACGAGCTACTTATAGTGTTTTAAAGAAATATTTTCAGTGTCAGCGTTGGTACTGTCGAATTCACAAATTATGAATTATTGAAAATTAGAAACAACTAAATAGCGGCGTATGTTACGCCGCGGGCCGGCTCGTTAAGACTAAACAGCTGAGACAAGAGACAAATGACACAAACAGCCAAGACAGCAGCAGGAGACATCAAGTGACTTACAGCTCTTCATCAAAGCCTGTCAGACTGACCCAGTAGTTTTTGAACTGTTCAAACTGGTACGTGTAGATCAGGATCAGCACCAACATGGAGTAGATTACCACAATCCACCAAAACATGTAATTTGCTGTCCGCCAGACCTTATAGTTATACTGAAATAAAAAATGTTAAAAAATACAATGGGAGGAAAGTTTATGACAGAAAATTTAAAACTGTTACTATTCTGAGGCAGTAGGCAAATGAAGATAAAGGAAAGCCCACATTTTAATTGAGACAATAAATATACTTTAAAATAAAGAGTTGGTGTATACTTAAGTACATGACAAGATTCTCATGGGTTAAAAAGTCAGCTTATGTCAGAAAATACAGTACTTGTGCTGGGATTTCTTAAGTATCAGTGTTATTACTTTTAAAGTTCTAGTTGTAGAACTTTAGATATACTAATAACCAGAGTAGTACTTCTAAAGTAATAACATACTGATTTCTTAAGTGCTAGTTTTATTACCCAAGTTCTTGTACAATAACTTCTAAAGCACTACTAGAGTTCCAGAATTAAATATCACTGATAACATCTGAGTACTAGTACAATAACTTGTACAGTAAAAACAAGTGGTCTGGTGTAAACTAACCTGGAAGAGCAGCACAAAGAAGAGGAACAAGAACATGTAGATGATTCTGTAGATGACCACGTCCTGCAGGGAGATGATGGCCATCATGATGGAGCAGAAGATGATCCAGTACTTGCAGAAAAGCACCCACAGGAAGTTCCCTGTACAGCCAAGGCAAACAGTTAGCAAGTATTGGGACATGAGGAGCCTGCATCAATTAGTATACAACTGGACCACTGGAGCATGTACTACCACAACATAGTGTTGATGACTGTGGTGAACAGCTGACATAAATACTTATGTAGAAATTTATAAGTTAGTTTAAAGCTTACAATAAGTAGCATGCAAATACATATTTTAGCTTATCAAAACATCAAAAACAATTATTTTCTTTTAAAAATTTAAGTCTGACTATTAGTACAAATTATCAAACTGTTGGATGAAATTACTTTTAACATTTAATTAAAAACAAACCCAACATTGCAGGGAGGTAATAAGCTTTTTGAAGTTTTTAAGTAAGAAAGAAGAGAGCATGCAAAAGTGTGAGGAGTATTGTCTTCAGCTATTTTAAAATGGTTTTGGCCTAAAAATATCAAAGCTTTCTTATATGAACATGATTAACTTTAAAAGCATCCACACTCCACACTTATTTGCAATCAATTAATAACTGGCAAACAGCTTAATTAGCACAAAGAGCCAATAAAATAAAAACAGTAAACAAAAATGATTTGTTTGGTTATCTTATGATAAAATTTCAAAAATTATAATAGTTTTAAAAAATGATGTGATGATGGTGTTTGCTTGAAGGTGAGTAAGTAGAGGGTTGACCACCCACAGGAGGTGAGTAAGTAGAGGGTTGACCACCCACAAGAGGTGACAAAGACTGTGAAACATCAGACTCTGAGCCTTACATGGTATTGACCCCATGCTAAGTCATTCAGCCAAGTGAAAGGGAAGCAACTACAGAACTTTTAAAAGTTAAATTGAAAAATAAATTAATTTCACTTAAATCGCTATTTATTTTTAGACTTTTTAATCAAATTTATATTTTTCAGAAGATCTGCAGCAGTTACTATTGTTTTAAATGCGCATGGCTCAAACCGGGAAAAAATCCAGAAGTTTTATTTAGTCAAAAAACTAGATATCTACTGCATGCAGAAAAATATACTTATCATATATACATACATTTATATATATATATATATATATATATATATATATATATATATATATATATATATATATCAAAAGATATATTTAAAATGTAAGTATTTATTAGTACAAGCACTAGAATAAACTAACAAAAGCATTTAACAACGAATTGGATAGCGATGCACACTACTTTTACTACAACAAATACCCCAAGCTTTATTTTTAATAGACTAAGGTGATGGGAAACTTAAATCAACAGCTGAATGGAAAACTTGAAGGGAGGTGAAAGATATGGTAAACCAAAGGAAGGGACACAACACAAGGACATTAAGTTAAGTTTACACCAACTAACCACATTTGAAGAAGAACAAATAAAACAGTTTGTTGTTGTTGAGCTGCAAGAAGCCTTGGCTGATTGAGATTTGAATGGCAAGGTGAAGGCAAAACAAAAATTCCTAATGTGACTCACGACAAATTATAAATACTACAAGCAACTCTATTTTTGTTGTTGGTTCTAATACCTCTGACAAAGCTTTTGGTGAAGAAGTGTTTTTTTAACTATAAAAAGCCTTACTTTAAATACAGAATTACATAATAAATTCCATACATTTGTGGATACTGCCTTATGTCAGTAATGTTATTGGTTTTACAGGGATTTTAATTCTTAAAACTTTGGAAAAAATTAATAAGGGGGATAAAACAAAAGGTAAAAAAAAAAGGTAAACAAAATTTGATTGTAAACAAAACTTGTTCATAAACAAACTTTGTCTATCAACAATTCAAACATTGCCCAAAACAAAACGGTATGGAATTATTAATTCTTCACAGCGGACAGGGTGTAATAAAAACTGAAAACTATCAAACAAAAAAAAAATATTTTCAGCGGCGTATGCAGAGCCTTCCTACCTATAAACACCATAGTCTTGCTGTCGTACATGCGCTCTTGTAAATCCAGAGATACTGAGGACGTTTTTAAGAAAAATAGCACACAGAGTAAGACAATGCTAAACATAGTTCTAACCTACAGCTCAGGAGGGTTTGGATCAGGATTAATCTGTAAATGTATTAGTATGCTATGCAAACTCACAACATCAATAGGAACAACATTGCCAATGCTCATTTCACAGCTGAAAACTTCTGTTCAATCGTTTAATTCATATTCATTCTCTTTTGGGATATTCTAGTACCAATATACATTTTTTAAACATATGGCAGTTACATTAAAATATTTATTTTTAAGATTTGTAAGGATAAAACAACAAAGTTAATGTAACAGCATTGGCATTGCTTTCATGCAGTCACTAACAATTTTTAAAAAGAGCCAACAAATTACTATCATTAACAATAGAAATAGTATAACATTTTAGAGAAACAAACCAATATTACAAACAATAAAAGCATTATTCATGCTTTTCTTAAAGCCATTCCAGAGAAATGCTCAAATTCTGTGTCAAATATTAAATTGTAGATGCATGGGTTAGTCATTAATTTAATCAAAGAGTTATTGGAGATGTAACAGAAGGCAATGTATGTGTTCATCAATTTAAAGTAAACAGCTGAATGATTGGCAGTTATCAGTTACAAAACTGTATTCAAAGTAAGATAACCAGGAGTTTTATGGCCAGTGGATAAAAAAAAGTTCCCACAAAGATAGTTTGATTTTTAGAAAGTACCAACAAAAAGTTTGATTAATTCACACACCCGATGTCATACATAAATGTTTCCCTTGTAACATTTTCACATGCATATTTTAAAAATACATTACAATGTATTCATTTTATTTTTATCAGTTTTAAATATTCTTCAAATGTAGACTAAAATGTTTCAACTTCACAAGAACCACGGTTTTAATATACAGGGAGGCGATCAACATAAATTACCACAAATTGAAATAATTTTTATCTTTAAAAAATATTTTAAGGTTTGCAATTATTTATTTTTTAATGTATATGGATTGGAATACTACTGCATAAGACAAATAATGTTAAAATGTGTAAGAATTATTTATTGACTGAAATGTGAGAAGTGTTAGGGAAATGTGTGGTTAATTAAACCAGCAGGCTCTTGTTATCCCCATTCAGGAGTAAGTATGGGATAAAACAGGAGAAAATATTTTCCCTTAGCTATAAAACTTTACCTTTAAATTCTACACATTGAATAGCAAAAAATAAAAAGATAACAAATATTTAAATAAGAAATAAACTTAGAATTGAAAAGGATGTCACATTTTGTAAACTGAGTTTTTTGTATTCAGTATTAAAATTATTACAAGCCCAAATCTTTTTGTTTAAATTTTATTTTTTCATGCACTCCAAATAACTTTTTTTTCCAAATAATCAGGAAAAGCTGCACAACATTAGCTCAAATTTGTGATTTTTAATGTAGATCAAATGACCTAACACCAATGGAATATCCAATCAATGGTTTAAGTAAGGACAAATATAACAATTTAAAATCATTTTAAAAAGAGAAACAGCAAGAAATAGAAAACGCAGACTTAAATGTAGACTTAATCAACTAGAAAAAGTTGGTTGATGTGTATGTTTTTGAATGTTTGATTCATTTTTTTAACCATTAATGTATATTTTTTTGAAACACCAGTAAATGAGATTAACACATGTTACACATTTTTAAAATATAAATAACATAAAATATCAGGTTATCTTTTAAAACTGCAACATTTTAAATTTTTTTTAAAGTTTGGATACTCTGTGGTAAAAGAATAAATAACATTAACCTTACTCATTCTTTGTCTTAAAAGTTTAATCTATGATATAGCAGTATTACTACAGAAAATACATGTAGGCTAGGCACTTTAACATCAGCTCTGGGCATGTTTAATGTATTGTATCAGTATGTTTGTGGCTGGATATTTTTCAACAAAGTCAACGATTCTAGGATCTATTCAACATCTTAACTCAGTATGTTCTGTATAGGACAATACCCAGTAAAATGATAGCATTTTAATCAGCTTTTAAAATGGTCTTTTATTGTATTTATAAAAATAGAGAGGTAGTAATTAAAAACAAATTGTTTTCACCATGAATAAAATACCTGGAACTAGAACATTTTACAAAGATTTGTCAGTAAGAATTTGAAATATATTCATTTTTAAATAAAAGAGCTGATTATTCTAGTAAACTGAACTTAAAATAAAGAAAAGTTTTTTTTACTTACTAAAAGTTTCAAAGATGGAATGACGTTTGGAGGCAATTTCAAGAAGAATGCCGGGAGGTATTTCCTCAGAGTTCCGCCTCTGTTCACTGAAGTACTGCCTCAAGGCCAACACAAGGAACATTGTGTACAGACACTGGTCAAGATAAGAACAAGGTCAAGACACGTTCATGTTAAAGTTTTAAAATAAGAAAAGTCACTGCATAATAAAAAAAATACAATTTACAAAAATACACTACCTAAGGGTCAGATACAGAGATGTGATCAGATAGTGGGAAAAAAATCAGGCAATTTCTCAGAACAGACTGAAAAAGCTTTTTGGAGTGTATTGTAATAAAGCACTCTGGCTCTGTTATCATACTAATTAAGGACTTGATATAGCCAATATATTAATAAAAGAGGTTTTATTTTATTCTAAGAACAGACAGCATAGAAATAATAATTTTTAATTTAATTTTTTTTAAAGATAGCCTAATTTCAAAATTAAAATAATTTTTTCCAACTTTAAACAAATTCAGAATGCAATAAAACTATTTGCAATCCTACTTGACAGTGACACAAGCTTAGAAGTCAGTGGCTTATAGCATATGTCAAGGCATGAACAACTGCTATTTGAGATTGCCAGTGAAATCATTTTTATTTTTCCCTGATCCAAGTAGCATCAAACAGGTACTCATGAAAGTTTAGGAATCAGCAAATGTTGCTGTTAGCCTACTAACAAATAGTCACATTATGAAAAGATTTCAAAATTTATTTGAGGTTCCAAAATTAAATTGAAAGCAGTGGGAAATGGCAGAGGAGGTTGCTAACACATACTACAGCTTTAAAAAAAGCTGATAATAAAATACCAGTAGATTAATTATAGACTATGCATGAGAGATTAATGGTAAAGAAACCAGGCCCAGATTAAATTTTCTTTCAAGATCAGCAGCATTTGAAACATACTTTTTCTGATAACTGTTTTTGTTGAAAATATGTAACTGAAAAATTAATAAATTTGCAGAAATTCTAGAGAGATAGTAAGAATTGCTAACTTGTAATGCGATGTTAATGCTAGGATCCACAAATCTCTTAAGGCCGATCTCATCCAGTTTGTAGGCGCCTGCGTTTTTGGGCAGCTCATCGTTCAGATCCATACCAAAGATGTACTGCGCTAACAGCAAGAGCTCAGCGTAGAGGAGGATCAATGGGGAAGCTCGTAGGCACCATGTTCTTGAGTTGGGCATCATCCATAGCAGACAGGCAGTGAGCAGGAAAGCAAATGTCAGCCATGAGTGGTATGTGATGCTCCAGACCTGTGCAAGTAACGATAAGTACCAATTAATAATAAGAAGAAGTACAACGAAGAAATTTAGTACACAGCAGGAATATCAAGATGTGAGGAGATCAGGTAACAAAAAAAATTAATGCAGGCATAAATAAAGAAAATCAAACCATTTCAAGACCTACCATCATGGCTATGAGAGACAGGACATAACTCTGCTTCATGATGACATAGACAATGGACATCCATGGTCTCCTCTTGGTCTTCTCGTCATCTGGACAAGACATTGTGGACACCTCAACAGTGTTGTTAGATGGACGCTCTTCAACGCCCCCATACCTCCCTCCAGGGGGCTCCTCATTCTCCACCAGACGCTAATAGATGAGATTTGTTTTTTTAAATAATCAACAAGATGAGTTAGTAAAATATTTTGTCAGAAAAATTTGTGACAAATAATACATTAGAAAGTTTTACTAAATTCAAAATTTAAATAAAATTAGCCACAGGAAATTAGCTAAAATACTATAAAAAAATCAACCGTTTTATCAGCATTGTAATACCACAAAACTGAAAACTGATATAAATGATTGTTAATCAATTTTTTTCTTATAAGTAAAATAAAAAAAGCTTCTAGCAGTACACAAGAAACCCTAAGGGAAAGAACTGGTAAGATTCTTCCTAAAGTAAAAAATAGTCATGACTGCTCAAAGAGAAACCTCATATTTGTCTCATTGGTAGCTGCAAAAAGAACAGCTATAAAAATTAAGATCATTGGATATAAGGTATTTGGACTAATTCAAATAATATCTATTGAAATTTATTAAGAAAAGCATATTATAATAGAGCAGTGAATTTAGAAATTCATGCAGTGATTATAAAGTTGGATACTTTTATTTTATAGATAGCACAGAAATAATGAGCTTTATAGTGAAGATGAGAATGCAGGCACATATGTTAAGATTACAACAGAAATAAAATGTAAATCTTGATGTTCATCTATTTTAAATATGGAGTTATTTTGGAAAAATATGATAAAATGCTATGTTTTGTATAATCTATGTAAACTGTAGAAACATACATTATCCTCGATGCAGATGAGAGAAACACACATGCAATCATAATGATGCATAAGAAAGAATATTACTAAAATAAAAATTGCTTAAAGAACATTGTTGAATTGCAAGGCATACTAAATCAAAATGCAAAAATAACCCTAAATTTTGTATACTTTAAATTAGTATCTAAAAGAAATAACAAAGATTTTACATCATGCAATTATTCTTTTCCATTTGAATAATCAAGTCTAAAATCTAAAAATAATAATAAAACAGTCGTTGGCAACCTTTAAACTGAAGAGCCAAGTAGACAATTATAACTGGAAAAAATATTTAGCTAGCCTCAGTCAACGGTAGATTGGGACTTCTTATGTACACAACATGTGTGGTAATCATAGGTTTCTTTAAAACTTAATTCAAAAACTACAATAAAATAAAATAATTTTTTTTAAAATAACGCTTTGGAGGCTTGCACACAAATAAATCAAGATTTGACAAGATTTTTACAAGACTATAAGAGTTGAACAGATGTTAGATTTTTGTTTTAACAGACAAAACAACCACACATTACAATTACAACACGGCTCTAATTTTACAGGTAGCCAATAACTGTGTTTAAAACATGCAAGGATATTAAGAGTACATAATACGCCTTCAAACATGCACTAATGCAGGACACAGTTACAATACATATACATCTAGGCAGTTACCACTTCATGAACACAAGGCTTGAAAAAATTGATCAGACAATCTGCAAATTAATTGTAAGCAAGGCAACAGTAAATTGACTACAAGACTGTATGCTCATGTCCATGCAAACTATTCACAGCAGTGTAGTATTGATGCCAGGCTGGTACAAAGCTGAAACTTTCAACAGTCAAGGCACTCAGAGGTTAATATTTACTAACAGCATTAATAAGTGGAGCAGCAAACATAAATGCTTGTTTGCAAAAATATTGCCCAGTACAAAATAGCCTTTTAAAAAAGACACTTTTAAAATGGATGAATAAAAGCATTTTGTTTTTTTATCACATTAATAAAAAAAACTTGCAAAAAAGGCCAAACTAAAAATATAAATACAAAGTTTTATACTTAGCAATATTTTTGGACAATGTGGCATATTGGGCAAATAATCAAACACTGACATAGCAATGTTTTTGGACAATGTGACACATTGGGCTACATTCAAACACTGACAATGTGGCACATTGGGCAACATTTCAACACTGACAATGTGGCACATTGGGCAACGTTCAAACACTGACAATGTGGCACATTGGGCAACGTTCAAACACTGACAATGTGACACATTGGGCTACATTCAAACACTGACATAGCAATGTTCACCTCAGGTGTAGAAGGACGACCAGGCTGTGAAGGTAAATAGAGATAAACAGAGATAAGAAAAAAGAAACTACTCCAAACCAGCTCTACGGGGTTATCCATCACCACTAAACATAGATCACATGATCATGCAAGCATCAGACATCACCCACTTATTCCTGCTGGCTTGTCTCATCTATGACATTTTTTAATATTATTATTTTAAAATATTATTTCCCGATGCTCATTTTTAAACATAGGGTTTGTTTAGAATATAGTTATTTCATTTCTTCCTTGACTACAAATCTTATTTGCCTTTAAAGTGGTAAATTAAAAAGCCCAACTCTCCACCTTTCTAAGAGGGAAATAAGCTCTGCAATTCAAACTTCTGTCAAGGCTCCTATAAAATAGGCAAATAGCCCTAAAACATTACCTGTATTAAGTCTCAGCACACAACTCAAGTTATGATTATAATGATAATCCTAATTAAGGGTTTATCTATAAATTATGCCACACTGTATTATGTCTCAACACACAACTCAAGTTATGATTATAATGATAACCCTAATTAAGGGTTTATCTATAAATTATACCACACATTTGTGACAATGTCCTACTTGGGGAAAAGTGAAATTCAAGAAAAGTGAATCACTCTATTTCACTCTTTTTAAATTAATAGAAAACACAGTCATTTTCATTTGAGGATCTTTTATTTAGTCTGCTATTTTTGCAGAGACATGTGATATTGGGTTAAAATACTGTGTTACATCATTTATAGACAATCCATAAATAAAAATCACTATTCCCCTTAATAATTTTCTGAACAAAAAGTATTTGAACAGTAGGCTGAAAGTTAACAGGCCCAAAGCAAACAAGACAAGTGATTTGTTAGACTGGAGTGATAGCAACAGGAAGTAACAGCATGCATACAAAGTGTCCAAGAATGCAGCCTTCACTGAAGTAATTCTTGTCTCATGCAGTCTTTTCAAGATATAAAATACAATTATTAAAATGTACAATGTCTAGATGTGATAGCACCTTCATAGTAATCACTCACTGCCTAATACTCACCAATTTAAATGTCACATTTCTTCAAAAAGCAAATTATGGAATTTTAATGGTAATATGGTCAATAGTAATTTTTTAGAATAAATAAATTAAATAATATGTCCAAAAAATAAATAAAAACAACATAAATTCAATGAAGCTCAATGTAACTTTTTCCTCTTCTTGCTATTCTTTTCCCAGCTTTCATTATGGAGAAATTATTTGTTTACACAGGTCTGGAATCTTTATTAGCCCTATAGATAACTAAGCAGAGCAGACTAAAGCCACTGGCAACCTACTTACTGATTGGCTTAGCACTAAGGCAATGGAGGGGTGAACCAGTGTATTCAACTTTAAATGATTTCGCTACAGAATTGATCAACTCAAAAAGCAGTTTTTTTCTCTATTTAGTCATGAGCTATTTAAAAACTCCAGTTTTTAACTTCAACTGCTAATTAAGTTTTAATGATGTAAGTAAAAATATTTTTAAAAATGTATCTTAAAAAGGGATTGTGAGGACAACTTTCTGGTTGTACCCACATTTTAGCTAATGAATTTAAATATGCAGCTTAGCAGATCCATTCCAAGATTTAAAAAAAAAACAAAAAAAAACAAGACTTTTTAAAGCAATGATTCTTTAGCTACGGAATTTATTTATTTTTTAAATAAGAAGTAAATAATGCAAAAAAAAAATACTTCAAAGAAAATTTTGAAGCAAGCTACTAGATATCATTAGTTTCTTTTAAAGAAAATTTTTAAGAGAATAAAATGTTTAAATACTACTGACTATAAAAAGTTAAATAAAATATACACAGACACCTTCAATATATGCAATTGCTTAAAAAAAAATGATGTGTTTGTTTTGTGTTATTTTTTACAAATCTGCTAAACATGCTATTAAAGGTTAAAAACAGCACAACAGCTACACGTTTAAATGAAAAATTTGAAAGGTGTAAGAAGCAAAACTAGTGAAAAATAAATTTGATAAGCTATAAGCTACTTTATTTCACTTTCTAAACTACGCCACACAATGAATAAAAAAAATTCAAAACCATAGGTATAGAATAAAAACATGCATGCCAATTGTCACATCAAAGTAAAAAATATAAAAACAATTAAAACAGGTTGCAGAAAATCTATTTATCGACGTGTTAGTAACTTTACAAAATAAAGAAGGCTATGTGTTTTGTAGAGCAGAGTAAGATTGAGTACACACAAATCAAGCCCACGCAGCTACTAGAAGCACGGGAAAATCTCACCTCATCTTCGCCGCCATCATCATCCCCTTCGAATGATCCAGAGAACACCATACTCCCTGTCTGATTGGTTAAAACAGTGCAGGCACATGAGAACATTGTTTACACCAAAGAAATGAAGATGTAGCCAAGGTAGGCTATAGGTGTAGCAAAGAAAGGCTAACGATGTCAGTCAGGTTGTTGAGAGTTAAAATATGGTGGAAGAAAACCTTCTTCAAACCCCAGTATACAGCTGAAACCCTAAAACTACAGTATAAAGCTGAAACCCTAAAACTACAGTATAAAGCTGAAACCCTAAAAACTGATTTCAAACCGCAGTATAAAGCTGAAACCCTAAAAACTGATTTCAAACCCCAGTATAAAGCTGAAACCCTAAAAACTGATTTCAAACCCCAGTATAAAGCTGAAACCCTTAAACAGCTGAAACGGTAATAATGCTATATTTGAAGTTTGAACTTATCACAGCAGTTTTATTAAACGTTCTCAAATCATAGTAATGTGGATAAAATTGTATGAATCCAAAAAAAAAAGCAGCTCCTTAATTAAGGGAGTAACTATACTTAAAATGTTTTGTTGGAATTTTTCTAATCACTGTTTTTTGTGTCTTTTTGTATCTATACTTGCTACTAAAATCTTATATTTTATTTTGAAGAATGTACAAGCACACCCATAACAGACCTTTCCATGTCTACTTTTAGTGTTTCAAACCATGCATAATTGAAGTTGTTATAAAACTTAAATAATTTTCCACTAACAAGTCAACTTAAATAAAATAATGACCTTAAAACACCCATGTAATTAATTTAAAAAAAAAAATAACTCTTTTGTTTTAATGAAAATTGGATAAAATGAAAAAAAAAGTTTTAATACACAAGAATATATTCTTTAGATTTATCATATTAGGCACATGCACTCTTCAAGATAGAAGATACTGTTTTCTATCTGCCTGTTTGGTCAGATCTGATAATAGAAAAAAAATCCACATAATCATTTCCTTAATATCAGAGTATTCATTATGTGAACAAAGCTTTTGAAGCCAAGATGTTACAAGTTAAACCCCTAGTCCAGGTACAGTGTGTTAACAAACTGTCTCAGACAGGTTTCTATGACAACCCAAGTCCAGGTACAGTGTGTTAACAAACTGTCTAAGGCTGGTTTCTATGACAACCCATGTCCTAGTAGAGTGTGTTAACAAACTGTCTCAGGCTGGTTTCTATGACATGCTGTTTTCTTTTTGTACTTAAAAAGTTAATAGTCCGAGCTAAGATTCAGTACTATCATTCAACTAGGCTCAAGATTAGTACAATTTTTCGACAACATTTAACTAAAACTTGAAAGGGTAATTTTTTTCTGAGCATTCATGTTAAGTCACATCCATACCCTTTACAATTATTTCAGGGATCTAATGTTATGTTGGTTAATGTTAAGCATGCCATTTTATTTTAGCTGCTGTATGTTGACATTTTGTTTTACACAATCACAACTATTATTTTATTTTTAAATTTTAGTCTTTTTATAAACAACTACGCTGAAGACAAGTCAAGTGGGAAGGAGGGAATAAATTAATCTCCTCTTTAAACAAGCGCAACTCCATTCCTTAAGAGCTACATATGGGAAAGCCTAGTGATCAACTGAAAAGGTACTCAACCTCGCTATCTATACAGCGCTTGGGCTCATCCCACTGTGGAAAATGTGGAGTATTTTACTTGGTTTATATTAAAATATTTTTTTACCAACTAAAAGAGAAATATTATTATCTATTCAATGTAGATTTGAAAAAAAAAATTATTATTTAATTCCATAGTCTTTTTTAATTTAATTTTTAAAATAAATATTTTTTTCAACAGGTATTATTTTATGGATTGGAAGTAAATATTAATTTTCTACACAATTTTTTTTCTTGTTTCAAATTTTTGTATGTCAGTGAAAGGAACACTACATGCAGTTTTGCCTAAGTAACTATCTTTAATAATAAAAAGAAACTATTTAGCAGAGTATAAATCTGCAAATATTAGGGATATATTTTAAAAATTTCACATCCAATTAAGAATTTTACAGCTATGATTAGATCATTTCACAGCAATCCATTCAAAAAAATACCTCCATATCAACTCTTTGTTTTTCCACACTCCACAGTGACTGAGAATGAACAAAAAAAAAAAAAATCCCACCTTGAAGATTAGTTGTGCAACAATGAAACCAGCAACCCCTAGGGGTACAGTCATACAAGTGTGCATGTCTAAATATACTTACTCCAAGGGGGAGAAAAATGTATAACACAAAAGGGGAAAAATCAAATTATCATAAAGTAGCCTTAAATTACAAATCAACCAGAAATAACCAAGCTAAAATATCAAGCGTCCTTATGTAGCTTTAATAATTCAATCCATAACAACCTAGCTAAAAGCCATTATGAAACTCCCATCATGTATTTTTATAAAACAAATCCATCAAAAACTAACATGAAAAAACCACTACGAAACTCCAATCATGAAGTATTATATAACAAATCAATCATCAACATCTAAGATAAAAACACTAAAGCTTTGTACTGCAAAATAATTCTACAATAACCAAGCCAAATTACCACTAAACAATACTGTGTGACAGTGAAATTAAACTTCACATATTTTTTTACTCTTTTAAAATAGGTTTACTAATTTTAAGAATTTACTTAAAATAATTTTTTTAGTTGGAAGAATTTAAAATTCAATACACTGGTTCTCATCATCCTCAAAAGATATTTAGTGTAACACCCTAATTTACACACACTTGACTGCCGTTTTTATAGTAAAATTATAGTTTTAACAAGATGAGTTTGGAAAATGGTAAAAAATGGTTTTGGTAGTATACAATGTCCTTTTTGTTTTGTGTAAGCTGACTATATATATTTCCTATACTAGGCTCTGTGTTTTGCTACACCTAATTTCTTTTCTAATGTAGAGAAATTCCGAATTTTTTTGTTGTATATATTTATATTTTTAAAACAACTAGCTTGAGTTTAAACTGATGTAATTTTTTTTCTAGGAATGTTTTGAACAGACTGAGCATTGGGCGTTTTAACTAGGAATACCGAAATGCAAGTAACAAGAATAGAGGAAAAAGTTCTGGCAAACCTCATTGAGACTTGTCTGATATACCTGCCGCTCTGTAGGAACTGTTGAGCTCAGCAGACTCCCACTTGGATGATGTTCAACTGACTGCTGTTGTATGACATTGAAAACTGCCCTTAGTTTCAATTTAAATCAATTTAAAAATAACTTTTTCAAATTATCAAATAGTAATGAAAAATGTTGGAGTAAGCGAAAAAAAAATTCAAACAATTTTAAAATACATGACATTCCCATGTTATATAGAAAAAGATTACTGTGATGTTTATTACTTTAAAAAAAAATGTCTGCTGACCTTTGACCTGTACTTAACATATTGTTTATTGATGGCCATCATCCAGTAGAGAGTAAGAAGAATGGCAGGGTTAACAAAAGCTGACCATCGAACACCCGGGTGAAAAAGAATGCTGTCCACATTGCTGCAGTCTGTCTCAACAATACCTGTCAGTCCCATAATTCTGATTGTCGGGAGAAAAAATGTTCAAGGTAAAATTTTCTACAAATTGTGGAAAAATGTTGCATTAATTTAGCTTCTAACTAAAATTGTATCTCAAATAAGGGAGGTAAGAAGCTGAGTTCTATCTAGGGACACAAAACTTGCAACACCATATAATTTTAATCTGTACTTAACCTAAGACATAATATATTTCATTCAGTAGACTGAAGCTAACTTTATAAAAATGTGAGCACCAGTGCCGTAAAACAAGAGCTACCTGGCTATAATGTCTGTAGGTTTGAGTGTCTCCTGGAAGAACTGGAACTGGTAGATGTGTAGCAAGAGAAGGTGTGAGGCTGTGTAGAAGAGCAGTAGGTTCTGTATGTAGTTGAACCTCCGGCCCATGGGGATGTAGCAGCCCCAGAGGGTAAGGACTACTAAAAACACAATGAAGTACACCTGGAATACAAGGAAAGATTTGTGTAAGGTGTGGTTTCCATGGGGATGTAGCAGCCCCAGAGGGTAAGGACCACTAAAAACACAATGAAGTACACCTGGAATACAAGGAAAAATTTGTGTAAGGTGTGGTTTCCATGGGGATGTAGCAGCCCCAGAGGGTAAGGACTACTAAAAACACAATGAAGTACACCTGGAATACAAGGAAAGATTTGTGTAAGGTGTGGTTTCCATGGGGATGTAGCAGCCCCAGAGGGTAAGGACTACTAAAAACACAATGAAGTACACCTGGAATACAAGGAAAAATTTGTGTAAGGTGTGGTTTCCATGGGGATGTAGCAGCCCCAGAGGGTAAGGACTACTAAAAACACAATGAAGTACACCTGGAATACAAGGCAAAGTTTGTGTAAGGTGTGGTTTCCATGGGGATGTAGCAGCCCCAGAGGGTAAGGACTACTAAAAACACAATGAAGTACACCTGGAATACAAGGCAAAGTTTGTGTAAGGTGTGGTTTCACTACGTGAAGCACACAGGCAACATTTTAAACATGTTAGAAAATGTACTTTTGTTTAGCACATGCTTTTGCTTATTAAATTATGATGAAGATTTTGTAAGCAAATAACTTTTTGTCAGGTGTGGATTTATTAGTTGAATCATGCTGCCATTTTTTTTTTATAAGTGTAAAAAAATATTTTGTTTAGCTAAAAAATTAGCATTGGTAAAATTTCATGTTAGTGTGAACAAGTGAGCTAGATCCAATATCTAGCCACCTCAATAAATTGTGTTGGATTCAAAGAGACATCTTTTAAAAGGAAAAACAAAAATATAAATATAACAGTTACTGTTTTGATTGACTTGAAAATGTTGAATAAATTACCTTTCGTTTTTACAAAGAAAATGTTTTCTTAATCCTGATTAATCATTATACTCTAACATAAAAACAACATGGAAGATGTTTTTTGTGTACTTACGCCTGAAAGTATTGATGGGACGATAATGCCAGCTCCCAGAAGAGCCAAGTTCCTACAAAACTGCAGGAAGGTCCTCATGAGATTGCTGAGACCCCTCTGTTTCCCTGGCCCCAACAGTGGCTGCTCGGTTGGAGAGTTGTACAGCACGGATGGCTTGGTTATCTTGACTGACACGGCTAGCAGAATAACAGAGGTCACAAAGACAAGCGCGTCAGGGGCCACCAGTCTGATGATGTTGCCAACACTAGCATTGTCCAGCCTGATAATTACAAATATAGCATTATCACTCATTTGCACTGAACTAATTATCTCATGTTGTAGTTAGTAATAATAGTTTTTCATTAGTTTCTTATTAAACTTCATTTTGGTCCCAACTTTTTAAAAAAAAAATTCTATTAATAGTAATAAAATAACTTTTTACTCATTTGTTACAAAATTTTTTTTTTCAGCTCAACACTTATCAGATAGTTTTTGGCAAAATTTTACAAAGCGCAAACAATAAAATATTTTCTAGGAAAAAGCACTTAACACAATATTAATTCCTCAGTTAATGAAAATACATATCTACCAACCTCTGAAATCCTATTTGCCGCACAAGCTTTTCATTAAATGAACCTATTATAAAAATAAAAATTTGTTTTAAAAGTTAAATTTTAAAAATGAAGGAAAACAAACATTAAATATATAACAAAATGTCAAGAAAAATTTGGTAACCTTTTGAAGCAGTGAATTGAAAGCTTTTGAATATTAAAGTTATCATTAAATACTAAAAAATACTTACAGTTTTTGAACATGCTGCCATATGGATCATTCTCTGATGCTATAGCCACTAGGGTAACATGAAAAATTATGTGACCCAAGATAGGCAGCAAGCTCATTGTTACAATAAATTTTAGGTATACTCCAGTTTCTGTGAATAAAGCAAAACATAAATTTGTCAATTATTATACAATTTGATAATTTTGGGCATATACCAATATCTGTTAATGAATGTAGAGCAATATTAGATTTTAGGTCAGCAGCAAATTCTGTAGAAAAAAAAGTATATTTAAGTTTTTTGACTTGGAACATGACATGTATAGTTCTAGTAGCATGTGGCCAGCTACAAAAAGCAGCACACAAGTTTTTTATTCCATTGTACAACATTAACCCAGGTTGGTATGTGGGTGAGAGAGTGATAGAGAGAGTGATAGAGAGAGAGAGAGGAAGATAGAGACATGGTATTATTCAGTTTAAACCATTTTATACAATGATATCCTCTTTATCTAAATACTTTAGAGTTTTAAGGCAAATTATCATTTTTATTACTAAAATAAATTCTCCATTCCTATTTATATCTTGTTATATGTCTCTTTTTAAGAATATTTAAAGTTGGTAAAATTGGTTTTCATACATTTTGGCGCTAAAATGCATTAGTTGCTCTTCAATTTTTGTTTCCTAATCCTTGCAACACCTATTATTTAGTAAGAACACTACTGACTGCCTTAACTGTAGAGTAAAATCTAATACAAGTCTCTGCAGAGAGACAGCATGTTACAAAGGGAGAGAATCAATACAGGAATTGGGAAGGGAGTGAAGTCCGTTTTACAACAAGTTAGAAAGCCAACCACTGACAAATAAAATTAAATCACAGATGTTGGGATAAAGGACACAGAGTAATATTCTAGCTAGGATTGTATTCTGAAGTCCAGTATTTAAGAAAATAAATAAGAATTGTTTTGTAAAAGTTAAGCTCCCTTTTCAATTTTTTCCATGGGGCAAGTGAAGTAGAGTTCTGTTTCTGTGAGCTCGGCATGAGCCCAGTTGTCTTTACTTTCCCTAAAGAGAGTTTGGTACCCAAGCAAAAAAAATGTTTTGATTTAGTTCAGTGTCCAATAGCTGATACATGAAAACATTATGAAATGTATAATATCAGTCTTTATTAAAACTGACGTAATTTTATATTATAAACACCTTATATTTTATTTACTGTTATATTACTGAATAATGGACATTAGAATCATGTTTCTCATTACACAAGAGACATAACTCTCACTTGTAAACAATAACAGCTTAAATTCAACTGTTGTCTCCCTTGCTGTAATTTTTTAAATAGCTTTCCAAGATAAGTATTTGTACCATGACTCACTTAGCTATTGATGTGACACTAACACACTGAGTGTCATAGTGTTATAATATACAAGTGTTCTTAAAGCTTCACTGCAATGTTCTGAGTGTTATTTTGTAACTGTGTGGGTAATGGAGAATATTGTTGTAACCCATTAAAAACAATTATGAGCATTGGCTAATGATAAAGCCATATTATGTTTGATGAAAAACATCTGGATTAAGGATGAGCCATGTAATTGTTAAATAGGAATACTTGATAATTACATTGCTATTAATAATTGATACATTTAGCTCCTTTGTTAAGGTTAAATAAAATGAGCTGAATGGATGACATTGCTATAAGAACTGCTGACCTGTGTATTGCAACACACTCTTGGATCTTCTGTGCATGTATTATAGTAGCAGAATTTGATCAGTTACTAGACAGGAGGGGGGGGGGGGCGATTTTAGACAAAAGTAGGAATGTTGGAGGTGAATTCAGATAGGGGAGGCATAACTTGAGTAAGAAATTATGCAAGACAGGTAGCACAAATTGTATAGGTGGCCTCAGGGGTAGCACAAACTGTGTATGTGTCCTCAGACTGATGTAGCACAAGTTGTGTATGATGTATGATGACAGAGGTAGCACAATTAGAGCAGAATGAGAAAGAAAGAGGTAACAGCATGAACAATGCCCTATAACACACGCAAGGTGTGCATATAGTGAGGAAAAGGACTGGTAAGCTTGATACAAAGACAACATGTATGTTGAGTAGAGAAACACAGAGTTTGTGTACAGACACCATGGAGGTTGTGTACAGACACCATGGAGGTTGTGTACAGACACCATGGAGGTTGTGTACAGACACCATGGAGGTTGTGTACAGACACCATGGAGGTTGTGTACAGACACCATGGAGGTTGTGTACAGACAACATGGAGGTTGTGTACAGACACCATGGAGGTTGTGTACAGACACCATGGAGGTTGTGTACAGACAACATGGAGGTTGTGTACAGACAACATGGAGGTTGTTTACACACAACATGGAGGTTGTGTACAGACAACACAGAGGTTGTGTACAGACAACATGGAGGTTGTGTACAGACAACATGGAGGTTGTGTACAGACAACATTACTGTCACGGTCTGACAAAGAGCCACCAAAGCTCAGCTGGTGACCAGCGATCGTGTTGTGTAACCTAAGCTCGGCCGTCACAGTTGTCGCCCTGTCACAGTAGGTAACCCCCCCTCCCCCCTGACACGGCTAGGTGTTTATTACATCGGCAGGCTGGCGATCTCGGGAAACCAAATATAGATTGAGTACAGGATTACCTGGCTATAAATAAACAACTACGCCGTGCTTTGACTTGTTGCGGGGGTCGGCCTAAAAATAAATACGGCCTTGAATATAATTTAACAGCACCTGTAATTAGTGGTGGGTATGACGAGATAAAGACATCGCTTCACATTTTTATTATGGGCCAACTACGCCGTGGTGGGAGTACGAAACTAGCCTGACAAAGATGAGACGGGTCACAGTTTACATTCGTTATTGGATATTTGCGGCCGACACCAGTGGTTCTCATTATGTCATCATTTGTATACCCAGCGATGTAGCAGATGGTACGACTGTATTGTGTGAGAATATCTTGCTGGGTAGATGGCGGGGGGGGGGGGGGGGGAGATCTCTGTAACCTGACCTTTTATCTAAAACACAAGCAGCCTTTAAGCTGTGTACACACGATACAGAGGTAGGAAACTGGGAGGTGGTGCTTAAAACTGTGTATACTTTATAGGTGTGATATTTCTAAGAGAAGGATGGAATTTTTTTTGGAAGCTAGTACTTTAGTTTAAGCGAGGGGAGTTGATATCTGATAGGTGTTGATTTCCGGGGTGAGGTGGGTTGCTGGGGTGGGGGGGGGGGGGGAGTATAAAGATTTACGGGACATATGCAAGTCAGACTATCAAAGCCATTCACGCTACCCAACATCATGTCCTGCCAAAGATGAACACACCACTTCAATTTGCCAGTAACCAATTTGGTCTACGCCTGTTATTTTCAGACGTGAGTACCAATGTGAGGGTTGGCAGATGACACGAGGCTACACGAGGCTACACGGCCGTCTGGTCCTGTCGCGACGTTTGAGAAGCGCTACATATTGATCCAATCAATCAAGACGGCCGTCAATGTGCGGGCTACGAAAGGGAATTAATCATTGACGTTTTTTTTTTTACAAGCCGAATCAAGGCCCATCAATCTGTGCCATGTAACTAGATAGACAAACAAGGACACGCATTTGTCAATCGATAGGTATGGTGGTAGTAGGTGCTGTATCCATCTAGACATGTGTCTAACTACACATATATCCATCTATACATGTGCCCAACTACACATTTATCCATCTAGACATATATCCATCTAGACATGTATCCATCTAAACATGTGTCTAACTACACATATATCCACCTAGACATATATCCATCTAGACATATATCCATCTAGACATATATCCATCTAGACATGTATCCATCTATACATATATCCATCTAGATATGTGTCTAACTACACATATATCCATCTAGACATTGTCCATCTATACATAAATAAATCTAGACATATGTCCATCTATACATAAATCCATCTAGACATGTGTCTGTCTATACATATATCCATCTATACATCTAGACCGTGTACGGTAACTACTCTCGCCAGTGAGAAGTTGAGCACCATGTCTAGCAGTATGACAGACGTAGCTGCTAGACCTTTGGATTGTTTCCCCAATGAAACTTGTCACTGTAGCACAGGCCTGCGTCGCTGACAGCTCCAGTCATTACAAAGCTTGACCACCATTTAGGTTTGAATTGTTCCAATCAAAACGTGGGACCTGCGAGTTTAAAGTTCACCGGCCCGGCATGACTCAATGACAACAGATGGATTTAGGTATTGGTTACCGCCGTCTAGGTGGGATAATTTACTCATGCCGTCACCCACGGGATTTGTGGTATTACAGGCTGGGCTTAATACTGACACTCACTCCCGTCATCAAAACACTGCCTGCCCTTTGTGGCTGTTAACAAGTCTCGTGACGATGTGTGACATAAGGAGGGAGGGGGGGGTTGTCTAGAATTGTGACGCATTTATTTAGTGTTGTTTATGAACACAAATAAAAAAGGGGAGAGATAAATTAAGGTAGATTCAAGTTCAATTTAAGATTGGGGGGTGACGATATGGGGTGGGGGTAAAAACCTTTTTAAAATAGTGTGACGTAATGTATAAACGATCCCTACAAAAAAACTGCTCTAAAATAGTGTGACGTAATTTATAAACGATCCATACAAAAAAACTGTTTTAGAATAGTGTGACGTAATTTATAAACGATCCATACACAAAACTGGCTTTAGTAACGTGGAAGTCAGCAGGGAAACAACTCCCCAACAACAAGCAACCCCCCACACACCTCTCCCTAGTGGCCAATATGAAAATTAACGCTAGCAGCCGGCCGTGTCGTCCCGGCATCCAGACACACCACGTGACATTTATTGTAACTAATGGCAGCCTGCACGTGCCGCTCTATAGTGTGAGCAATTCTAGGTTAGTCGGTTCATTTTTTTATTCTTGTGGACCGTGGGACGTCGATGGGTAGAGGGGAGGGGGTCGCTCTACGGATGGATGACTACTAAAAGTCAAGTATTGTTGCGCTATGTCGGCGCCGGAAGTTGACTTGTAGCCCTGCCTCTAGCTACTCTAGCAGATCGATGAGGATAAGCCTGACGTCACGTGATGCAGTTCGATGATCGAATCTCGGAGTGGAGCAGATGC